TAACTTACATATGGCTCACATCACCTGTGATTGTGTTATCCACTACATTCCTGAATTCCCTCCCCATTACCCCAGATAACTGAGAGTTGACTCATGGCGATTACAGGATTATTATATTTTTTACGGTCAATACATTAATTAAAAAAATGTTAAGACGTAATAAAGGTGTTTTGGGTTAGATCGCGTTATTTATAAATGCGTCGTAACCCTCCACCACCCGACACGGCCAATCAGCAAAAAGTGTCACGTTGACAAAAGACAAATAGTTCACTACTTTAGCCCACCGGTGTGTTGAAGAGTGAATCCACAACATTTACACTTTGAGTACGACGTTTCGCTGGTAATTACATCCAGCATCATATTATGAATAATATTGGTCGCGAAAGCCTACGTATTAAAATGGCAAATTTTTGGTGATGACGGTGCCGAGATTTTTTTCCTATTCGGTCCATGAGAGCAATAACGGTAAGTTTTGTGTCCATAAAACATTCAAGACGGCCGTAATAAATGGGTGAATATGTAAACGAGCCATCAACGGCACAGGCAACATAATCAGCCAATGCTGCACGAGGGCGCATGCCGTGCGGGTCTGCGACGGGGTGTGAGCCCAACAACATCAAGCGTTGACAATTTGGCTGTCACAATCTCGGCTCACTCCGAACGAGGCAGCCGATACAACGTGCACAGCGCGGCTGGAATGATTGCAGTTCGTGAGCACGTCCAGCCCTATACTTTAATCAGACGTTAGAGCAAGGCAAAGCCATCGGTCATCATCAATCTAACATAGCCGTGTTCCAAGCAGCAGTCCCCTGGTCGCCTCGGCACCAAAGCCAGTGAGTGATTATTAGATGACTAATCATGGACAAACCACAAGCGCACAATGATAAACCCATACGCAACCAGTAAGAGTGAGCAGTGGTGGGGGGGGGGGAGAGGGATTTGAAGGTTGGGGTGAGAGGTGAAAGCCAGGGGGGGTAAGGAAGGGACCGGCAGTGATGTTATTTGACTGGATAGGCGAGAGACCTCTGCAGAAATGGAATTAAGCAGCGATGCCTAGTTTAGACTGGGACCAGCGTGTGTACAGTATCACTCTCGTGTGCATTTGCGTACCATACGCCTCTGCCGATGCGTGTGTTTGAATTAAGGCGCCTAAAGTAAAAATACTAAATTTCGGCCCTTTGTCAATCCACTGCTGAATGATTAGTTGAGTCCATTAATCGACCAAATATTGTAATCGACTATATTTTGGATTACTCGGGCCCCTTTATACACGTTGGCCACCCCAATATCCAACCTCCCGAAGGCAGGCAACCCCCTACCATCCACGCCCAGCGTGACGCAGCTGAAGATGCCGATGATGTCCCCAAGCTCTGCCTATCACCTCCCGTCCAACGGCACGTCAAGAGAGGTGAGACTTTTTTTTACAACCATTTTTGCATTATTGTCGGTAGTGATCAATAAACTTAGATAATCAGATATCCCAGCTGGTCGAGTGTTCATTAATGCTAACAGTGACAATGCATGCATGTAGCATTTGCGTTGTGCACAATTAAATTATGCCCGCCAATGGCCACTTGGCCTAATAAAGGCCACGTTGTGACATACAGTGAGGGAAAAAAGTATTTGATCCCCTGATGATTTTGTACGTTTGCCCACTGACAAAGAAATGATCAGTCTATCATTTTAATGGTAGGTTTATTTGAACAGTGAGAGACAGAATAACAACAAAAAAATCCAGAAAAACGCATGTCAAAAATGTTATAAATTGATTTGCATTTTAATGAGGGAAATAAAGTATTTGACCCCTCTGCAAAACATGACTTAGTACTTGGTGGCAAAACCCTTGTTGGAAATCACAGAGGTCAGACGTTTCTTGTAGTTGGCCACCAGGTTTGCACACATCTCAGGAGGGATTTTGTCCCACTCCTCTTTGCAGATCTTCTCCAAGTCATTAAGGTTTCGAGGCTGACGTTTAGCAACTCGAACCATCAGCTCCCTCCACAGATTTTCTATGGGATTAAGGTCTGGAGACTGGCTAGGCCACTCCAGGACCTTAATGTGCTTCTTCTTGAGCCACTCCTTTGATGCCTTGGCCGTGTGTTTTGGGTCATTGTCATGCTGGAATACCCATCCACGACCCATTTTCAATGCCCTAGCTGAGGGAAGGAGGGTCTCACCCAAGATTTGATGGTACATGGCCCCGTCCATCGTCCCTTTGATGCGGTGAAGTTGTCCGGTCCCCTTAGAAAAACACCCCCAAAGCATGTTTCCACCTCCATGTTTGACGGTGGGGATGGTGTTCTTAGGGTCATAGGCAGCATTCCTCCTCCTCCTCCTCCAAACACCGCGAGTTGAGTTGATACCAAAGAGCTCCATGTTGGTCTCATCTGACCACAACACTCTCACCCAGTTGTCCTCTGAATCATTCAGATGTTCATTGGCAAACGTCAGACGGGCATGTATATGTGCTTTCTTGAGCAGGGGGACCTTGCGGGCGCTGCAGGATTTCAGTCCTTCACGGCATAGTGTTACCAATTGTTTTCTTGGTGACTATGGTCCCAGCTGCCTTGAGATCATTGATAAGATCCTCCCGTGTAGTTCTGGGCTGATTCCTCACCGTTCTCATGATCATTGCAACTCCACGAGGTGAGATATTGCATGGAGCCCCAGGCCGAGGGAGATTGACAGTTCGTATGTGTTTCTTCCATTTGTGAAAAATCACACCAACTGTTATAAACCTTCTCACCAAGCTGCTTGGCAATGGTCTTGTAGCCCATTCCAGCCTTGTGTAGGTCTACAATCTTGTCCCTGACATCCTTGGAGAGCTCTTTGGTCTTGGCCATAGTGGAGAGTTTGGAATCTGATTGCTTCTGTGGACAGGTGTCTTTTATACAGGTAACAAGCTGAGATTAGGAGCACTCTCTTTAAGAGTGTGCTCCTAATCTCAGCTCGTTACCTGTATTAAAAACACCTGGGAGCCAGAAATCTTTCTGATTGAGAGGGGGTCAAATACTTATTTCCCTCATTAAAATGCAAATAAATGTATAACATTTTTGACATGCGTTTTTCTGGATTTTGTTGTTGTTATTCTGTCTCTCACTGTTCAAATAAACCTAGCATTAAAATTATAGACTGATCATTTCTTTGTCAGTGGGCAAACGTACAAAATCAGCAGGGGATCAAATACTTTTTTTCCTCACTGTAACTACGAGAAAGTGGCTATGGCCAATCTGTTGTGGAGAGAATATCTCATTTGAATTAGGGCTGGTAGCCCTAGGTCATCTTAAGCAATTGGAGCACACCAAGGACGCTTGCATGGTGCCAATTGCATAATCCAACGATTTTGGCGCTTTAATTTTTGTCTGTGCACCAAGTTTGCAATGGAATCTTGTTGCCGGTGTAACATTTACTTAAGATTATACAGTAATAACAGATGCTCGATCGCCTCTCCACTTTCACTGTGGATTTATATATAAAGGGTTTTTTTTAATTGGCAACCTTTACAAGTTTCCAAATAATTCGAAGCATTCTGAAGTGAATACGTTGTGTCATCGTAATTCACAGAACTGTCAATCTGCTCCTGCTGAAGACCTGCCCATGTCGTGTCGGTGAATGGAATTTTTTGAATAAAAAAATATTTTAGCAGGATAAGGCCCACTGAGCTACGTATATATATTTTTTAGAAGCGACCCAGCCACAAATGATAGCTTATCATGTGGAAATTTATAGCAGCCAAATACTCTAAAAGCATGCTTGTAAATGTGGAGGGGAACACCAGAGATAGATCCATACCACCACGGTGAGAATATGCAAACTCCAAATATATAGATGTCGGATATCAAATTTGGATCGCCGGGTTAACAGCACAATGCACGAACCACTGTGCCATCACTCCACCCCATTTAACGGTAACCACCACCGACCCCTAAAAATTTGGCTCGCATTAAAATGGGAGCTCAATTTTATACAATAAAAAAATATTGCACCAGCTTATTTGCTCTATTTACAAGGCATGTTTTTTTTTTAATTTAAATATAGGACGTGCATTTTAAAAACAGGGCTTTAACATAAACACTGAATAGAACATCACCTCGAGATGACATATACGCTAACTTAGCTGGGAGAGTAATATGTCTGGAACATCAGCCATGTGCTTGTACACCCTTTTTGTTACTCCACTGCTGGATGAGGGCCTCCTTACGCTGTGCGGATAGTTTTTTTACCATACTTCACTGCTCATGTCAATGCAGGTTGGTGAAGGCTGGGAGCATACACGTGGAAGCACAAACACAGAAGGCAGTTGCTATACTGCCCTCTGCTGCCCACACGGAGCCGCACAGCCTATGACAACCCAACTAGGACCATATCCAAGAGAGGGTACTTGCCTATAAACATCTGGCAAAGCACTAGCATCGGTTAAAACAATTCCTGACTCTGCTGATGAAATATTTAAAGTCGAACTTGTGCGGCGTTTTCTTGTGTTAAACCAATGCTGCTGAAAGCACTCCCAGAAGGCTGTGTGACAGATGGAATGTGTAAAATTATGCTGATTTCTCTGTTGTGTATTGGTGGTCACCCATCCAAGCACTATCCACTTTCTAAATGGGTGCATTCCAGGTGATTTGGTCATAGGCGGGCATGAGTGATACATTGTAGAAAATGCTAAAAAATCTGAAATAATTTATATGATGCAAAATGCCATGACATTTTTGGGATAAAGTCACAAATTGGGGTGAGTCAATAATCAGGTAAAGTATGAACTTAATTAGAATAGAGACACCGTGTTCCGAGTTTTCGGTCATCTCTTTTGGTAACAAAAATAATGTGCGATATCTCACAGACACACATATGCATGTTTGAAACACCAAAACCATATGTACTGAATATGTAATCTGGGCTTTAAAGCAAACAGGGCAGCGTACAATTTAATAATTTGCCCCTTTGCATTGAAGTGAGCAGAAGGTTTATCGAGGCCAAAGGAAAACACAGTGTGCCGTTTATATATTAAATCATTTTGCGGTTAAGGTATTTATTTTGAAACACAATTACACTGGACATATCCACCGAGACGCATACATCTTGTTTTACTTTCATGCAATCCCGACACAGAAACAGCACATTTTTATAAATTAATCCATATGGGTGAAATTTAGCTGAACCCAAGATGAATATTATTGAATTATGAGCTGTGTAATGACATTTTAGCAGGGACACTGGAGCTAATAACTCTTCTGAAATCAAGAGCACCAGGAGCACCTTAAATATCCACAGGTCTGACCGCACCTCACTTCGATAACTCTCATCCATATATTCATTCTGAGTTTCTCTCGTGTTAAAATAAGTCAAGATTTAAATAACATAAATAAAAAAAAAACACGGCTCACACATTCCCAATTCTAGTCGTCATTCGCTCACTGCATATCCACACATCTTTCATTACCAACAACAGGCCAGGGATTGTGGCATCTCCGGGGTCATCTTAAAGGCTGCACACAGAAGTTCATGTTTATCAATGGCTACTTGTAGATTCACTTTCCCCACTGAACAAGTGAGAAGAAACTATCGATCGTTATTGGAAATGTGGAATTTGTGTGCAGCTAATAAGGCTTGGAGGTAACACATCCCTACATCTCAAGGCAGCCAGAGGCACATGCAAAAATTCGAGATCTAAAATTGATGAGTTTTTTTGTGAGATGTAAAAAAAAAAATTATGATGGGGCCCCCGTCCAGTTGAATTCATTAAACCGTGAGTGGTTTTTACAGGAAATCCCGTTAAAATATACACACGCAAATAATCCAGCATGTCCATCAGTTAAGATATGTAAAAACATCTATTTTACAGAACTATAAAATTCATTAAAAATACAAAGCGGTTCAAACAAATAAACAAGTGCTTTTTTTAATCCTCTGCCAAACGAGCACATGACTCGCAGAAGAAGAAACCTATCGTGTGAGAAACTGTAATAATTTACCGTAAACTGTCAGGTTGAGTGATCCGCACGGAATGAAACCCTGACAGACTGCTTTTCCTTTGAACAAAGAAGGTTTGCAATTCACAATGCTGTAAGACTTGCTCAGAGCAGGCTCAAAGTGCTAAATGTCCGGATGATAACAGTGTTCACTCATTATCAAAGCAGTGTGTGCACCTACGTGGAAGAAGAACGTCTATTACAAATAGCCGCCTTCTAGATGGAAAGCCAATGAGCACAAACCACCACCATGGTTGCTTGCGATATGTCACGTAGATGCCTTACAGTCAATATGAATGCGAGGTACGTGTAAACTGCTATATTGCAGTGTCAAGCTAATGCAACTGTGCCCCCCTTTGTGTGCGCGCACATATTATTTCAAGACCATACTTTCCAGGTCTCACTGAAAACAAATTAGGCGCTTCTTGTATACGCTGTCACATAAAGTAGGACATTTTAACAGTGTGATGTGTTAAAAGCAGAACATCCCTATGCGAGGTACACAGTAAGCCTAAAATGAGGTGAATAAATGAGGACCATCACTCTACTTGTTAAGAGGATCTGTAAATTATTTTAAATGAGCATGGTGCTAGCAGTTTGTGTCTGAGAATTACACGCAAGGCTCATCATATGCAAATTTACTGGTAAGCTACGATAGAGGGGCACTGATAGGCAGACGGGCATGAGTCGTGTCTAATAGGAGAGATGGTGCAGGAAGAGAATCACTTTTTTGTAGGGTGAACCGATTAAAAGTTCACGTACATTAACCAGACCGGGTGCGCGTGCGTGTCATAGTATGTATGGAGCAGTAGTGTCCCGGTTAGCGCGCTGCGCTACGAACCCGGCGACCCGAGTTAGATTCCCGCTCACAACGGCGGTTGCCGGTGGTGCTGGCCGCACTTGCTCGTGTACCGTTCCAGCCTTCATAGGTGATCGCTAACAGCACTTGCCCCAACAGTCTGACAAGGCTATAAGGGGAATCTTTGTCTTTGTGTAGTATGGAGACGCTCACAACAACGAGCGGAGCACCGGGCGGCTAAAATACAGCAAGCTGGCACAGTGGGAAGCACAGAATTGTGCACCTGCCAGTCATCCCAGTCAACCCATGGCACCTGGGTCTGTTCCGTGACCTCCTGCCAGTGAGCCTTCAATACTTCACGTGGCCTCAAAATGCACCGAGCATGGCACAAGCGCAGTAGTGACATCACCGCCACTTAGTAGTGAACTGCAGCTGTTGTTGTGAGTGGCTCAGCCTGCATAGTGTGTACAGAATTGCAATAACCTGGGCTAGTTTCAGGTAGGAGTCCTGTCTCCCCAACTGAGTGGAGTGATGCATCTTACACTTTGGCTTCCTTTAGTTTAAAAACAAAGCAAGTACTTAAATTAAACATTACAATTGCTGTAAGGCAAAGTACGATGCTCTGCTGATGATATAATTTACAACAATAATAAATAACTCACTTATAACTCCGTTAGATGACGCCAATAATATAGCAATAATACATCTTAAATTAAATTACACTTAAAACTAAAGCTCTTCCAAAAACACACATTTCAAGGTGGAAGACGCAAGCCCGGGGGGCAACCTGAAAGGAAACACTTGGGGAGTTGAAGGGTGCAAAACCTTCCATCAATCTGTCGGACAGGGGAGGCAAATGCTAAAATAATAATTGCCAAGAAATGTTTGGCATTGTCGGGGAACTGTTTTTTTGTTAATTTAAACCCCCCATCCTCCGATGCATTCCTGCCGATGATATTCAACATACAATTTGTTTAAACCGCTTGAAGTCCATCCGCTGTAAACAAATGCGGCTGTTAAAATTTCGCGCAAGCGGTGATCCGTTTGGACACTGAGACGACAGCGACGGAAAAAGTATATTTACAAAATGGGTGAGATCCTCCCCCTGTGTTGCAGTCATTACTAAGTTATTGAGTATCCTAGCCAAGTATGACTGCATCAATGTGACTTTCCATTCCCAGGTTAAGGATCAATCCTGCTCCAAATAGTTTGATGTTACATTTGGAATAAATTCAAGACTGTAATTCCCCTGTCAGCTCATCGTTGAAAAGAAGCAGCACTACCAGGTTTTCCAGACTCCACAAGACGGATGTCAGTGCTTTAGTAAGTGTACATTAGTCACATCAGCGGCTGCAGCCAGACTACCAATGCGTAGGCAATGCTCCAATTCATATGAGGAGTGCATTTAAGCGTCACGGACCCAACAGGGTTCAACCCAGTTCATCGTGGCCCAGGCTGATTAATTTATGCTTAAAGTTGATTAAACTGCAGTGTGTGCCTCTTAGGCACGGTGATGCCATATAAATAGTTTGTGATAAACACAATCGGTAATTCATGTAAACGTCCATGCTTTTTCTGGGTTCAAAATATTAACCCTGCCCCAGAAAAAAAAGACGGACTAATATACCTCGGTTTATGTAACAGGTGTAAATCAGATTTTTTAAATGTGTCCATGCATTTCGTGTATATTAAAAAGCACGTTCGTATGAATTACATCCCAATGTGGTGCCAGTGTCTGGTATAAAATATAGAAACCATCACTATTTTAAAGATTAATGTACACAGGGGAACAAGCTTGGAAGGTAGCACTATCGTGACGTGGAATATTTCTCATCCATTGATCTTTTTTTGACAAGCCACGAGGTGTCGCTCTGTATCTGTGCAGGTTACCGAGTGCTGTAAAGCTGTCGTTGACTGACGTACACTCAAGAGACGAGGATGGCAGTTAAGTACAATTGCACCTGTTGTTATGATTGGGGTTCTCTCCCTGCATTGGTGACCGTTTATACTTGAGGACCCTGTTATGAGCCACCCGGATACCTTGTATCGATGTCTTTTACTCCCGACAAGATATAGCAGAATTGCAGGGAACTGGAAAAATCTATGGAGCATCAGTGCCCTGTAAAGATAAACAGAAACGTTAAGCAATACTTAAAAAAAAGCATGAGTGGCATCAATTCATATTTCTTTTCCAGGAGACCAATTTTTTTGTTTTTAATTGAAACAAACCATAATTTTGCATCATCCCTTGAGGACTAAAAAATCTAGTGTGGTATTTTTGATTGCACGATTGGAAAATGTAAAGCCATCATAAGCCAAACACCTCCTGCTGTTGGGGTAGAGGACTAAAGCATAATGTAACATTGGTAAAACAGAAAATGTTCCATATCAAAGCTAAATTAACTTGAGATAGCGCACAAGAAACAAAACAAAAAACCTTTATTTGCTTTTCCACTGAACCACCAATGCTGAGCACAGTTTAGATATTGCTTAAGTTGCAGTCAACATCTGGACCACCCATTTAGAATACAGAGCTGTTGCTCCACTTCAGTCGCTCTGCGATCAGGGGAGAAACGTTCTCGGTTGGCTGGTATGGCATCACAAAAACCTCCCCACCCCCTGCTGTACTCATGCAGTGACCTGAATCCCCGTTCGCCTGGAACCGAGTTCCAAGACACAAAGGGGCTCTGTCTGTATTTCTCCTGTTTGTGCTAACCCCACATCTCACTTGGGCTATGGGAGCTACGTGTGAAATCCATACTCTCTGGTTCTTTCGGTAAAGTCACGTAGGTATAAAATAAAATAAAATTTTAATCTAGTGTGAAATCCAACCAACAAACATATACGCCAGGCTTCTATCAAAACCATTAACCACCCACGAGCAATGCGACGTTTGCATATACGGTAAATTTGTTGTTCACATATAAATATATATAAAAATAATTATTTACAGACATTTGTCAATCCACTGCTGGATTAAAGCCTCCCCCTGGTATGTCAGTTATGGTGGCTGTTGGACCATACTTCACCAGACTGGTCAGCATGGGATGAAAGGGAAGATCAGTACGAGTTCAGATATCACATGCCATCGAAGTCTGGCATAGCCAGGAATGTAACTCAGGAGGTAGATTTCATAGAGTACCTAATGCACCAGCCAAGTTATACAGCATAGTTCAAAGGGATCGTACACAGCTATGTGGATATGTTGTTGTAATACTCAAGTCTTGTTTCTTAAATCAGTGGTCAAGAACTCTAAACAACCTCAAGAGTTCCAAACACATAAAAAATAACAAAAAATCTGTAATCTGTAATAATATAAATCCACGTATTGTACGTCTATTAGTGTTACTAAAACAGAAACTACCATGTGCATGCATTGCAGAGACGGAGAAATGGATTCTACAATTACCACCGTCTGTGACATCCACAGCAGTACGACCATGGTAATGTAAACTGTAAAAACGCAACGTGGCATCGTCTCATGGCAGTGGGGAGGGCAGACCACCGGTTGGCGGTGGAGGGGGTGGAGAAATAACAAATTCCTCGCGTGGTGCTACATCAAAGCAGAACGACACGACCCAATGCAATGCAACCACGCGACAACACTCGCACAAGCATCGGTGCCGCCATCAAACGCCAAGTGCAGCTTTGTTGCATATTTACTGCTACAAATTGAATCAAAGACGACGGTGTCAATCTGTGCGCGTAAACACAGCGGACCATAGCAGCGAGCTATTGGGGGGCATTTAATGAGGCGTCAAGCGGAGAAAAGTCTGCATATCCCCAAGCCACTCTGTGGGTGGGTGCAACATGCCTGTCACATTACATTTGGATGTGATGGTGCATGTGTACAAGCATTGGTTTATTTTTTTTACCCAGCATGCCGCACTGCTGTCAAGAGGCGGCGATCTTGCTTGCTTCACGCACCCCGCTCAAGTAGGCCCCCGTGACAGTCTGTGGGAAGTGCCTGTTTGTTGCCTAAAAAAGGAAAATCCATAATTGACATTGATAGTGAAGTTAAAGTGTCTCCATGCTCAAATTAGAGTGAGGCAGAGGTGGTGGGGTGGCTCAGAGGTTGGAGCATTGAGTTGGCAGTGCTGAGACCCTTGGCTCGAAACAAAGGCTCATCTAGTCTCAGCTCAGCCACAAATGACTGCACAAAAAAACCTCAATTTACATAAAATGTGCTTAATTCAGCTAAATTCCAGCACTGAGAATTACAAATATTTGTTTTTATGCACTGAACATTATTCTCAGTGGTAGAGCATATGGGAAAGTGCTGCCCCCTCTACTTTGTGAACCAGAGGTCACTTTGAGGGATTTCAGAGGTAGCTCTGTGATATGCACTTCCGGATGAAGCTATTTTGGGAAAAAAATTACAATAAAATGTGCATGCAGTGATGCTCATCTACGCTGTCGACCGTGAGGTATGAGTGGAATTATTAAATTCTGACCGCAGTTTCCAGTTGTTCCATATGACTACCACTATTGGACTTTCCACAAATTTCCACTCATTTGATCAATCACAGGAGGGATGATGGATCGAGTTGACCCTGGGCAGGAACTTGAACACTGGCCTTTCTGCGAGTTGAGAACCTTGCCACAGCGCCACCCAGCCAAGATTTGATCATTATTACTTATGAGATTAGAGGGTCTGCGGTCCAAGAGTATCTGTGCCTGGAAAATAGTATTCGCAAGTATGCAGTGGGCTATGACAAAAAAACTACAACAGTGTTCACTTTAATGGGTATCAATGCCATTTTAAGAAGAGTTATAAGTTGGCTGCATTCCCCAAGGTTGAGAACCCCTGTACAAATAATGTCCTTTTTAAGTAGCCACCTGAACTCACCTCACCAGCGAAGAAGAGCTTGCCATTGAGGTCCTGGGCCAGCACATCATAGGCTTCACCAGTGCCGCCAGGCCGTACGTAGCTGTAGGCCATGAGGGCCCAGGGGTCAGAACCCCACCGCGTTACGAACCAACGCAGGGGGTCGGGCACGTTCTAAAGTACACACACAACGTTTCCACAACTATAACCAACAGCAGTGGCAACATGACCATTCATCTCTTTATGGCAGTCATGCAATTATTTTTGCGAATAATAGTGACCGCAACTAAATGTATACTATATCTGTATCTTGGTGGACTCCTTCAGTACGTGTGTGATGTGTTGCAAAGGGGCACTTGCCTGCTCAGGAAAGATGGCCCGCAGTGCCTGCATGGACTGAGACACCACCTGGGAGTCGCTGAGGTCACGGATCAGCGCTACTGAGTCACCACTCACAACGGACATGAGCACGCACTGTTCTCCCTGCAACACACAAACACACACATAGACAATGATCCCCTCTTCCCATAGCTTTAACAGACTCTTGGAGCAAGTGCTGTTAAGCAAGCACCTATTCATGCCGGCACAACGCTAGAGTGGGGTGGTGTGGCAACCACCACACCTCGCTGTCTTTGTCTCGCCTGTCCCGCTGCTTACACACCGCACCAGGTACTCATCTAAGGTGAAGCGGGGAGGCCCAAATAGTCTCCATTGATGTTAGTCATGACCAGAAATTCGACTCAGGTAGCAGGGTTCGAAGCAGTGCACTAACCACTACGCCAATGATCCCTACGCAGTTATGCACACACAACAACAACGACCGCCATTCGCCATTAAGTGGCGGTGACGTCACCACGACGCTTGTGCCAGGCCATGTGCACCTTGAGGCCACGTGAAGTGTCGAACGCCCGCTGGCAGGAGGTCACGGGGCAGACCCAAGTGCCACGGGTCGACTAAGATGACTGAGATGGCTGGCTGATGCACCACCTGTGCCCCCTACTGTGCCCCCTACTATGCCAACCTGCTGTGCTTTAGCCACCCGGCGCTCCGCTCATTGTTGTGAGCGTCGCTCTTCCGCCCTCCGTTGTTGTTGGAGGGCGACTGCCTCCAACTGCCCAGTAGCGTCCTTCACAATCCTCCTTCACAGAGGCCGATCTTGACACCGCTGGTACCAGTCATCAGCAAGTCCACTCAGCTCCACGTACCACATCACTCCATCTCTTTTCTAGCCCGTGCCGCGCCCGTTTAGCCCCCTCGATCCGGCCGAACAAAAGCTGTTTCGGCATGCGGTGGCTGGGCATGCGGGCTACATGACCCAGCCAACGCAGCCTTGCCTGCCGGAGGAGCTCACCGATGGGACCTTGCCTAGATCTTTCAAGGATTTGTGAGCTCCTCACACAATCCAGCCTGGTTAAACCCAGGATGGATCGAAGGCAGGCTAGCCTAAATGTTTCTAACCGGCGAAGATGTTCCTTTAGGGGGGTCAAAGTTTCGCAAGCGTAGAGAAGGGAGGGAATGACCGTGGCCGAGAAGACCTCAAGCTTAGTGCGGAGCAACAGACCAGGTAGCTTCCACACAGCATTACGCAACCGATGAAAAGATATTGCCACTCGGCTGATTCGGAGTGAGACCTCTCCTGTTAAACTGGAGCCGGTCATAAGCACACTGCCCAGGTATGGGAAACTCTCCACTCTCTCCACAACTGCCCCATCACCGATTGTGAGTTGTGGGGGTGGAGTGTCCGATGGTACAAAATACCCAGGCAGGTGCTTAGTTTTGGTGGGGATGATGGTAAGGCCCCATCTCTTAGTGGCACGCTCTAGTCTCATCAGCAGCGACTCCAACTCCTCTTCTGAATGAGCAGATATTACCAAATCATCGGCATACATAACGTGGATGAGCAATAGGGAGCCATCCCTTGACCGCACCCGGGCATCTATCAGCCTCCCATTATATCTGTACCATATGGAGATTCCCCCGGTACAGCTATTGAAGGCTTCACGAACTACGTGGTCAAAATAGATGTTAAATAATGTGGGAGCCAGAGGACATCCCTGTCGCACCCCAAGGTGTACAGGGAATGGCTCTGACTCCCGGCCACGTAGTTTTACCCGGGCCCGCTCACCATCATGAAGGTCCTTAATGATCGTGAGCAGAGGGTCAGGTACTCCAAAAGCACGAAGAACAACCCAGAGCCCAGGCCTACTGATGGTATCATAGGCCTTGACAAGGTCAATAAAGCAGAGATGTAGGTCTTACTGGAATTCCCTACACCTCTGCTGTAGCAGACGGACAGAAAATATGGCATCTGTGCTGGACCGCCCTTTCCTGAAACCGCATTGGGGCTCTGCAAGCCTCTCCTCAGCGTGCCTGGCAAGGCGATGTTGAATAATCCTTGCCAGGACCTTTCCCAGCACACTAAGGAGTGAGATGCCCCTGTAGTTGTTACAGTCTGTGCGGTCCCCCTTCTTAAAGAGGGGGATCACCAGGGCATCCTTCCAATCCTGCGGAATCCGTCCAGTGGTCCAGACTGTTGTTATGATGTCATATAGGGCAGTCTGTGCACAAACGCCACCCTCCCTCAGCATTTTGCTTGGGAGATCATCTCTGCCTGGTGCCTTTCCTGGTCTCAGACTCTGGATCGCCTTCAGTACTTCCTCAACAGATGGCACCTCAGCCAGCCACTCACAGGGGGTGACTTCTTCCAATATTTGAGGCACCCCAGCCTCAGCAGGGTCATCCCCACTTTGTGCCACGATGTTTTCCTGACCTCACAGAAATGCTCAGCAAATCTGCAAACCTGTTCCTGGGGGTCAGAGATTGGATCACCGTTTTGTCCCCTAATGATGGTAATAGGTGTGGCGCTGCAGGTTACTTTTTTGATGGAGTTAAATAGAGATTTGTGATCTCTCCTCAGCAACCCGCGACCACCACCCATCCTTGCAGCGCCTCACAGCTCTCCGAACCTCCGAGCGAAGGCTGCGGTAAGCCTCCTCATTCTCTGACGTGGGATTCTGTAGCCGATGACAGTGGGCCTCTCGCTTTTTCTCAACTATCCTGAACACCTACTCTGTCAACCAGGGTCTCTGGGGAGGTCTGGACCGCGTACCCAAAGCAGCCAATGCAGCTGCATGAGTCACAGTCCTAAACCTCTCCCATTTACCCTCGACATCAGGAGGAGTGGGGGACGATGCCAACCCCAACCGCAAGCGATGATGAAATTCTCGCTTGCAACTTTCATCAGATAACTGAGACCAGGCCACTTTAGGTTGGAATGGGGTCCTGGGTGTACACCCACCACCGGAGTGGAAGAATGGCAGGCGCATCTTACAGATGACAAGTCGATGGTCAGAGGGCAGATCAGCTCCACGGTAGGTCCTGGTGTCAAGGACATGGGCTCGCATCCGCTGGTCCGTCACTATGTAGTCCAGCAAATGTTCTTGCTTGGACCCGGCATGCATCCATGATGTTGTGTGGATGCGCCGATGCCGGAACAGCGTGTTGGTAATTACAAGCCCATGGGCTGCACAAAAATCTAGCAGCCTCCTACCGTTGTTATTGAGCTGATCTGGCCCATGCCCTCCAATCACTCCAGACCAAGTGCCAGCATCATGACCAACTCAGGCATTGAAGTCACCCAACAAGATGACTCTATCCCAAGGGGCCACTTTAGCCAGCACCTGTGACAGGTCATAGAAGGCATCTGACTCAACGGCTTTGCCTGCATCCCTCCACGGATGTTTGTCTTCGGTGGGAGCATAAGTAACCACAACCACCACTCCTCGCCTCTGGTTGATGGGAAGGCGAGCCCAAAGGAGCCTGGGGCTTACAGCTTCCCACACCTCACCACCATGCTCCCACGCCCCCTTCATTCTTTTGTTCAAAAGAAGAGCCACACCCTGATGTTTGGCAGTCTGCTGCCCCGAGTAGAGGACTGTCCACCCCTCATGGTGGCAGGAGCCAGAACCGGTCCACCGGACCTCCTGAATGCCAGAGATCCAGGCGGTACCGGTCCAGCTCCCGACAGAGGAGTGGCAGCCTCTCCTCCGCAGTGAGCGTTCGAACATTCCACGTGGCCACACGAAGTGGCTTTTCGTTGTTTCTGGAGGAGCCCCGAGAGTAGAGATTCAATCTCCTGGCTCCGCCAATTGGGGTTTGGCCAGGAGACGCCATAGACGCCTATCCCCCCGGGGCCTCCGGCACAAGCTTATTTGTTACATTTTTAATTCGTGGTTTCGTGGTAAATTTTTGAAGGTGGAGGGGTTACCAGCCCCTCGCACTCGTCCAGAGCCCCCGTTTAGCCCCTGTGGTGGTCACAGACGCCATGAGGGGAGAGGCCAATCGGAATTGGCCCTCCCCCCACAGCACTGTCCACGGCAGAGTTGCCCGTCCGGCACCGCGAGGAGGTAGGGGGTTGTTTTGCCAGACTGCACACACACCCCTATGGGGACACACAAAAATAGAGGAAATCGATAAAGGAATTACAATAGTTAGGAGGGAGGGTCAAAGGCTGTGAGAAAATCAGTTGTTGAGAAAGTGATATGACGTCAACGTTGGAAAGATGGGAGGCGTGAATAGATGCGAGGAGGGCAAGAAGTAGAGAAAGCCAGAGAGGACAGGGAGGGGTTAAGGCAAGGCCTACCTTGGGATCCATGTCGTAGAAGACCCCAAAGAGACCCCTGCGGTCATGGCTCGGTGGAAGGTGTCCAAAATAGTCGGCTCCGCGGATCTTGTGCTCCCAGAAACGGAACGGGAACTGCAGCCCGATCTGTGTGTGGAAAGCCAAGCGTGCTATTGCATTCATTCGCTCGCTCACTGTGCCACTCCGTGACACTCAAGACTAACAAAACAGCTCGCGTCCTCGTCAAAAGATCCCACAAGCCTTATACCGACTTCGAAGGAAAATGTGCCACGTGTGTGTGTGTATACGCATTACCTTCTCGATGAGACCGGCGCCCAGACTCTGCAGGGCCTTGATCTTGCGCTCAGGAAGTGGAGGACAAAACTCCAGCACTCCCAGCTGCATGAGCGCCAGTGGGATTGTCACCAGTACCTGGGAGCAGCACCGTGGTAATACACCATTACAGTAGCACACGCCGCACTTTCACAGCATCCACCACCACACGATCACACGATCACACCATCGGTGTAATTGCTTTCAGATGCAGATAAACTGCCAACTGTGGTAGTCTCCATTGCATTTTGAGATTTCATTCAAATTTTATTATGCAGTAAAACCTTGGATTGCGAGCATAATTCGTTACGGAAACGTGTTTGTACTCCAAAGCACTCGTATATCAAAGCACTCGTATATCAGTTGTGATGACGTGACGTTCAGCAGACAAAGCGTATACGTTCTACTCGTATTGCAAGACCTCGCTCGTTTATCAAATTAATATTTATTTGAAAATTTTGCTCGTCTTGCAAAACACTCGCAGACCAAGTTACTCGCAATCCAAGATTTTACTGTACAGACAAATGTACAGCTCTTTTGTCAGTTCACTGCTGGATAAGGGTCCATTCTTTACCATGCTGGGTCAGTGCAGGTTGGTAAAAGAGGGAAGCAGATGTACAAGCATAGAAGTACAGAACCATGAATATTTATGAACAGTCCTCTACTGCTCACCACATAGCCATGCGGGGGGCTTCATCAAGCTGTGGACTAACAAAAGGCTAAAAAATAACTAACATATTTTTCTAAACCTGATTGAAGTAGCATTCATGTAATTTATACATGTATATCAGTTTCATACCTTTTTAATTTTGTGGCTGTGTGCCTGTCTGCATTTCCCACAGTCTCCCTCGTAAGAGGAAGTTTGCACCTACAGGCTCATTGGCTTCTATTGAACCAGGTTCTAATGACCCATGCAGAAGCAATTTAGATGCAGTGTGAATGTCGCCTGACCTTATCAGCAATGTAGGTCATCCCTGTAGCTGTATGCACCTTCACACATTCCCCCGAGTAGTCCACTCGTTTTACCTGCAGATAAAACAAGAAAAGACAAAGATCACCCATATAGCCTGTAACATACTGTTGGGGCAAGTGCTGTTAGCGAGCACCTATAAAGGCCGGAACGGCACACGAAGGGGAGGGTGACCAGCACCATGCCCGGCCACCTTTGTCTCCCTAGTCGCAATGTTTAGACATCGCACTAGGTACTCATTTGAGGCTGAGTCGACCTAGGGGAGGCCCAGAACTGGTTCAGATAATAGTCACTGGTTTTGGCAGATATACAATGACAAAGATCCCCAGTATAGCCTTAACAGACTGCTGGGGCAAGTGCTGTTAGCGAGCACCTATGAAGGCCGGGACAGCACATGAGGGGGTGGGTGGCCAGCACCACGGCCGGCCGCCTTTGCCTCCCTAGTGGCGATATTTACACACTGCACTAGGTACTCATTTTGGGGCCGAGTCGACCTAAGGGAGGCCCGGGACCGGTTCAGATAATAGTAGCTTAGTGCTTACCTTACTCCGATACAAACCCAGCAGCACCAGTTTGATCCCCAGCCACAGCTAAAATCAGTGGCGATTGCTACCATTTATCCTACTCCCTGTGCCTCCCCGAGGTCGACTCACCCTCAAATGAGTATCTGGTGTGATGTGTACACATTAGCACTGTGAAAAGGAAGCTGCAGGTGGTTCTGGCCATACTACCCCTCCTGAGCCATGCTGCCTTTCATAGGTGCTGATTAATGGCACTTGGCTTAAAAGCCAGTGTTGGCTATACGGGGGATCTTTGTGTCGTTGTGCTATGTGTTTGGTGTGCAAAGAGAAGTGGTGGCAGCGATGCAGCGGTGTTGCAGCGTTTTACACACTGTGCTACAGTCCTGGTAAACCTGAGTTTTATTCCTTGCCATAATAAAAAAAGGCTAGAAGTGGCATGTGAAACCAGTCTTGAGTCTCCTCCGAGTACTCTGTGTGGCATGTAAACATCAGCACAGGAAACACAAAAGTGGTCGAGCATGATGTTGGCCACCCGGTATCGTGTGGTATTCTCACTCGAGTAGATACTCTCTTGTAGAACTTTCACTTAAGATTAACAAATCTGTCAAGTTGGGAAGTGGTGGAGGAGAGGTAGCACACTGCACTACCAACCCGGTATAACGCAAGTTCAATTCCTGACCACAGCTGTAATCAGTGAGGTGTGATATGTGAACTGGTCCTGCAGTCTACCTTCACCAGAACGCACTGACCAGTGTGGTGAATAATTGTCAAAGAATCCCCATGACCGACAACCGTGTGTGGGGGGGGAGAGGGGGTCATACGTACTGGGGTGTGTAGCCGAACGTCCAGGCCCTCGGCCAAGCGGTGTAGGATGGTAGAGTACCCGGCCGTCAACAGGGTGTGGTCTCCGGCAAACTGAGCAAAGAACTCATTATGGTCCCAAGAGCGTGCGGATACCTGGGCACACAGTGACAACGATTCCCCCGTTCAGCTCTGCGGACTCGTGGTGAAAGCGCTGCCACAGGCACATTGCACAGACGTATGCGCAAAGACAAAGACAGCCTTCTTCTTAGTATTTTCGGTAAAGTCACGTTGAAGAGAAACAACAAAATAATAAAATATATATAACAATAAAAATTCTCACGACGTTTCGACCATAACTCAAACAGTCATCTTCAGGTTGTTGGTTTGCATAATGCAAACCAACACACGTTTGAGTTATGGTCGAAACGTCGTGAGAATTTTTATTGTTTTATATATATTTTATTATTTTGTTGTTTCTCTTCAACGTGACTTTACCGAAAATACTAAGAATATGAATTACTGCAGTCACGAAAGCTTTAAATCAAAAAGACAGCCTTGTTTAGACATTGTTGGGGATTGTGCTCCTACAAGCACACGTACGCAAACACAAATGCACATTCTAGATTTGAAGCTTTCGTGACTGCAAGGATCCATACTCTTTGGTTCTATTCGGTAAAGTCACGTAGGTAAAAAATTAAAGCGGCCTTCATCAGGTGAAGGCCGCTGTGTTGTGGCCGAAACGTCGTGATTTTTGTTGTTTTAATTTTTTACCTACGTGACTTTACCGAATAGAACCAAAGAGTACAAATGCACATGTACGCAAGCGTAGACACTAGGGGAGGCCCAGGTCTGGTTCAGACAATCGTCACTGGTGTTGGTTGTGAGAGGGAATCGAAGTATAAGCACGTGTACATATGTACAACACCAACAACCACCATTCGTCACTAAGTGGCGGTAACGCCACCATGGCGCTTATACCAGTCCAGCAAAAACAACCCCCTACACCTCCTCAGTGGTGGCGGACGTGAGCAATGCCATGCGGGGAAGGCCAATTCCAAACGGCTGTTCCCCTCATGGTGCTCGTAGCCACCAAAGTGGCCAATGGGCTGGTAACCCCTCCACCTTCAATTTACTTACCACAAAACCACATATGCACACATACATACACACATCGATAGAGACAGTCCGTTTAGACGCACAGACTTGGAGAAGGTACTGCTACAAGCAAATGTGTGTATGTATGTGTACACACGTGTGCACTTCTGCACCTCCGATTAGCTCGGTTGGTTACGTACGGTGCGAAAGATTTTCAACATACATACGTATGTACACGTGAATACACACACACATATGTACCAAGACACACAAAGTGCCACAGCCTTCAACAACACGGCACTGTGCACCTGGCGTAGGTTGGCTCCGCATGCGTACTCCAGGTTAGCCAGGTGGAACTGCAGCAGCTTCTCTTCGAGCTCCCCAAACGAGAGCCCCGACTCCTTGCGGAACGCGTGAGTCAGCTCCTCCATCTTTTCTGCTCACGTACACAAATATAAAGATCCTCCGTGCATCCTTCACAAGACTGTTGAGGCAAGTGTGATTAGCGTGCACCTATAAAGTTCAGCACGGCACATGAGGAGGTGGGTGGTAAGCACCACGCCGGGCCACCTTTGTCTCCCGAGTGGCGATGTATAAACATCGAACCAGGTACCTATTTGAGGTGAAATTCGACTTAGTAGAGGCCCAGAACCGGTTCAGATAATCGTCACTGGTGGTGGCCATAAGCGTGAATCAAACCAGCCTCACCGGGTTTGTCGTGCAGCGCGCTAACCACTACACGATCGCACGTGCGCGCATATACACACCCCACCCCCCCCACCCAAACATGAACACACACTTGAACGCACGCTTGCACACGCACCTCCCAGCGAGACGTCGTGAGCGGGCTCCGTGGTGGTGCGCCACTGTGCGATGATGTCGAGGAGAGCGTTAAAGTGGAAGTCCATGCGCTTGTCCAGCGCTGGGTCGGTGACGCGGCCGCTCTCGTCCAGCAGCTCGCACGCCTCGCCCAGAACGTGCATGCGAATGCCCAGCTTCCGGGCGGCACAGGTCGGGATATCGTAACCATTCCCCCCCCCACCCCCCTCCACCGAGCATTATCGCGATGATAGCGCTCACACGAGCGTTACTTAGGGCCGAATACGGCTTTAAGAGAGGTTTGTCAGGCCTCGTATTAATACACACCTTAGCCTTATGCAATAATAACACACCTTAGCCTTATGCAATAATAACACACCTTAGCCTTATGCAATAATAAGACACCTTAGCCTTATGCATTAATAACACACCTTAGCCTTATGCAATAATAAGACATCTTAGCCTCATGCAATAATAACACACCTTAGCCTTATGCAATAATAACACACCTTAGCCTTATGCAATAATAAGACATCTTAGCCTTATGCAATAATAACACACCTTAGCCTTATGCAATAATAACACACCTTAGCCTTATGCAATAATAACACACCTTAGCCTTATGCAATAATAACATGTAAAAAAATATTGGGGCACACCGTTACCAAGTGGGCTAAATTGAGAAATACAGTGCTGCCACGTGTAAAATATTCCCCTCCTGTACTGGAATAGTGCAGCTAAAATGCTTGCACAATTGATGAATAAATATCATTTGCGGGCCGTTTTGAAATTGGGATGTCGCATGTGGCCAGAGGACGCATAAAAAATCAAGTCGCTTGCTGTAGATTTCCCGCTCCTGATATAAACGGACACTCAATTCAATCCATTAGCCTAGTAACGATTCACCCCCTCCACAATGCGATGAACTGTCACAATTCAGGGGCATGATTTTATGATGTCATGAACTGGGATCACGGTTTGAGGAATTGATTTACAGACCAATTACGTTCTTGCCCTTGCGGTGCATGCATAACTTATGGTGATATGAACCAATGCAGTCTAAAGTGATATACATGTACATGAATCTCAATGAATTGACATGTCGTTAAGATGCCACTATCCATAGCGAACAGCTGGAAACTCAATGTTGATATATTAGAATGCAGTGCATGGGAAAAATACAATAAAATCACAAATTGTTGGCGTAATACTGCGATATCAACTCATGAACCACGTGTTTAATTTAATGACAAATTACTTTGAAGTGCGTAATTTAGACACCAATTATACATTTTTATTGTGATTCCTTTACATTCGTGATTAACATATAAATTTAGATGCGTTCACGTATCAAAACGTTCTGAGAAACAGCAACACATTTAAGCAAATAAGGTTTTTCTCTCACAACTATTGTTTCTGCTGATCTATCTCCACACCCACTCCCCGCCCCTCACCTGTTCACACATGAGGCTGATCGGGTTATTGACACAGCCGTTGACAATCTGGGCCCCCCGTCCGACGGTAGTGCCCCCCAGCGAGCGGTCGTCCCACACGCGCCCCCCTATCCTCTCTCGGGCCTCAAGCACAATCACCTGGTTGCACACGGACAAACGCAGACGGTCCTTTACATTTATTTATCTTCGCTCCAACACCACCAACAAAGCAATACATTACATGGGTCGTTTGGGACTGCTCTATGGACTCTTGACATGGACTGTGAAGGCCTATACACAGCAACAGAGGAGTTTTATAGCATTAATGGCCTCATAACAACAGCTAGTCTGGGTCTAAGATTATGCCCCAAGGACAGGGTACAACAAAAATGTTTTGGCGAGCCCCATAATCAAATTAGTGTCACGTGTACGAGCGCTATGTCACGAGGTGTCGTGATGTTAAAATATCTGTCCATACGACCGCTCTTTTGTTCTTATTATTGGGTCTTTCACCTTCCTCTTGTTTATCTCACTATCAACTCACTTATGTTTATCTCTTGTCTACAGCTCTAGCTCTGTATTTTGCTGATCTCTAATTTTTATATACCTTTTCTTCATATCTCGGCGAGCCGTAGCTCTCGGCCAAGCCTTAGCTTGGCGGGCCATTCAAAGAGCCCATGGGCCAGATGTGGCCCTCAGGCGGCTAACTGAAGAAACCTGTCCAAAGATAAAAACCCATGATCCAAAACAATCGCTTTTACCTTGAGGCCGAAGTTATGAAGCTGCCGAGCAGCGGCAAGGCCTGCCGGACCGGCTCCTATAACCACCACGGAATTCTGTACAACGTAACATACATAGCAAAATTATGTTCATCACACAAAGGCAACACTGAAGGATGCGCACACAAATACGACGTTATATACTGTAGCTGAAGTCGCTGAGCTGTGAAAAAGCTCAATTGTTAAGAGGAACAGCCTCCCGGGCTTGATGGCATGAGTTTAAATCCCAACGAGGATCAAAGAAGGGTAGTTGTGTTATGAAAAGACAAATTGATACCATTATAATAATAAAAAGATTGAATAATTTGCCACCTTTTGTCAATCGACTGGTGGACAGATGCCTCCCTACATTCGGCAAGGGGGTAGGATGCTGGCGATAGCTGTAGCCAGGAATCAAACACGGGTTGCCGGTTCATAGGGCAGTGTGTTAAGTTATCCCACCATAAATACCAGTAATTTCCACTACTTGCCATGAGCACCATCAGGACCACAAACGGATATGAACACCACCCATTGCTTATGAGAAGTGCTAAAATAACAAAAAAAAATTGTACGATGATTATTTTATCGGTGTCACTGATGACGGTGCAATAAGTGATTAAAAAAATGGCAGCGGAGATGATGATGTATGTGACGATGATGATGAGGGGGATGATGATGATGATGATAATTGACAAAGGTGATAACGATGCTGATGATAGTGAGGGTGATAATAGGTTTTTTCCCCTTTTTTCTGGCAACAAAACAGGTGTTAAGATATTCTTAGCTCTTTCGGTAAAGTCACGTTGAAGGGAAACAATAAAATAATAAAATATATATAAAACAAGATGTGTTAAGATGTTAAAACACCAAACTGAAACCTTTTACAAGGAATCATGTCTGCATTAACCGCAATGCTTGTGGTGAGAATGCAAACAAAAATAAGTTTCAAGGACAATGCATATATTATCAGAGTATGTTTACTGTTTGCATTCTGACCACAAGCATTGTGGTTAATGCATACATGATTCCTTGTAAAAGATTTCAGTTTGGCGTTTTAACATCTCAACACACCTATTTTGTTGCCAGAAAAAAAGGGGAAAGAGCCTATTATCATATTTTGGTCCTGACAAAGGAGGTCCCATGATGATAGCGAGAGTGATGACCATATGGAGGGTGTGCCTGCCTTGCGGTAGTGTAACGGTAAGAGCGGGCGTCCCGGGTGTGCAGAGAGCAACCCCGTGTTGATGAGGCCCTTGCGCATGGCGAAGTGAAGGATGCCCTCCAGCTCCTGCATGCAGCGCACACGAATCAGGCCCCGTACCAGTAGGTGCTGCATGCACTTCTGCACCGTCAGGAACTCCTGCATGCACAGAGGGAGCAAGCACACAACACACATTAAAACCATTACTCCAAACCCCTCCACTGGCTCCCAATACAATCCCAGATAAATGTTAAGACTGCACTCACCCATCGTCAAGATGCTTTATGAACTCGCCACTACCCAACTCTCCTCATTCATCTCACTCTAATCCACGCGCTAGCCCACCTCTCCCATCTCATCTCACTTTATTCTCCTCCACGCATGCTCCGCTCCAGCAACCAAGGCCTTCTATCAAACCCTCCAGTCAACCTTTTCTCAGCGGTAGGTTGCTCATTCCCCTTCTTGGTGCAGAATACAGTACAATGACATTTTTTGTACTGCCTGTGTTATACTTGCTAGTCGCCCATGCAAGCATTATCAAGGCTCAACCATGCTTAGCTTCGGAGCCGATGAGTTTGAGCGCATTGCAGGTACTTGGTCATAGACCATGTTTAGGTACAGTAAAACCTTGGATTGCGAGCATAATTCCTTCCGGAAACACGTTTGTGATCCAAAGAACTTGTATATCAAAGCACTCGTATATCAGTTGTGATCACGTGACGCTCGGCAGACAAAGCGTATACGTACTACTCGTATTGCAAGACCTCGCTCGTTTATCAAATTAATATTTATTTACATTTTTTGCTCGTCTTGCAAAACACTCGCAGACCAAGTTACACGCAATACAACGTTTTACTGTATTTATAATTGTGTACCCTTTTGTACGTCTCTTTCTGTCACTTCTTGGCCAAGTGAACCCGTGCATTCCATCATTTGGGTGAAATATCAAATTTTAGTCGGTGCATAATTTTGGCCAAAGCAAAGTGTGCAACGTTGAGGCAACCCATTCACATAGGAATCACCTTGCAGTTCATGTTCCAAAGCGCCAGGATGAGGTTGCGCAGTGCCAGGTACATGGTGGGGTCGCGTGAGAACTCGGGGAACTCGTACAGCTCATCCAGCTCCATGACATCTGGCCGCACGCACAGGGCCTTGCCGCTCTCGTTGGGCTGGTAGAAGGGCTGGAAGTATGGGTTCAGGCCAGGCACTGGCAGCACACAAAACATATAGTGGACATGTACAGCTCTGTGTTAATTCGCTGCTGGATGAGGACCTCTCCCAAGCCACGTGGATCATAGAGGTTATATTTTTTTTGTTACCACATTTCATCATAATGGTTTCTGAGCACAAGCCCAAAGTATCAAAAATAACAAGCAACCCAACAACAAACGGTACTATTAGATGTGTTAAAGATAACATTGAAAACGTTACCTAGGATTTTTGGCAAGGAGTGGAGCATAGATGTTGGATTACACAAGTACAGTACAACAATGCATTTTTCTCACTGCTCTCTGATATCCACATGAGTTCCACTGCCTAAAGGCTATAACTAATGTCAAACGCCCATTACAGCACCATCTAAGCTCAAGCTTGCTTGGCTTTCGAGATCTGATGAGATCAGGTGCTATTCAGGTGATTTCCATATACTTTATGCAGAAACACAGGATTTCCAGATCACAAATATTACCCTCTAGTGTCCGATTAGTGTGGCTAAGATGCTTGCAGTGACAGATACATATTGTGTGCAGGGTGTTTCAAAATGGTAGGTCTCATGTAGGCGTGGGATGTATGAAATGAAATCACGGGCCATTCCTGACCTTTGGGCCATAAGCTTCCCATCACTGGGTTAATGGGCTAGTCTTTTCACCTGCGTAGGTTATGCTGGGATAGTTCTCTCTTGGAGGTAATGTGCTCTAAGAAATCTGTGACAATCCCAGGACATGAAAAGTCCAAGATTTTGTCAGTTGCCTAATAATGCACCACTCAAGATAGTGTACTTACATGTAGTTCTCACCACTTCAGGTATGATGGGATCCTGTCCTACCCATGATAAATCCCAGTTACTTTGCAGTTCAGAGGTGGCGACCCTATAGTGGGCAACTGTGTGAATGCTCGCATAGCCAGCAGCAGAGGTGTGGTGTGAGCATGAGCACCTGTGGTGTGTGGCACGGTGTGCGAGTAGTTCTCGAGGCTGGTAAATCGTGGCACCGAGCGCTCCGTGCCGGCGCACGCCGGGCTCATGCCTACGCAGTCCAGGTAGTAGGCTGAGAGGAAGGGAGCGGCGGGGCTGTCCTTCAACAGCGGGGGCAGCAGCAGCATTGCAAACCAGCGCGGTTCGCTCACCTCGACCACCCTCTGCCAGCCACACAACAGAGACACGAGATCTCCGATACAGCCTTTTTTTATAGGTTGTTGTGGCAAGTGCTGTTAGCGGGCACCTATAAAGGCCGGACAGGCAACGACGGAGTGGTGTGGCTAGCACAACATCTGGCCTGCTATGCCCCCCCAGGAACTCATTTAAGACCGAGTAGACCTAGAGGAGGCCCAGGACTGGTTCAGATATTGGTCGATTATGTTAACCGTGGCTGTCAATTGAACGCTGGTCGCTGGATGCGTAGCACAGTGTGTTCATGACTATACTACTGCTCCACCTTAAAACACACACGCACAACACACATACAAGGCAGTCCCCGGGTGATGGAAGACCCGACTTACGGAAATCCGACTTTACGGAAATGCTGCCATAAATCATGTACATTTTTTTTAAATATGCAGAAATGTTTGCATTACTTAAGTAAGCGCAAATCGTGCAGCGCAGTGAGGCTGCGGTTGAACAGTGCAGGGCGAAGTAAAAGCTCCGCCTTACGCCTCGCTCCACCAAAACGCTGCCTTCACTGAGCCCGAGCTTCACTAGGATAAAGGTAAATGGCATTTTTGGTAGCCTTACGTAATTATTTTCCCTTTGTAGCATTATATAATTGTTTGTTTTCTATGCTTAGAAACATCTTTTGTCCCCATGTTTCTATTGCTAGTTTTCTTGTACATTATGTACTGTGTGTATGTGTTTGTGTGTATGTGAAGTCTAGGCCTAGCTGAATGCACGAAGTGACGGCTTTCTGTTAACAATTAATATTAAAATTAACAATTGTATACAGTATATGTTCCTTTAGTTTGTGTAGTGTTAGAGTAGATATCCGATGAAATGAAAGAATAATAACAAGTGCAGAGCCTATGTACAGCGATAGATACAGGTAGTGATAGAAAACGGGCAACAGGGTGATACAGTACTGAGAGTAAACGGTTGGGGAGGTACCACTATTTCCGGCAATGGAATTTTTAAATTATTATTTTGGGGGAAAATTGTTCAGTTTCCGACATACGTAAAATTCGGGTTCTGAATATTTCTCAGGAACCTAACCATTCCATAACCCGGGGGACTTCCTGTATATTATCCCCCGTTAAGCGATAAAGACTGTGGAAATTCTGTTAGTGAGCACCCATTAAGGCTGCTAGCACATCAATGATAGCATGGTACAAAAAGGGGTCATGTCGCAAGCACCACACCGCCTTCGTCACCCCAGTGAGGGGAGACCAGGACTGGTTCAGATGTCACTGGTGCTGGTTGCGAGTGGTAATCGAACATGGGTCGGAGGCTTCGTAGCGCACAGCACTAACTACAATGCCACTACTCCCCCCCCCCCCCCTACAAACTCACACACCCAACCACAAACGAACAAACACAAATCAAAACGTGCTCGTGTACAAAACAGAACTAACATGAACGGACCTTTTCCAAGTTGCGCAAAAAACATGATCTGACTCACTGTATCAGGCAGCAACCTTTCGTAGCAAGCAGTGGCTTGATATAAAAAGGATTTCAACGTATAATTGTAACATGTTTTAATAGTACCAAAATATTATACTCGATGTTCAATGCATGAATATTCATATTTGTAACGGTTGAGCTTAGCTTGTCAAACATACCGAGTCTTCTGGCGGGGCGCATGGATCAAAACCTTCATTCTGTGAACAGAAGAAAACAATGAAAATTGGTGTTTTACCCTTTTATCTGGCAACAAAACTGACACATTTTTTACAAGGAGTCATGTTTGCATTGACCACAATACCTGCGGTCGGAATGCAAACAAAAAACATAACTCTGATAATGTATTGGCACTCTCCTTGAAATTGATTGGTCCACACCCGAGACGCCTTTTGGTGTCATCTGGTCCAACACCATGTGAGACGAGGCTCTAAGGAAAGCTGTCTCGGGTGTGGACAAATCAATTTCAAGGATAGTGCATACATTATCAGAGTTATGTTTTTTGTTTGCATTACGACCGCAGGTATTGTGGTGAATGCAAACATGACTCCTTGTAAAAAAAAAGGTGTCAGTTTTGTTGCCAGATAAAAGGGTAAAAAAAACAATTATCATAAAATAAAAGAATGTTCCACACAGGTTATCAAACCCACAACAACATCCATCCATATCAACGGTCGTACATCTACAGGCCTTTTATGCATCCACTACACCTTGCGGTTATTGGACTATTCTTCACCACGCTGGCCAGTGAGGGTCGGTGAAGTTGGAGAGTATCAAGTATAAAATAGTAGAATGGATTTTGCTGCACTACCCTCTGCTGACAACATAGTCCTGTAGCAGCGTACAACACCTGTTTTATGCACGGTAGTCGTCTGAACAAACACTATCCAGGCTAAAGTCTACTAAGCTTCAGAGATCTGACGAAATCCGGGTGATTTGGTAATAGGTATCAACATCTTCTTTGGTTCTTTCGGTAAAGTCACGTAGAATGATAATAAAATAATAAATTGATAAAATAAAATAACACAATAATATTCTCACGGTATCAACAATTAAGAGGGTTCAAATGCTCAGTTGGCACCACAGTATGTTCCCTTGTTTTGTAAAATGTAAAGAAAAAGGTACAACGGTAGCCTAAAATGGACAGAGAGTACTGAAAATGTTACATGGAGGATGGTTGGCACATGTTATAGCAAAGCTCCAAAATGACGGAGAGTGTAGTTAGCTTCATCATCGAGATGACAATTACCCGGCAATGACTAACGAATGCGTCCTTACCTTAACAGCGGAATTTACTTTCATGCCGCAGCAGTACGTCTGGGCGAGCTCGGTCGTAAGCATCACCTCTCGTGTGAGCTGCCTCCACTTGCCACAGCCCGGCTTAGTGCACTGCACCTGCACACATGACAAGCACCGCACCCACCACTTTACTTTTGGACGTATTTTAACTGTTCGGATCTTTCATAGAGCAGCGCAACGCCGCCATGTTGGTGAATGGCCTGCGGTTTTTGTTGTCAGAGCTACCTCGGAGATCCCTTTAAATGACCTCTGGTCCACACAGTAGGATGCAACCCTTTCCCACAAATATTTGCATTCTCAGTCTGCAGATACAAATTTGTGTCAAATAAAATCTTATTAATTTTTTTTATGTGGCCATTGTGGCCGTACTGATACCATCAATTCACTACACTTGAGAACGAAGTTTAATCACAAGTGTCTGCCCAAATTGGAACCCAAGAATTCAGCACCGTCAGCTCAGTCCTCTGAGCGACCTAAACAGATATTCAAAAATAAAACTGGGTGTAGTGATGCAAGCATTTCATCCCACAATTTAGGTGCCTGAAGAAGGCAGTACAGCAAGCAGGGTTTCGAGCTACAGAATGTGTGGCGCATGACAGGTATTGCCTTGACTTAAAGCTTTCGTGACTGCAGGAATTCATATTCTTTGGGTCTTTCGGTAAAGTCACGTAGATAGGTTCAAAGAAAAAAAACTATGACGTTTCGATCACAACACAAGCGTTCGTCATCTTGACGATCGAAACGTCGTAGTTTTTTGTTATTTTTTATGAAACTATCTACGTGACTTTATCGAAAGACCCAAAGAATAGGTATTGCCTTGTATATGTGGGTTTTTTCAAAAGTACTCAGGTTTCTACACCACAAGAAAAAATACAAAAGTAATTGGCCAAAGTCCCAATGCCAAAGTGGCATGAAATATAACCTTGAGACTCAGTGAGACTTTCTTTGGTAAACAACAAAAATATTATTATTTAGCCCAAGTTTGCCCAACGATATAAGGCTATTAAAAACACACACAAGCACGTCTGAAATGTATACATTTGAATGGAGCCATTCGGTCTGCAGATGATAAAGTATGACTTGCAAACAATATATATGCCTATTGTCTAGGACTGCTCTCCGATCAGATTCGCTGGAGAACCTATTTTTTTTTCATATGGTGGGGAGTTCTCAAGTTTGTTGAGTCAGTGGATGACTTCAGGAGTAGCCTGGTGATGAACTAAAATGCTGCCAGCGAATGATAAAAATGGGCAGTGGTGCTACGCTGTGGTTCATAGTTTCAGACTGGTGACCGTAGTTGCACTGCAAGCTATTGCTTAATAAATGAAGAACTGAGAGCACTGAACACTCCATGCGATGATGATGATGATGCTGTGGCCTGGCTCTTAAGTACGTAGACGCTAGTAGCAGTCGTCTGTTCTCCTATGAAGCGGTAGTTGCATTCCTGAACAACACCGCGTTATGGAAAAAATGCGTTATAATAAATAATATAGAATATATGGTAAAGTAAGTCCGTGATAAAAGGTGAGATGAGTATGCAAGCTGAATAAAGACTGAGGCACGTGGGTAATATCTAGAAGCATCCAGCAGCATCCTGCCTTGTGTGATGCTACACGGAGGCAGCCTTTAATCCGCTCATTCCTACTCGCGCGACGTAGTTCTGGTCACTTAATGCGTTATATCAAAATTGGCATCAGCGTTATAAAAATGTGTTTCCTCATACATGCATCGCGTTATATCCAATTCGCGTGATGAAAACATACGTTCTAGGAAAACAGACTGTACGCATGCAACAATGTACGCTGTGACTCGTCGTACCCAGTAGGGAAGCTGCTGATCAGCCATGAAGGCCTTGATGCTTGGTTCGCTCTTCCCATTCATGGTCCACACTCGCTTCCAGCTCGCGTAGCGCTCGTAGCCATCCTTGTGACTGCACGTACGTATTTACACACAGGGCATGTATATACGTTTTATCACCCGAGGGATTACACCGAGAGACAAAAAGAGGAATGCGTGGATTAGAGAACATGCTAAAAAATACATACTGTCGGCTGTTGAGAAAATCGAGTGAGTTTGGGCCGGACACATTTGTAGAAGGGATCGTTGGCAAGCAAAAATATAAATGGAGTTGAATGAGGGAACGTGTCCAACGGAATGCCCGACGTGGAGATGGAGGCCCTCATCCAGCAGCGGATTCACAATGGGTTGTATATGTGGATGTACTTCTTGAGATGTTATGCTCCCTTTACATGGCTTGCTTTCGGAATTATTTAAATCAGCAATCCCATAAGCTGTCAAATTAAATGGCATAATGTCCGAGTTGTCCGTCCACAATGATCCTTAAACAATTCATGACCCACCTGCGGTAGTGGTGGTCAAAGCACTCGTTGCAGAAATGCTCCCCGCATGACAGGTGGTACCAGCGTGACGTGTAACCGTTCTTCGCACACCTGCACAAAACACGCGGACATGAAAAATACACACGTGCTCTCAATTTCAGGCAGCCCCCTGCTTTGAATCACAGTTGCAGCAAATAAAACACAGCTACGACTTCATCAAGAATTTCGGTCAAATTATATGCACGTAAAAGTTGGCCCCTTTTATCAATCCACTGATGGATGAGGGCTTCCCAATGCAGTACAACCCCTCTTAACGACGGTAATTGGGTCCACGAAACCGGTCGTTAAGTGATTTGGTTGTTAAGCGAGTACAGTAAAACCTTGGATTGCGAGCATAATTCGTTCCGGAAACGTGTTTGTAATCCAAAACACTCGTATATCAAAGCACTCGTATATCAGTTATGATCACATGACGCTTAGCAGACAAAGCGCATACATACTGCTCGTATTGCAAGACCTCGCTCATTTATCAAATTAATATTTATTTAAAATTTTTGCTCGTCTTGCAAAACACTCGTAGACCAAATTACTCGCAATCCAAGGTTTTACTGTATAAGAAATACCTGTTAAAGGATGAATTCGTTCTGATAGCATGGTAAGTTACCATTTTTCACCCAAAAAAAACGTACTTTATAATATTTAAACAATAGATATTAATACATAAAGATACTAACTATATTAGAAACACATCATATTAAAAGAAATATGGTTAATCAATGCATCAATTCATATTTAATGTACCTACAACAGCCTGTCGTTAACAGGGGAATGTTCGGTAAGCTAAAACATTGGGCTCTATAGGAGGCTCGCAGTTAAGCGATTAGTCGTTAACAGGGGTGGTCGTTAAGAGAGATTCTACTGTACTGTGTCCATCATTGTGGTTATTTTGACCACATTTCACCCCGCTGGTCAGTACGGGGTTGGTCAAAATTGAGAGCACAGACAGTGAAGCATATATGTACAGTACAACATTATAATGCATTGCCCTAAACTGCCCATCATGTAGCCCTGCGGCACTACGGCAACCCTTTTGTGCAGGCCGATCACCTTTCCAAGCACTACCCAGGTTCAGCTTCCGAAATCTAAAACAATTGGGTGTATTCCAGTTGATATGGTCAAAGGCTGAGTGCTCACCAGTGCAACATAGTTGAACTATAGGTGCCGCCTTCTGCTATCACACAATGTATGATCAAGGAAGGCTTTCTACAATCAGGGTGGGTGACAGTAACCATGAGCGTACATAGACGGGAGGAGGGCAGCCGCCTTCTCACCCCCACTAACGTTTGGGGACACGGACAATCCATGAAGCTGCGCTCCTTCAATTAATACATTAATGGGCCCCATTAGTTACGCGGCACGAGAACCTATTGCTACACGTTCGCCGTGCCCCCCCCTCACCCCGCGACTTCAACATTGTTGTCATGCGCTGGGGTCACCCACCGCTCGCTTGCGCTCACGAAGCACACCGGCACGGTGACCATGCAGCCGACCTTCTCGCACTTGCGGTAGCGTTTCTCGTCATCCTCCTCGGGTTCCAGTCCTCCTGGCACCTTCTTTTTTATCTGCAACCCGGGCATGGTGGGCACAGAGATCACGTAGAACGTATCACAGATTATGACGCTCGACAAGACTTGCTGTAAGTGTTGCACCGCGTAACTAGACGACTTGCCAACACTACCGACTGAAGCGGTAGACTGAGAATTATTAAACTGTTTACCGTTTACCTATTTTTCAAATCTAATCATGTGGCTTCATATAAACATTGGTCGGGAAAAAAAATGACGAAAAGGTATTTTGGGTTTAAAACTCAATACAAGAGGAAAAGGGTTTAAATATCGGCAGGCTGACGCTTAAATAGGTGGGGTTGGCAAATACGCAACCATAACTGTGGGAAACATTACCTGCCGTCCTGAACTCCGCACCATGGAGTTTGCAGTGATCATCTCCAACACAACAGCTTTCCTTTTACCTCGTGGCCGGGCAGCAGCCATCCTGGCAAGGGAACACGCAGCATGGGCAATGCTTTTGTATGCTAATGGTGGCCAGACGGCAACCATGATACCAAGGAAACAGGCGGGACTAGGCAGGGAGGGGGTTACATATGCTAATGTCGACCGATCAGCGAGCGTAAAATGAGGGATACAAAAGGCACGGGCAGCATAAGCTATAATAACCACCGAGAAGTGGCTATAATGCTGGCAAATGCATAGGAGCAAAGGGGTTGTTGATTAAGGTAAATGAAATGGGTTTGCAATCCATACAAATACTAACCGCTCTTATCTTGTAGATATGGCCTAAGCTGTTTGTCCATGGCTATAATGAGAAACACTTGAAAATCAGAGTCAGATATGCTCGAGCAATATTTGCAATCAAATATCAATCTTATATTGCAAATAACCAAAGTCATGATGCAGTAATGTCACTCAAGCATTTGTGAATGTGATTTTAAAGTAGTTTCGCATTCATGTTGGACAGCAAGAGGCACAGCTTAGGTGTGTATCACAAACAGCTGTTTGTGCTTTGGGCTGGGCCATCCTTTAGTCTATTCCCGAGGGGCCACGGTAACAATACGGACTTGCATGGTGTGATACGGACTGTACAGAGAACAGTGAAAGGCACAAGATTGGCCACAATCACAGCAGCTTACCACTGTTAAGTAGGCTTGGTTGATTATCCCGTAGTGAACTGCGTTTGCTCGCCACTAAGCCAAAGGTTCGATTTCCACCGCTGTCCAGAAATGTCTGCCGGAAAAATACCAACATGCACGCCCACTGTCAATACATAGCACTGTTTCTTCAACGACGCCACTATTCACGGGATCCTTCTTTATAACTATGAGCATTCAAAATTCCCGGCACAGGCCACAAAACATGTGCAACGAAAGCTTGGAGATGGTCCCTAAGAGACCGCTCCTGCCACTTCACTTACCACACACGTTACCATTAATCCCTCACTTGAAATACAAGGTCTTTTTTTTACCAAGGTAATAAACCTTATTTAAAGACACCATGATGCTACTCTTAATGGAAGTCGAAGATTTGAAAGATCACCACGTTATTTTTTTAGCAGCCTCCTGAAGGGACTGCAGAACTAATTATTTGCCAACACCTTCCGTGATAATTCCATGTCATTATAACACGACACTTTACGGACTTTGAATTCTGAAAGGACATCACTTCACTTTGTGATACGACTCCCATATCAAGTGTGGTACAGCCCTTTTGTGAATACACTGCTAGATGAGGGCCTCCCCATGGCTCTGCCGGCCATGAGGATTATTTGGGATGTTGAAGGTAAGCAGCATAGATGTCAGAACACATTGTAAACATTCTATGGATTGGTTGGCACTACTCTCTAATGCCCACCACATAGCTCCACAAGCCTGATGACAACCTATTTGTGTATGGAAGTCACCCATCCAAGAGTATTTCAGGTTGAATAGTGCTAAGCTTCTGAGTTCCCATGAGATTGGGTGCATTCCCCGGTAATTTGGTTCCTGGCAAATTGATGGCAATAAAGAAATAAAAACAATCTCTCATCTTGCCAGTGAAAACCCATTTTGCCAGTGAAAACCCATTTTGCCTAAAGCATATGTTCCTTTATATGGATGAACGCAGTTGACACACCCTGTGTGTACGGTCTACGTGAACTGTAAAGGAACCATTGAACTGCAAACATTCTACTGTGTTAGCCACTCCTTGTATGGGAAATCTGGAAAAACCGGCATGGCTTTTGGCGCCAATGGTCTGCCGTATTATCAAAAACATGCATTATCACATGGTTTGTTTTTCAAATCTTTATGACAATACAAAACAAAGTTTCAACCAGCGTTGTTACCTGTTCTAGTTTTCCTAGGATGTCCTCATTTAGAGGTTATCCTGACAGTCTGCATGTATTCCGGATATATTAACAGTCTCAATTTGTCAGTTTCATAATGATTCACCGCTCAAGGCAATGCATTTACATGTCGTTCTTCCCTCTTCCGGTATTGTGAAATAGTCTTCTTCCAATGTATTATTTTTTTGTATCTCAAAGTTGACAACCCTCATTTCACCAAAGGGGTGGAGCAGTGGCACACTCGTGAGCGCATTGCACAACGAACCTCGACACCCGAGTTTGATTCCCAGCCAGGGCTAATGTCAATAGTGATATCTGAACAGGTCCTCGGCACGTGGTTACAAATGCACATTGACCATTGTGGCGAAATATGATTTTTCTTAATCCCATGACCAACACCGTGTGGCGGGGGGGGGAGTCTTCATATAGCAGTGAATTGTACAAAGGGCTGTAAAAAAGAACACTTTTTGGACTCCATGTGCCTTGTTTGTAAGAACAAGTCACGGACTCCCCTTAGTGATGAAGGCCTCTCCTCGACGTGCAGATCACGTGGGTTGTTTGACCAGAAAACGTTCACAATCCAGCAAATTAAAGAATCGAATCTGAAATTTTCCGAATTGCACGCAATACTCGTGTATGAAATTCAACATGAGAAGTTGAAACTAAAAAAGAACGGAGCTGTGGTTTGGGCTATAATTACAGCTTATTCTGGGAAATCAGTACCCAGAGTGCCTTACATTTCTAATCTAATTACACTTGAGTCTAAAACAGCATATAATGAAGCATTAGGGCCTCACACATTTATTCTCATCTTGTGTGTCAAGAGTGCCTGAGACCTACCTATTTTCTCGCCCATCATATGCTATAGAAGCAGTACTAGAGACTTACTTATATACTAATCCTGCATCCCATCGGACAGTGGTGCATTAGATTTAGATTGTAACACCGCACCTGCTTAAACAACAGGGTCACGTTCCTTTTTCAGCCGTGGATGGACGAAAGGGTTGTAGATGCATTACTGTTTGTTCTTACCATCTTAAACCTACCTCTCTTCTCACCCATCATATGCTGACGCAGCAATGCAATTATACGTACATTTGAACACACAGCATCTGATGAAACATAGGGTCTCGTACACCTATTTCCCAGTGTCCGCTATGGTCATCGCTACAATCATGTACCTATTCTCGCGTATTATCTCTGGTTCAACAGCGCCTTGTGTATTTACATGTTGCGCCACTAGCTTAATGTAACACGAGTTCAATTACAGCTGTCTTCTCGTCCATCACTTGCCGACAGTCGCCTCGGACACACAGCACTGCAAGGAAATACCCATTAGTTCGACAACACGGTGCATGACCACAACACAAATGTATTATCCATAATCTTCCAACACAAACAATGACATGACATGCAACGCCGCAGGCTCATTCACGGGTTAGCATAATTTCACAACACGTGTGGCCGTGGGTCCATCCGCTGCTGGATGGAAGGCCTGCTCCAAAATCACCGCCACCTCTCTCGTTATCACCTCGTCGGTGCACACACACGAGCCGAATTGATCGATTGATCGCTCCGTCTCCGCGGTGGCTGTTAACTCTCAAACGCGTTCCACATCCCTACTTGGCTTGCCAATGTCATCATCAACATCGCCGCCGCCACCACCACCACTACCGACCCTTCCATAGGGCGACATGTGGGACACAAGGCCCCAATAGGGGGCCATCCATTTAGTATGTACGCAAAAATTCTGTCAAAACTTGACCACCCCGCATCTCTCTCTCTCTCTCGTACGCCTGACGCACCCCCCCCCCCCCCCAACGAATCCTATAGAACTGCCAATATTTAATCCACGCAGAAACGATCAATGATTAATAATATTAACGTGTTTAAGCAAACAGACAGTCCACCGCCAGACTATCTAACTCATTTGAAGGCCAACGTAGACGAATTATCGAGGCTTCCTATGCGTGCATTGTCAGTAGACTCCCCCCCCCTCTCACCCACCCCATACACAACGAAACGCATTTGTGTTAAACCTCCCCCCCCCCCACTCACTTTTACTTCACTTACCAAGACACAAACCGCGCGTGTTTTTTTTTTAAATGTTGTTGTAACAGTTCGAAAAGTCTTTCTAAACCGTGCGTGCGTGCGGTTTATAAACCCAAGGCCCCACTCACAGCTGTTCACCCACCCACCTACACACACAACGCACGCGGGTACAGTGCAGCGGTCCGACGTTGATTGCGGCGGCGGCGGCGTTCACGACGCCGCCAGCGAGCGGGCCCGCGACTGCCGTCCGGCGTTTTGTTTTGCCGCGAGGGTGTGAAATTATCTGAGGGTTTAAGATGCGTTGCGTTGCTTTGCTGCGTTCTCACCCGCCTTCCTTGATTCCTTACCTCGGCTTAAACGTCGAGCTCAGCGCGCGCCCCACCCACCCCCCTCTCAAGTGGCCCGCCCCTTTTCGTGACGTCATCCTCGGGCCCCCCTCACCTCCGCGGCTGTTGCCAGATCGGAGGCGGTTTTACCTCTCGCCCGGCGTTATTCAAATTGCAAGCGGTGTGAAATTCATCGAAAAACTCTCGAAAGAGTTTAGAATCCACAAGACGTGTATTGTCCGAGCGCAATTAATCCATTGTGGGTGTCACTGAGTTAATTGTGAGGGGTCCGTTTCAAAACAAGGGGGGGGGGGGGTTTCCCCTCTTTTCTTTCGATTTCGAGACTCGGTTGCGGCTCCGTTGAACCCAGCCCGGCTGCACTGCGGCCTTGGCCGCCTTCTTGTCTTGTGGTTTGTTATTGTTGTCGTCTGACTTGCATCCCACTGGGGTATTTGCACAACAGCGTTGGCGTACGGTGCTTTTTTCTGGAAGCTTTTGCTGTTTCTTTTTTCTCTCTTCCCCTAGATTTTTCTGTTTTGGGCATAGTCGCTTTAAGATGGTTTGTTTTTTGGTTTGTTGTTTGTTGCGATTGCACCCGATTCAAGAGCCGAATGGCTCACAGGGCTCTACAACCAAATAAACGAAACTGAAAACTTTCCTCCCTCGGGGGGGTCCCCCCAGCCCCCAGCCCCAAGGCACCGTCCTCAGTCAGCCGGTGGGTGTCCCCACGTGGACGGGGCCACACGCGCTGAACAATCGACCCAACTCTCTCAACACCCCCACATACACACACACTAAAGGTGTGTCACGAGCGTGTCAACAACACCCAACGCAACCCACAGGGTTTAAACAAAAACACAGACAAAGATCCCCACCCCGTATAGCCTTGACAGACTGTAGAGGCAAAGTGCTGTTAGCGAGCGCCTGTGAAGGCCGGACACGGCACACGAGGGGGTGGGTGGCCAGCAGCACCACGCCCGGCCGCCTTTGTCTCCCCTAGTGACGGTGTTTACTACACACCGCACCGGGTACTCATTTGAGGCTGAGTCGACCTAGGGGAGGCCCGGGACCGGTTAAGAAAACACACACACATTCTCTTGTACAGGGAAGTTGAGTAAAACAACCCAAACAGAAAAAAAATGTGCGTCTCTCTTCTTTGTTTGTGTTTCCCCTATGTGATGGGACTTTGTCGGATGAAGGTTGTGATTTATAAGGGGCACGGGGTGACCAATAAGGTCTGAAATGTTCTGCAATAAGGTAAGGACACTGATAAGGAATTGACAGATGTGGTGTGTACCGCAACCACAACTCTGATACACAGTTCCCCACAGAGGTATGCAGGTAGTCCCCGACTTACGATGGTCCCCGACTTACGACATTTCGATCTTACGATGGCGATAACGATATGACAACACTGTAAAATATTTTTAATTTAGCGCGGCAGGCAAACGCAGCAGCGTCCGAGGTACGATACTGTAACTTTATCATCACCATCATCCTCTTCCGACAACTAAGTTAATGTAGCCATCAACAACCTAACATCCTTCAAGTATGCAGACGACGGACAATATTGGTGAGTCAGTAGAATATACGTTACGATACGTTCATTGCATGTATGATACATAGCTTTAGCGATTTCATTTTAGGGTTATCACGATACATACGTTCAATCCATGTTAAAAGTTTTTTTTTTAATAGCAGATAGGATTGTTTCCAGAAACAAAACTTTCTATGAAATTGCAGTTCATATAGGTAGGCTAATAATTTACCTTGTTTTTACTTTAAATTTTACTGTGCAATACAGTATTGTAATTAATAAATACATACAGCATTTAGTTTATACAGTACGGTACTGTAAATTGCTCTGTTTTGCTAAATTATCACCATTCTTTAAGAGTCCTGGGGTAGGCTAGGCCATTTCGACTTACGATATTTTCGACTTACGATGGGGTCGTCGTAACGCATCTCCATCGTAAGTCGGGGACTACCTGTATTCTTTTAAAGGGCGATTCGGGTGGTAGACAGAGGTAGGGTTTCGCGACCAATATTTATCCATAACAGAGGGGGTTTTATTTTCGAAGTGTACATTTTGCGGGTTTGCTCTCCCAACGCACCCGGTGTGCTGTAACTCGTAACTAATTGGCACGTTCTGTTTACGTGACACATCCTTAGTAATTGGCCGTGTCGGGTGGTGGTGGGTATTAACGACATACATTTATATTTACACGATCTAACCCACTAAAACCAAAAACCTCATGTATTTAAATTCGCCCATAACAATGTGCCCTTGTTTGTGTGGCCTTGGAGGGGGAAATGGCCAACTGTCTGACGTTTCGGGCAATGGCTCTTCGTGTGCTATGAAGGGGCCATTTGCCCGAAATATCGCCGACCGCATATTATTTTCAAAATAACAATTTTGCGTTGAGAATATAACAAAATAAACAAGCAGACGACACGCCTGTCATTACATCAAAAAAAATATTTTTAAACATACCACCAACCACGTGGTCTTTCCTTATAGAAGTGCATAACGTGGTCTCTTGAGCTCCTGTCCTTATTAAAAGACACTTGAACTTCTGCTTGCTTTGCCATCATGTTAGGAGAGACCCCGAATGACTGCACTGTTGAATGCCTCAACAGTGCAGAAAGCGCTGCATCTGCACCCCACTAGATATAAGAGAAGCTAGATGTGATTTGTGTTACTCTGTAATTACGGAGAGCTATGATTAGAATTCAAATATTCGAGCTCCGCGTGCACATTGCCACATCTCAGCACACCACGTGACTGACCTGCAAATCATGTGTCCGCTCAGTGTTCGGAGTAAGGGTAGGGTCTAAAGTATCGCTCATCTGCCCTGAGCAAATTGCGACTCAGCGCTCTACATGCCACTGCTATGTTGTTTGTTAAAATTTGTCCTTAAATTCACTAAAAATATGTGATCCGCGTATTGGCCACGACTGGGCTATGCATAATGTATACACCTCTAAATAAGAGGTTCTTGTTGCAAAGGCCGTCAATTTGTTTTTAATTAAATGCCCCATTGGCAGTTTGTTAGATCAAAGGTTTTACCTATAATCTTTGAATATTTGTATAAGGGTGATCAGTAAATTCAGTGTATAAATGGATTTCCTCTAAAAATTACCTCCAGAACTTGGGATGCTGTACTCAGTATTATATTCAACAATTATCTGAAGTTTTAATTTAGTTTTGGCGTCTTAATGTGGAATTTTGATGGCCAAAATGATATTTTAGGAAACCAAATGGGGGGTAAAACAAAATTACAAGATAACCAAGTCATATGCTAGTGTAGATGAAATGGTATGTGCAGAGAACAGTGTAAGTGGTGGAGAACATGTAGAGGCAATGATCCAGCAGTGAATGGAGTATGTCGATATTAACGCTCCTGTGGGAGACAGTCACTTGAAGTTCAACTTACACATGTAGTGTCAGACTTCACCATATCGTATTAACTTTATTATTCATAGTTAAACTCATGGCTTTAATCTAAGTTGTCTTGTGGTTGTTGTTGTTGTTTGACTTGCATCCCTCTGGGATTTTTGCACACAGCGTTGGTGTACAGTGCTTTTTCTGGAAGATCTTTGCTGTTTTTTCCTGGATTTTTCTGTTTGCGCACAGTCACTTAAAGATGTTTTCTTGTTCATGTTTTGGTTCGTTGCGGTTGCACCCGATTCAAGAGCCGAATGGCTCACAGGGCTATACCAAATAAATGAAACTGAAAAAAAATGAAACTGCACAAACAGTACATTATGCATGCTTTTTGCATCTATACAGAATCATCATCATCATGTGGAGTTCAACAGAATTCAGAACCAAATTGATTAATGGAAGCAGAATTGCAATTAATAATTTTATTTATGGTATAAAAAAATTCATAAAGTCCATTATTTATCCAGGAAAGCCTATTTTCAGGAGGCCCTTGCATTGGGATGTTTGCCAAATTCCAATATTGCGTGTTAGACATGTGGAAGGGAAACCAGTGCTGAAAGAAAACCCCACCTATGAGGGGATAAAACAGAAACCTCCACACAGATTGATTAAATCCACTTGCAGTACTGCCATCACCTAATTTCATCGTAGCCCAGCGGGTTCAAGAGTGATCCACCATTGCCTCCCAAGTGTTTGATGACAGCTGTGCACCACCATGCCCGGCTCAATTATATTTACATGTAGACCAGAAGAAAATCTTAGGATATTTGTATTAAATGACTCTGTAACTTTTTACATACAAAACGCGTTTAATATTAAAGCAAAGTCCGCTTTCCAATTCACATCACTTTATACGTATTTTGATCATGATACCTTTCACAAGGCATTGCCTAATTGTTTTTGCTGATATGCAAAAATAATTATGCCCGGTTCCCTGTTGGAGGCATCTTAAAAGAGACGACATGGAAAATGTCTTGCAATCACACACAACTCAGAGGCTGGTACAAAGCCTCAGTAGTACCTCTTTTCCACTGTATAACCGAGCCACGCTGGGGCAGCACCGAGCCTGCCCAGCACGGCTCAGGAAGTGCTAGGTTGTTTTTCCACTGAAGAAGCCGAGCCGTGCCACGTAAGTCACACACAATGAACAAGTCAAGTCGCATGCACATGATGCACTGATGCCGTGTCCTCACATTGTACTGATGTCACACACAACAAATGAGTAATTAACCACACTTGGCACTAGGCCAGATTCAGATATCTTGCAAGGCAAGTATGTCAGAGTTTGGTTCCAACACAGCTCAGAAAATAGCCAGTGGCATACCACCCGTACCTTGAGTCCCACGCTGGCACACCTCAGATATACCAGTGGAAAAGAGGTACGTATGTTGAAGTTATTTTGCACAGTACGTAACCAACCGTGCTAACCCGAGGTGCCTCACAGACAATTCCTGTCAGTGAGGCTAAGAGGGCAGCATAAGTGTGGCGTGCATGCATTCTGCAGGGCAAAGTCATCGCTTGGCACCAGAAGTGGAAATTGGGTCTTTGGAGTCCTTGTGAATACTATTCTGCTTAAAAGCCTGGAACATCTCCTTGGAGGTGAGAAATGCTCCCCGCATGACAAGCTTGTCTCCGTCATCTGATGAATGCACGCAGATACACCACACACACGACAAACTTTGTCGGTTAACTTCATGTAGTTCACCAAGTAGGCTCAGTAGTGGCGTCATTCACTCATGCCAAGCCTGGATTTAAGCACTGGAAAATACAGAAAGGGAGAAATTGGATGCCTTGAAGTTTACGTGACATTCACGATCACTGAAAAGCAGACCAAAACCATGCCAAGACATTCCAGGAACAGAAAGGCCCAGCATGTCCTGAGCTCCCCAACTCGAGGGAAGCGATCGTACTATTAAAAATATTAACACGTTTCAACTAAGTCAGGTTAGCATACACTATCCCAAGCTAAAATGTATTAATTTGTAAATTTTACAGTCCCGAAGTTGACCTAAGTGAGCGATCCCATGGAGTACGCATCTCTCTTCTGCATTGACCCTGTGACAGCACAACAGGTTCTGTGGGTGGCCTGGGTGAAAGCCTGCAGCTCCCTTAAGGGAGCCACACAGCCTGACGGATGCTGGTTTGACCCGGTTGATGCTCGATTTACCTAGGAAAGCTACCCTGATAATCCTCCTTGAGCCTACTTGCCCGGTTTTTTTTCCCCATTGCTTATGGAAATGTGATTTTAGGAGTTGCACAAGGCCATATTGATAGAGCAGGGTTCTTGTCATATTTTCTAGTAGGCCATATTATGAGACGTGTGATGTCATACATCATGCAATATCTTAAACCTCAGTGTGATTTGTAAAGATGTTCGAACGTCACATGGTTTTATAACGTCATAATGCCTGAACATTTTATCACGAATCTGTATTTCTGGTCATCTCGCTTTAATCTCATTGATCTTTATATTTTGTCTACAGCCTCTCATCTGTCTCTTCTTTGTCTCTCTTTCATCTTACTAATCTGTATCTCTTTACGTCTGGGTCACCCACATCTGTTGGCGGACTGCAGTACAGCTCAGCAGGACGTTCCAAGGTCAACCAGTTTAAGAATCCTGTTGTGAAGATAGCGGGTTAATGTATGAAGCACTCACTGAAGATGATGTCCACTTGCGGCTCGGAATTGTCGTTCCGCACATCGGTTGTGATGTTGCATTTGTCGTTGGAATCGCGCACCTTATCCGAGCCGATCAGCATGAGGAATTCCCTGGGAGGTGAGAGGTCGAGGGCCGCGGATACATAAGCTGTCAAATAATCTGTATTTAAGTCATAACTATGTAAAGTAGATAATATCCAAGCCAATGCACGACCCTCCTCAGAAGGTGTTTTGAAACTCCCGAGAGGCATTGTGAACATTCCTATATCACAATTCAGTATTTCACTAACACAACATTCACAACTTTTGACCTCCCTGCTTTCAGTTTGTGTAAGCAGTGGTTTCTTCAGTTGATGAGAACATAAGTTCGACCGCAGTCTGGACTCACATTTCCCATTATCGCCACCACCACCACCTCACTAATTATCCCTCAGCGGTTGAGAGATTACGCACTATCTGGCGGGGCTTCATCACCAACCTGCATGGGCACCGGAAAACGGTGGTTGTCCATCGAATATACAGTAGACTATGGATACAAGCACGCCTCATATAAGCACAGCTATGAGATAATAAGCACATCCTTACATTGAATTAGCGCGAGGTTGGGAGGCTTTAGGTAACTTCTGATAAACGCACACATTTGTTCGCGGCTCCAAAAGAGGTGTGTTTTATATGCAGCCTCTGCACTGGGCTCGCCACGTAAGCATGGGAGTCGTCACCACTACTGGCTCAGCACTACCAATTGAGGCGGTGAGCGGCTTCAATCGATCGCGTGGACGGCGACACTTTTTGTTCTCTCCCCCATATCCGCGTTTTGTCTTGAAGTACGTGGTGGAGGGCAGGGGATGTATGTAGGGTAACAGTATGTTGAACTTCTTTCGCACCGCACGTAGCCAACCGTGCTAATCGGAGGGCACGTGGGGGGGGTGGGGAAGGGGGAATCTCTTGACATTGACGCGCGCCGTCAGGGACATTCGCGACGGGACACGACACGTGGCTGGGGGCGACTGCAGACGAATGATGGGGCAACACGGGGAGAGGGTTTACATCTCGCGTCAATTGGCATCCTCCGTTTGCCCAGCAAGGCCTCGCAGCGTCTCACAAGACACTGGCATTTGCCAATCAGCTTACAACACGACCCGGCTCCTTCTGATCTCACTCAATTGGCCTTCCTCTCCCTCAATGCATAGTCACACATCTACAGCTCGATTTGAATCACGCGCTCTCAGGGGCCGTCTAGAACGCTCTTCTTTCCGATACGTATTTGCGAAGCGACTGGGAGCTGTGCACGTTTAAATCTACATGGGGTGTTTAATCAATGACACGCGAGAGATAACCGCAGAACGCACGCTACGCCAGTTCTACACAGATGGATTCAACAATCTAATCATCTCCTGGCCACCTGGGCATCTCAGCGCTTTGAAATCCTCGATGAAAAGCGCTACATAAATCATGTGTTTTTTTATTAATAGCGTCCCATTCAAGTACAGTAGCTGTACTGTACTAGACGTACTGTAAGCCCGTGAGATCCCAGGGACACAGAGGGTAAAGTGGTGGTGGTGTTTGTTGTTGTGACACACGTGCAAGCGGGCAGCAGCGATTTCCTCGCACCTGGTGGACCTCACGTTGTCCTGGAAGGGACAGAGGCGGACGGAGATGCTCTTCACGGCCTTGAGGGACAGAGACGCTGCTCCACGTGCAGCCATGGCGCCTGCCTTCACCCTCCGTTCTACACACACACACGGCAGGGCGGAATCGATTCCCCGGTTTGACCGCGGAACAAATCGATTCCGTCGTGCGGACGTCCACTTGAGGAGGGGGTGGAGGAATCGATCACGCGTGAACCGACGCGCGATTGCGCGTAGGGGTTTACGTTTTTTTGGTAGGAATCGATTCGATTTCGCGGATTTGGTTTTGTCCGCTCGGATCGCGTGGATCGTTAGTGGTGGTTCGTCGTTGGCCCGGGTCGGAGGGTTTTTGTTACGGCTGCGTCTTTGAGGGTTTTAATCTAACACTGATAATTATCACAGCGCTGGGTTATGTTGTAACTTTCAAACTCACGATGAGTGCGTCTAATAGCAGTGCTTTGGTCCGGTGCGTTTACGATTCGTGAGAATTGTATGTAATAAATGTTAACTGCGTTGAACACTTGGGAAAAAAAATCAATTTTCGGCGTTTTGGCAATGTTCGATTTTAAGGCCGCGGTGTTATTGACGAATGTGTTGAGGTGTTTTTGTTGTGTTAATTGTGCTTGTGCACCTCTGCCAACGCTGCGGCAGCATCGAATAATTTGTTTTACCCCAACACTTATTAAGGTTTTGTCTTTCCCTCAATTTTTTTATCCCAAATGTGTCGCGTCATGAAAATCCCAATGAAAATCTCGCATTACTCCTTCACGTGGCTGATTTTGATGTAGGCAAACACTATAATTTGACATTACCCCCCACCCCCCTCCAAAAGGGGCAACATGCGTTTAGATTATTTAGATTATTTGGCTGCTATAAAGTTCCACATGTTTAAGGCCACTTCGTTGAGTTATCATTTGTGGCCAGGTCCCTTCTGAAAAAAAAGCTAAGAGCTCAGTGGGATTTGCCGAGTAAGATAAAACATTGTTTAGTTTTTTTAGTGATTTGATCACCTTTCTTCGTCGTGTTTTTGTATTGTTTGTTGTAACTTTCAGACCCGCGCCTACTGGACATCTGTGAAAAAGAGCTTTATCGCTTATCGGATTCCTCCTGTATGAATAAAGATTCATTTTCTGATATAAAACTGCCGCTGAAATTGTTGCAAGGGATCCCATCTACACGAGGGGGCAGCACGTGCCCACCTTCCCGAGTATAATAAAAAAATGGTCACGGCATAACAGTTCAACAGATGTGTTAATATCGGAGCTGTCATTTAGTCAAATTAAATTTAAAAAAACTACCGTATGATGGACTTTTTGTGTAGTTATTGGTGACTAGGCTGAGACTAGCAACTCCGTACACTTCACCTATTTTAAGCAGGCAGCTGAACATCCAGACTTGAACGCCAAGGTCAACTCGTGCAAATGAGACCATCCTGGTCTCTTTGAGATTCTCACCTGGTTCAATAAAATAATCCTGGTACTGTACTTTATCCTTGGTATCTCAGTGATGCCAGCTCAGCGCCCTGACTTATGAATGACCCGGTCACTTCCGTCACTTACGTAACCGGTCACAGAAGGCTCGAGATGAAATTGAGTATACTGTATTTCGTATATATTTTAAATCTTAACATTCAGCTGCCCTAACATTCAGCTGCCTTGAAAATCCACAGCAACAAGTGCTATCGCAGACTCCGTTATCAATGAACCATTTGCGGTGAACAGAAAATAAAGATGTTAGTGTATTTAGGACAAAAAAAATCCTCAATCGGGAATTAAAGCTTTTAATCTGAAGGGTGGAATGGACACGAGACAAGGCGGTAATAAAAACATACAATTTAACACACGGCTCTATAACCATGTATCAGAGAAATACTGATAGCAAGAGAACCACAGTTCGTCAAGGACTGCTTATATACTCTGTGGTTCTTTCGGTAAAGTCACGTCGGTATAAAATAAATAAATCACGTGATTTATATGATCTTACCCGGCAAAGCCCACTTAGCTCTTAGCTTTTTTGTTTTTTCAGAAGGAACCTAGCCACAAATGATAACTCGACGAAGTGTCCTTAATCATGTGGAACTTTATAGCAGCCAAATAATCGCGTGATTGATTTTATTTTATACCTACGTGACTTTACCGAAAGAACCGAAGAGTATGGATTCCTGCGGTCACGAAAGCTTCAAATCAAGCTTGAACTACTTATACTCACGTAGGTTCAGTCACGAAAATCACATCTACAGTTGGATAACGAATGTGGCTGAAACAATTTGCCCAAAGACCCAACGTTTACCCGGTACGCACCGAGCTACAGCCATTACAATTAAATCCATCTTCTGAAACATTACGGGCAGAGGCTTATCTAGGCCATGTACAACTGTGCGAGATTGTGTCCATTTGTTGCTCAGAGGTGCACATTTGTACACCGCATTTTCTGAAGTGCCGTATTGTGAATTAAGAGTACAGCATCTATTATTCAGTTGATGTCATTACTCTTTCAAGACGAAATTCCAAAAATAGCTATTATATAGTCCTGTGAGTACACACCCAAAGCTATGCTCACTTCGCTGAGAGCATTTTTAAAGATGTGTTCATGATACAAAAAAATCCATCCAAAGTCATGCTCAGTTACACTCTAGTGACGTTAACTTCTCCCGACTTTGACTTTAAACAATTTTTTTTTTGTCATTAACGAGGCTTTAAACTATCATAAGGCATCGTTAATGGCGAATGTGGTGGGGGGGGGACATTTAAATTTTATAAAGATAACATGTACCATATTTATATTTTATTGGTTATGTTGTCACGAATTGGATCGGTTTGCCGAATTATGTATTTGTAACCGTTTTTAGAGACATTTGAAAGTGTGAGCATACGGGATAGAGAACATACGCAGGTAAATTACATCACTCAAACGACAGAAACTGTGTTCATAAAAAAAAACTAAGTAGGCTTGGCAGGACACTGGAAGGTAACGTCTGGAAGCTGGGATGATAGTTGATGGTCAATATTAAGTGCATTTTTTAAAGACCCAAACAGGAGGATTTCTCCACAACTTTGGTTTCCGCCTGATGAGGCTGGTTGTTATTATCGGCGAAACGTCGTATTTGAATCGTAAACGTGTGGGTTTACTCTCCAACACACCGGTGTGCTGAGTTAGTAACGAATTGGCATGTTGTATTTACGTGACACCTTAGTAATTGGCTGTGTCGGGTGGTGGCGGGTTTAACTCCTTCTACGTGACTTTACTGAAAGAATCAAGAATACGAATCCCTGCAGTCACGAATCAAAATGAAACATTTATATTTACGTAAAATAACCCAAAAACCTCTTGCGGATGGTCAATATTAATAAGACAGATGTGGGCAGCCAAGGAATTGCAAACGCGTCCAAGGAAAGATTGAACAATGAATTCAGGTCATGTGCAGGCACAAATTGGATTATTAAAATTGCAGGATTATGATAGATTGTGGGGGAGGATGGGGGATGGCGGCTCCAGCTTTGGTGTTAAGCCTTCATCCAGCAGCGGATTGATGGAGCCCTCTGGTTTTCCCCCTCCACATTTAGAAATACGCGCGTTTGGACTATTTACGTTACTTTGCTGCTACAAATGTCCAAATGATAAGCCACTTTGTTGAGCTATCGTTTGTGGCCAGATCGCTTTTGGATAACAAGTCAATACCTCAGTGGGCTTTGTCTGGTAGGATCGGGGATGGTTTCGTTTAATTTGTATCTATTTTGGTGAATTGTTTACCTTTCTTGTACTTTGCACTCCTATGTTTTGTTTTAAGACTCTTTGTTGCTGTAACGTTCTTACCCACCCCGACTGGACGTCTTTATAGCTCATAGGATTCTTCCTGCGGTATAAATAATTATTCTGATGATGAGGCCTCCCCCCCCTCTCCCTCCCTCCATCTTCTCTTGGCGACAGTTGCCACGGCAACGAACTCCCGCATTGGTCCCTCGCTCCGCACGTCACTGCGGCAAGGCGCTCCCTCTGCAGCGTGGCGCGGTGACGTCAGCTGCGGCACGCGCGCGCAGCCACCGCCGCGAGAGGGGGGCGGGGTTGGGGTGCGCGTTGTGACGTCACTGCGGCAGCGTGGCGACGTCACCGCAGCCCGAGTGTGTGTGTGTCTCTCTCTCTTTTTCCACCAACCTCGTCCGTCGACATTCGCGAATCCGAGGAGGCGGCAGAGAGAGGAAGAGACCTCGCCAAAAAGTCGTCGTTCCGCTACGTATTTGGGCTACGTGAGTATAGATACGTGTGCCGCCTTGACCTTTTTAAGCTCTGCATTTTATACGGCGCTGTAAATGTGGGTGCGCGTGGAGTGTTTCACTCGTGGTTGCAATTGGAGTCTAGTGGTTGATTTGTGTCGTTTTAATCGCTTTGGCTGGAAGGCATCGGTCGGTGAATGAATGAGCGAATACGCAATGGCATCTGCTGTGACATCTGGTACCTTTCCGTCTTACCTGCAGGGTTGGCTAGGTGAATGCAAATACATTCACGCTGTATTGCCCAGTGAGCAAATGTGCACGACTTTAGCTTGGTTGATGTACTCTGTATACCTGTACGAGCTTATTTCATCGCTCCATCTCTCCGCATGGGAATATCTCTCTCGGCTTGATGTCATTCAATGGCAGCCACTCCCGTCATTATACTTGACCACCGGCTAACACCGTACATGCTCGCGAATTGTCCAGCTGGGATAATAGGCGACGTTTCGGGAAACGACCCTTCACAATTTACTGATACTGCCAACGCGGTATTTCCAAATTGTTCACTGCATGTACAACAGCCCTGTTGCCAATCCACTGCTGAATGAATGCCCCCCCCCCCCACGCCGTGTGTGACGTAGGGGTTGTTTGACCATACTTCACCATGCTGGCTTGACCATGACGTGGGAGCATAGGATTGCAGAAAAAACAATCAATTGATTATTCTGCTCACCACGTATCTCCGCAGCAGCCTAGCACATCCTGTCGATTGCGGTGATCACCCATCCATGCATGCATTATCCCGACTCAATCCTCATTAGCTTCTGAGTTCGGGTGCATTTTGTGTGATTTGGCCATAGGCAAGTGATAATTTATAACGACAGTCTGGTGAGTCTCAAGATATTTGTAAATGGGGGTCCTGCAATGGAATGTTTGGCAAATTCAATTGATGCCTGACAGGATGATGATCTTCTGTATTACATCCTCGATTCACTTGTAAGAAACTTATGGTCACAATGGGCTCTCAGATTTTTTTTATAAAGGTCATCTGTTGATCGTGATGATGGCAATGCAAATGTTTGGTGGTGGAGTCCTAACCTTAACAGCGGTGGCTATAAATGGCAAAATTACGTCACGAAAATACGATAAATGTGATCATCGGGCTGTATAATAATGGTGAAGGGGGTAGCGTGGGTGATGGCAGTGATGATTGGTATAGACATATAGTGATGCCGCTGATGGCGATGGTAACATTGCGAATTATTATTCCGGATGGAGTACAGTGGCGCAGTAAATCGCACGCTGCACCCGGTGAGCCGATTTAAATTCCAGGATGCGGCTAAGATCAGTGGTGCGTGATATCCGGAGCAGTCCTGAGACATCTTCACCGACCTGCACTGACCTACGTGGTTATTAACAAACCCTATGACCGATACGGTGTCTGGAGGCCTTCATTTTTGCAGTGGCTGGACCAAGGGCCATAAATAATTCCATTGAAATTAATTATTTTAAGGTGATTAGTTGACATGTAACGGTTCACCACCGTCATGATTGGATTGCCACGATTTGAGGGTCAACTTGTGACTCAAGAATCGATCGATGCTTGTAGTTGTGATCTGGAGTGCCTGCAGGGTTTCTATGAACCCCATATAGTACGAAACATACATCGACATATTAAACAATTGATTTCAAAACATACGCTTGGATGCACGTATTGTAAGAATCTCTAGGTTTAAATGAAATTGTCATATCCCTAATTACGATAATAAATTGGGTAATGATGGTCCCAGTGATTAATGCAGTGATGACATTACAATGAGGATGATTGTTTAACGTGATGATTTTCACTCAGTGCGAGGTCGCTCTATAAAACTAAACTATGAATTAAAATATTTGTATTTTACCAGGTAAGACCCACTGAGATATATAGAGCTCTTTTTCAGAGGCGATCTGGTCACACAAATAATAGCTCAACGAAGTGGCTTATCAAGTGCAAATTTATAGCAGCCATTTACTCCAAACACGTTTCTAAATGTGGATGGAAAAACCGGAGGACCGGAGAAAAATCTACTCGACCACGGGGAGAACATGCAAACTCCAAATATATAGGCGTAGGGGTCATCGTCAAACCCATGACTGCCTGTATACCAGGCGAGGGAGTTAACATCTCACCACCGTGGCTCAACTGCCTTTTTTCAGCCATCCGTGTTCAAGAACAGCCCCAAAGACCATCCTTTCTTGCTCTGCTCATGACTGCATTTAAAAAAAATATAAAATAAATAAGTAAAAATACGTCCACCTTGTTTCCGCACAGGGTCTTGAAGATCGGTCACATTATTGAAAATAACTCGTGATGGTTGTGAACCTACCCCAGCAGGTCGTGCTTGAGAGACAGCCACCATGTCCATCCTGAAGATCCACGCACGGGAAATCCTGGACTCCCGGGGCAACCCCACCGTGGAGGTCGACTTGCACACGGAGCGCGGTGCGGCAAAAAATTTAACTGCTGAGGGTCGTGGGATTGACGTGCAGGCAACTGCGGTAGTGGTGGCGCTGATGTTGTTGACGCTGGAGCAGTGATGTGGTAGTTACCGCTCTACACTACGAACCCCATTGACCAGAACTCAACTCCAGACCGTGGACATCGTCAGTGTTGAATGTTTGAATGGGACCTGGGTGTCTCCTAAGAATTTTCGGATTTAAATCAGTACCTGGTGCAGTTTGTAAACATCAGCACTGGGGAGACACATTTGGTTACGTGTGGTGCTTGGCCACAACACTTACTTTATGAGTGTTGTTTCGACCTTAATAGGTGCTACCTAAGAGTACTTTTCCTGACAAATCACATCATTACCACAGTTGTAATTTTTTTTATCGTGCAAGGCTATCACTAAGGTGCTATGTTTCACAGACTAATATTTGTCTGAAGCAGTTTCACGGTAGGGGCAATTTTGCAAGGCGGTTTTATCAAATAATTAAATTATGGAATTAATTTAATTAAAACGCTATATAGGGGCATCTTTGTCTTTGTTTTAATAATGATAGTTGTGATAATTGGTGGCAATGGTAACTTTGGTGGTGGTAGTGGTGGTGGTAACATGCAGCTCCTTAATAATAAAGGTTTCTTGGGTTAGATAGTTTAAGTATAAATGTGTTGAAACCCTCCACCACCCGACACGGCCAATGAGTAAGGGATTTGTCACGTAAATAAAACGCCAAATAGTTACTACTTCAGCCTACCGGTGAGTTGAAGAGTGAATCCACAACATTTACAATCTGAGTCCTACGCCATTTCGCTGGTAATTACATCCAGCATCATCCGGCGATTTTCCAGAATTGTGAAGCAATCCACCTGCTTCCGGTCTTAAATTGAGCAGCAGGACGATGTCATCACTGAACCCAATCAGGTGCAGAGATCAGAGGCGGAGGAGGGGGGGGGGTATTGTAATTATATGCTAGATTAGTAATCAGTTAATTAGTATGTGTTTCCCCTATAAGGAATTGTAATATGTATTACTTAATAATACGCTTCCAGGCCCTAATAACAGCTCCTAATAACTGGATTGATGATTCAGGGATGTTCCGGGCGGCGGTCCCAAGCGGGGCGTCGACTGGGATCTATGAGGCTCTGGAGTTGCGAGATGATGACAAGGGGCGCTATCTGGGCAAGGGTGAGGACATCACCACCATCATCATCACGCAGCAGCACCAATAATCTCAGAATTAACATTGTCACCACTATCAGCATGAACATCAACAATACAGTATAACCTCGGAGATCGAACGCACCAGAACTCGAACAAATTGGTATTCGAACGATATTTCTTAACATTTTTTGCCCCGGAAACCGAACGAAATTCGGAGGTCGAAAGGGCCAATCGGGACTTGAAAGAACCTGTACACGGCTGAGACGCGTGTGGGCAGCAGCGTGCATGACGCTTGCCCAGACAAAGGTTTTACCACCTCCTCCTCCCCACCTTACACTTAAGCCATCAACTCTCCTTACTACAGGTAAAGTGAGGTTCAATGTTCATTTATTGCATTTATTCCATATATTTATTAATTTATTCCATTTATTGATTGTGTTTCTTGTTTTTTTTGTATGATTTTATGCATGTAATTACTGTAAACATCGTGTAAAAATGCATTATAATGAGAGATTTCTTGTGTCTGGAACCAATTAATGTCATTTACATGAATTCTTATGGGGAAAATTAATTCGGTGTTCGAACAAATCTGTGTTCGAATAGCCTTCTGGAACGAATTAAGTTCGATCTCCGGGGTACCACTGTATCACCACTATATTGTGTCAGAGTTTCTCAAACATAAGTAATCGCAATACATCATGGTACACCTTCTTTATGTTCACCCGTCTTCTTTGTTCAAGTAAAAATTAAGTTGTTATAAGCAGTACACATCCCTTGATTGCATAACATGTCTCAATTGACATAGAGAGTGCTGATTCAAATTAAAGAATGCTCTCTACTTAACGTGTGGCACACACGTTAACACATATATACGCATACAAGATGTTGCTCTTATTTAGAATTTGTACTCTTTTATGTCGCATGGCACATGTTTAGTAAGCATCAGGCACGTTCCGTGTGCAGTGCTCTAATTTTTATTTGAATGAAGAAGGCTGGTACACATGGGTGGCTTTTGAGGACTGGACTTTGGGTAACCCTAATCTATTGTAACCAATTTTGTAGAGAGGTCAACATTAAAAGTACGCGTGGTACTCGACGGGGTCAGACAGGTGGACTTCAACAAAGCTACTGGAAAACAGGTTTCTAGACTTTGGATACAGATCCGCGGCACGGGATGATAAACATTCACGGAAGTGTAGAGTAAGCAGTTACAAATTCAGAATAGAATGCGGCAAGAACACTTTGTAGACGCAGTCGGGAAGAGGAGGCTGTGATAGGTGGAGCACATGTGCTTGATGGAGGAGGTCAGGTGACCGAGACGGGCATTGCAGTGGCACCCAGAGGTCGACGACCGAGGGGTAAACCTAAAGCCAGATGGCGGGAGACTGTAAGAGCAGGCCTTTTTGAATGGTGTTCAATTTGGCATCAGCTGTAGTATGTATGTATGTTGAACTTCATTCGCACCGTACGCAGCCAACCACGCTAATCGGAGGTGTGGGGAAAGATAATCAACTAAACACAAAAAACAGGTCGAAAGAAATGAGTTTTCAATCTAGATTTAAAAGTACATAGTGGCTTCCTGATATCGGAAAGAAGAGCGTTCCAGATGGATGCAGAAGCACAACTGAAAGCGTGGGAATATATATCAAAGGGAAGTTATCGCGAAGTGATAACTGTCACAATTTTTTTAAAATATTGAAATATACAAAATTAAGTGTAATTGATTCCAACAACAGCAACGTCATGTTAAGCATTTTGGTAGGTAGGTTAGTGACAGTTATTGAAACCAGATGAGAGCCCACTAAGACTGAAAGTCAAAGCAGACCTGAATCACGCAATGATAAAGCATACATGTGAATAAATAGTCAAATATAGCATATAGGTTCCGGATATCAAACACTACGGAAAAAAAGCAATAAAAATGCAGTTTTATGTGTTTTAAAATAAAACATTAAATGAGTGGTGGCGCACTGCGCTAACCACGAGTTCGATTCACGGCCATGGCTAACACCGATGGTCAGTGATATCTGATCCAGTTCTACCCCCTACTGCCCCCACTTTACCAACCTGCAATGACCAGCGTGGTGAAGTATGGTCAAACAAACCCCATGACTGACATGGCATCGGGAAGCCTTCACGCAGCGATGGATTGACAACTGGCTGTAAAATGATAATCATTATTAATATGCTTAACAATGGCATATGGTATGATTCAAAAGCACTCACGTTCATAATCTTCCAGATAATTATCCCATTTCACGTGTAAGGCTGGAGTAAATCGTTTTCTAAACGTGTTCCTCCGTGTGCCGGTGTCACGTTGTCTGCAGGTGTTCTTCAGGCTGTGTCGCACATCAATGACACCATCGCCCCGGCCCTCCTCAGCCAGGTGGGGATCTCTCGCCAGCCCAATTTAACAGCGCACATAACCCCGCTTTTCCCCGTGCCAAAATTCAGCCGCGGCACTCGGGTCGACAGAACGCGCCCGCCAACCGCGTCATAAAATAACTCCTGCGGTCTGTGTTTGTTTTTATTGTTTGCAAGCCGCGTATCGCTATAGCAATATAATGAAATGCCCTCTGATGTTTTTGCAATAAAGTATTTGGGTGGCCCCATGGAATTTGGGTAACGTAACTGTTTATGGCTGCGTTGCTGGTTTGTGTTACTTACTTTATGCTGTGTGGCGCTGTTGTGCTGTGTGGCTGCTGCTCGCTTGCAGAGCTTCAGTGTGGTGGAACAGGAGGCGATTGATCAATTCATGCTGGACCTCGATGGAACTGAGAACAAATGTGAGAAATACAGATTCATTGCCTTTGAGTACATGTCATCATCATCAGCACCACGTCCACTGCAATCCATTAACCTTTCAAACCGTGATGCGATGTATTTTTGAGATTCAGGATTGCAATTTGGGGCTGAAGGGATGACGTGAACCCATTAAATGTGTATCGAAATGTATCGTTATTATTTCATTCATTAGATTGGATTATAAGCTTAATAATTTATATAACCACATTGATGCATTGTTTTACTTATAATAATCCTCCATAAGAAAACAATGTTCCATTGCAACGCATGCTCAAGCCAACGATTGAAGTTTCTGGTTGTAGCAACACTAGCTCGAACCGCCAGGGTGTGCAGTAGCAGCTTTTATTACTTTGACGAGGGCGCCGCGGTGGCTAGAAGTTAACTACCTCGCCCGGTGTACAGGAGGTCGTGACTTCGATCCCGACCCTGACGCCTTATATTTGGAGTTTGCATGTTCTCCCTGTGGTTGCTTGGATTTTTTTCTTCCGGGTCCTCCGGTTTTTCCCTGCACGTGTACAAACACGCGTTTAGAGTATTTGGCTGATATGCATTTCCACATGATGATAAGCCACCTCGTTGAGCTATCGTTTGTAGCCAGGTCGCTTCTCAACAAGAACTATGTAGCTCAGTGGGCCTTACCTGGTGAAATAGAAAGTTTGTTTTTTAGTTTAGTTTCGTACTTGCAGCTCACTGTCAAATCTCAATGGGTTTGTTATGCAAGGCTGCATTTTTTTTACTGACTTACGAATCCTATGATGTCATGCACACAGCCTTGTTTAACAGCTGCACACTCATTCCATGCTCCCTACGCACTGGTTGCATGCAGCTTGAAGCCACGCGCACATTTAATGCGGGGGGGGGGGGGGCAGATGGCTTCTTACGAGCTGCAACGTTACATGATTGAACACCAACAATGTCAGGGGTAATTATATGCTCACAGTTATTGCTTCGTAGATAACATCGCCTGTGCTGCTGGGCTATGTTGTGGTTCTGCAGAGGGCAGTGCAATACAATATACTGTTGTGCTGTACTACGCTTCCATATGTATGCTCTCCCCTTCCTTCACCAACCCACACTGGCTCGTGTGGTGAAATATGGTCAACCAACCCCCTTGACCCACACGGTGTGGGGAAACCCTTGTCCAGTAGTGGATTGACAAAAATGGCTGCACATGTACGGATAGTAGATTCACTAGGTCATATCTAGACAGGTATTTATATTTCCAATAATTTAAATTGTTCAGGTTGTCATTAGCACATTCAAAAACTACCATCACTAGCGAAGGCATTCTTATGAAAGGTGAAGGGCAAACGTGAGGCATACTCAAATTAATGTTGGCCGATATCCCCTCTGTGGGCGCTCCTGACTCGGGAGGAGGGTATTCCACATTGCTGCTGGCAGGATCGGCATAGTCCAGATGGCAGCCACAGTCATATAATAATAAACAAGGAAGTAAAACCATGCGTATGCATAGATTCAGCTACACTTGCCGACACGCATTTGTCATCAGGTGCATTTAATTAGCGATAACGTTACGTTTCAAGCTGAACAAATGAAGATGCCACATGTTACATTGTGTGACATTGAGAGGTGACGTCACACTTAATTACATCGCCCTGGGCCAGCAAAGGTCAATCTTTTTTTTATCGCTTTTCGGCAACCATTGTATCAATATTGACGGTTTTCTCTGGGGGTAGTAAGTCCTGACTCGAAACAAAATTTTATTGAAACATTTTGTTTGGATTTAATTATATTTACAAAAGTTTTCATCCTCCCCCGTCCCCCCCCTATCCCCCCTGTTCCCCTCCCCCACCCCGATTATTACAGACAAAGCTAATGCATAAAGATTTGGTTGTTATGATTTAAATAATTGAATCATAACAACAAGTCGCATGAGTGAAATGCCAGTGCATGTGTGTTGTCCTTGGAATGTAAACAAAAATAAACCGTTAAATATAAAACGACACGAATAACTTAATCTAAAAATGCAACGCAAGAGGAGATAAAAAAAAAATGTGGAGTTAACATCTCAGTCATGATGATAATGATGATGTCTTGTTGTGGAACTGGCAGCCAAGTTTGGAGCGAATGCTGTGCTTGGCGTCTCGCTGGCCGTGTGCAAGGCCGGGGCGGGCGAGAAGGGGGTTCCGCTGTATCGGCACATCGCAGACCTTGCCGGGAACTCTGAAGTCATCCTGCCTGTCCCGGTGGGCAACTGAACAAGCATCTGCGTGTTGTATTATATGTACATCTGTGTGCGCCCGTGGGTTTCTGTTTAGTCTAAAGTTTTTGTTTGCGCACTCCGATACGAGCGTGGCGACCCGCTTTCGATTCCCGCACGTGGCTAACATCCGTGGGGAACATTTGAACCGAGGAGGACTTAACCTGGTGCCCTGTGTAAACATGAGAACTGGGGAGGCGAAGGCAGCCCGACGTGGTGGTGGCCACACCACCCCGTTGTGCGCCATGATGGCCTTCATGGGTGCTTCCTCACAGCATTTGCCCTAACAGACTGTATAAGTTGCTTGGGGGGTCTTTGTCTTGTGAATAATTTTTTTTTTCTAATTTTTATCCCGAATGTACTCTCGGCATCATGTCATTGAGAGGGAGTAATCCATTTTGATCTCTCGCAGAACAATGCAACCCTAAAATGTATAGACTGGCCCACAGAAGCGAATATCACAGAGCTACCGCTAAGATCCCTTCAATCTGACCTCTGGTCCACACAGTAGGGGACACCAAGAGTAATTTATTTGCCAAATGACAGTCAAATTATATATTTTGTTCTCAAAGCTGGAGTTTATAAAAAATAAAGTCCAGAACCAAATTTAATATGATGTTTGCAGTCATTGGTGACTGGGCTGAGACGAGCAACTCACTAGAAGAAAAAACAATTTGAGAACACAGTATAACCACAGTTGGCTGCCTGGATTATTTGTGTGTACGTGTCTCAGAATTACCATTAGAATTCAGGACTTTTACACAACCACTTCTGAAATGTTATTTTTTGTCTGTCGATGGGTAAATTTTTCTCATCTGTATGTGTGTCTAAGTGTTTTAATGTGTTACCCTTATCGTATGTCTGTGTGCATATGTTCACGTTTGCATCTTATTTTTTTAAATAGAACCTCAGAGATCGAACGCACCAGAACTCGAACAAATCGGTGTTCGGACGATATTTACGAAAAAAAATTTGCCCCCGGAAACCGAACGAAATTCGGAGGTGGAAAGGGGCAATCGCGACTTGAAAGAACCTGTACACGGCTGAGACGCGTATGGCCAGCAGCGTGCATGACGCTTGCCCAGACAAAAGGTTTTACCGTAATGTGAGGCCCAGTTAAAAATATCACCCAGACAACCGAGTGAGCAATGTTTTTTAATGATAATGCAGTGTGTAATTTTCAAAACATCATAAAACGGAGGCAGAAACAAACCTCTTGAGATAAGTTTATCGTCAGAAAGAGCTCAAGTGACTCGCAGTTATTGGCAGACAAGAGGCACAAAAGAGAAAGAACCCCAGAAGGGGACTCCCCTTCCATAATAACACCACCACCACCTCCTCCTCACCACCTTCCACTCAAGCCATCAACTCTCCTTATTACCGGTAAAGTGAAGTTCAATGTTCATTTATTTCATTTATTCCATATATTTATTCATTTATTCAATTTTTTATTGTGTTTCTTGTTTTTTTGTATGGTTTTATTCCCGTAATTACTGTAAACTTCGTGTAAAAATGCGTTATAATGAGAGATTTCTTGTGTCTGGAACCAATTAATGTCATTTACATGAATTCTTATGGGGAAAATTAATTCGGTGTTCGAACAAATCGGTGTTCGAATGGCCTTCTGGAACGAATTAAGTTCGATCTCCGGGGTACCACTGTACATATTTATGTCTGCATTTGTTCATGCATTTTAATTGCCGAGAATTCAATTGGCGTTGGCGAGTCTTTGTGCGTGCATCGATAGCTCAGTTCACGTTGACATTTCCACATCTGCGTCTGTGTATCAATGTCCGAGCGTGTGTTTGTGCTTTCTCTGCATGTGGGGAGCAGTAGTGCAGTGGATAGCATGCTGCACTACGAACCCGGTGACCCGAAATCGATTCCTGCTCATGGCCAACACCAGTGACGATTATCTGAACGGGTCCTGGGCCTCACCTAGGTCGACTTAGCCTCAAATGAGTACCTGGTGTGGTGCGTAAACATCGTCGCTGGGGAGACAAAGGCGGTCGGGCGTGGTGTTGGCCTCCCACACCCTCATGTGCCGTGCTGGCCTTCATAGGTGCTCGTGGACAGTACTTGCCCCAACAGTCTGTTAAGGCTATACGGGGGACTTTTGTCTTTGTCTCTACATGTTCATGTCAGCACCCACTACTGTGCTCAAATACATTCGCCCATTGGCTCCTGTCCCATGTAGAGATGGGATATCAGACTATTGAAGTAAAATCACTCTCCTGATTATCGGTTCAATTACCTGACTAATCGGACGACACAAAATAGTTCCAAACATGTGCCGGCTGGACGGGAGGTGATGGGCGTGGCTAAGTCATCGGCATCATCATTGATCTTTGTCACACTGTGCGTTGCTCGTTGAAGGTTTTTCTACCTTTGGTAAGCAGGATGAAAGGGGTGGGTTGTGGCAGTCAGAGAGGGATGGCTTTGGGGGCAGGGTGTCTCCTGATTTGGTGAGGGGTTCGGAATGACAGGAGTGCGTGGAGCTTGGGTAAGGGGAACCAGGTGACATGGGAGGAACGAGAGGGAGGAGTGAGGGACGCGTGGGGTGGCCGTGCGGCGTAGTGATTTGCTGTAGTGAGGGCCATTGGGGCCTGCAATGAGCTAAGTATTGACAGAGGAAAATTTTGGTAATGGAGCAAAGTGTCAGTTGGAAAAGAAACATAGCGTAGGGTGTCAGATATTCAAACGGCGTCGCGGCCATGTTGTGCTCGGGTGTATTGGTGAGGTGGCCATTTTGTCGTGGATGTGAATTTTCGCTGCGTCATTTTTGGATGAGGCAGCCATCTTGAAGAGGACAGTCTGAAGTTGGAGCCAGGAGTGTTGGTGACGACAACTTGCTGGCCTGGGAGCGCGATCGACTGGGGTTCTGCTGTTAACTGCTGGTCTGCCCAGAGCAACCATCTTCTTGGAGCCAGGAGTATTGGTGACGGCAGATTGCTGGCTTGTGAGCGCAACCACCTGGAGCCTTATTGTGGAAAGCGGTTATGTTCACCTGTTCACCACCCAGGAGTGGATCGTCACAGAAAACCACCCGCCGCTGCCGTGAAAGTAGCCCTCCCGAATGCTGAAGACTGCGGGGGCTTCGACAGCTGGGGACACTTGTGGGGAAGAAGGGAGGTGTCCACCTGAGGGCTGTGAAGTTGTCGTTGGAATGTTTTACTTAATCTCTTCAAGAACTGGGAGAACACTTAATACGTACCCTGGATGGTTACTCTGCAGTTGTCACCTGTCGGCGTTCGTATTTGAAGAAATACGTTGAAACTGGTGTTGTTGGGTTGTTGTAGGATTGTGTTGTTTGTTGTTGCTGTTATGATGGTCATTTGGGTTGCTATATTTGCTGGTGATATTTTCACTTCCCCAGGAAGTAGCAAACTTGCAACTATTAAATGATTGAATAACTGTATTCTATGGGTCTTTCGGTAAAGCCACGTAGATAAAAAAAAATATCACGACGTTTCCATTGCAACACAAGCAATCGTCTTCAGGTGTAATTTTCTATCTACGTGGCTTTACCGAAATACCCATAGAATATGTATTCTTAGCAGTCTCGAAAGCTTTAACTGAAAATTTTAAACTGCAAAACAATAGTATTCAAATAAACGCCGTTATTTTGCAGTATACTGACAGTGATCCTTGTTGTACTCCACACACGATCATTGGGTGCGTCGCATAAAACAGGGATCTCACCATAAAATAAACCACAACGATGCGGGTACTAGAGCTAGGGTCGGCTATGGACCGAAACCCGCAAAAAGCTCATGTCGCAAAAGGACGCACCATTACACGGGTGTCATTAAATTGAGGCAATTCACGAAAAATAAGTAACCTGGTACAAAGTTTGGATGATCAATCGGCTTAAAAATCGTCCCAGCTCTCATCCAGATGGGAGACCTTAACCAATCGCCTCTCTCGTGCCTCCTCCAGGCATTCAACGTGATCAACGGCGGCTCACACGCCGGAAACAAGCTGGCCATGCAAGAGTTCATGATCCTGCCCGTCGGGGCGGAGAGCCTCTCGGAGGCCCTGCGCATGGGTGCCGAGGTCTACCACTCCCTCAAGGCCGTCATCAAGAAGAAGTATGGCCAGGACGCGACCAATGTGGGCGACGAGGGCGGCTTTGCCCCCAACATTCTTGAAAACATGGAGGGTGAGTGCCGAGTGCTGAATGAGGGTGCTGTGAAATCCCTCCTGCATCCCAGTGGTGTAGCTGTCGAGTGTGCAGGCAGTGCAACTTCACTGGCCGGAGGGTCTCAAGCACTTAGCTTGGACGAGGGGCCCCAATTCATGTTTTGCACCAGGACTTATTCCATTGCTGCATCCCCAAATCCCTCGCCCTCAAAACGTCGGATGATCCAAATGACGCTGCCAAACTTCTCACTCCCGCACTACTAAGCAAGACCACGTCACCCCAATGGTCGACTGATGCATCCACCCCACTGGCTCTTAATCCGGTCCCAGATTAACTTTAAATTCACCCTCATTGTTTTCAACATCCACCATAGAGTTTAACACGTAGGCTTTCGCGACCAATATCCATAATACAGGGTTTTTTTTGGGTTAGATCACGATCTAAAAAAAAATCCTGTATTAAGGATACCCCATAGACTACCCCTGCATAGTTCTCCCCTCTCAAATCGTTCTGCTCCCCTTAATGAGCCCTCCGCTCCAGCAAGAAAGGCCTTCTGTCAAAGCCCCCGCTCATCCTTCACTCGGTGGGAGGCCACTCCTCCTCTGCTGCTGCCCCCGTGGTCTCGAACCTCCTTCCCCAAGGCCATCGGTGATCTCATCTCCCAAGCCCCCATTCAAGTCCGGACTTGAGGCTTTCCTCTTCTCTGGTTACATCTTCTTCCGTACAGCGTCTTGAGATGTGGTTGCAGTTAATAATAATTACGATAATGACAATACTATACGGCAATTTGTCAATTTCACTGTGGAAAATTTCCCCGATGTTGTGGAAGTTCATGGTGGTGGTGTGGCCATACTTTACCATGTGGTTGAAATGTGGACTGAGGAAGGGGGTGCCCAGAACACAGACATCACCCGCCGCTGATGTTAGCCTCAATTAAATTAACCCTGAGTGAAATTTAAACTTGAAAATATTATGGTTACTGTTGGCATGGGACATGGAACAGCAATAATCTCCATTAGCATTCTTTGAGCCTTCAGTGGAAATTCTACATTGATGTTTGTACTATAATACGCGCCATGCACGTGCATTGCCTTGTTGCCTTGTCAGCCCTGGACCTCCTCACCCAAGCCATCGGCAAAGCCGGCTACACCGACAAAATCGTCATCGGCATGGATGTGGCCGCCTCCGAGTTCTACCGCGACGGGAAATACGACCTGGACTTTAAGTCCCCTGCGGACCCAGACCGCTACATCTCTGCCGATGAGCTGGCAGACCTGTACCGCACCTTCATCAGCGACTACCCAGGTGGGTGCGGTGGGCACAGCTGTGGAGCCATAAGTGAGCGAGCCTGGGGTTATGGTGCCATCTCACCTGCAGTTTATATTATGTGGCCAGATTACACCTGCACGTGTCCGATCACGTCAGATCTCGGAAGCCAAGCAGGGCTGCGACAGGATTGTGCTTGGGTGGGTGGCCACCAGGGCTTGCCACGTGTTGCAGGCGTGGGAATGTGAGGTGGCCAAAAGATAGTAGTGTTGAGTGTCACCCGCTCGTATATGTGGATTTCTCCAGATTCTCCGGTTTTCTCTCATATGAAGCCAAACACTCAGTCATGGAATTAGCCAAATATTCCCAATGGAAGATCCTGCTGAAAACGAGTTTTCAGACTCCGAGAGGCTTCCCTGAGTTAATAATGAAATGGGATATTCTTTGGGTCTTTCGGTAAAGTCACGTAGAACAATTAATTTTTACAAAAACTACTTTACCGAAAGACCCAAAGAATATGAATTCCTGCAGTCACGAAAGCTTGAAGTCAAGATTTAATTAAATGGGATATTTGGAAAAAGAGGTACAGATTAGTGGGCACATGTACAGACATTATGACGTCAAGATACCATGTGACTCGAACAGAAAATCTAGTTTCAGAAAACTGTCGAAGGTAATTTACAAACAATCACTTATACATACCTTTCACTACCCAGTAACTCTCTTACCCTTCCATTTCATCTCCATCCTCCATAAACTCACCAGTGCTCACCGACCAGCATGGCCGGGGGTCTTGCGCTGTGATAAATGCCCTTCCATCCGCTCGCCCACCACCTCCGTAGTGGTGTCCATTGAAGACCCGTTTGACCAGGATGATTGGGAGGCGTGGTCCAACTTTACTGCCAACGCTGGCATTCAGATCGTTGGCGACGACCTGACCGTCACCAACCCCGCTCGCATCCAGACCGCAGTGGATGTCAAGGCCTGCAACTGCCTGCTCCTCAAGGTCAACCAAATCGGAAGTGTCACGGAGTCCATCAAAGCGTGAGTGTTGTCCGCCAACCCCGTGTGACCTATAGGCAGTCCAACTGTACCAGGTCCCATAATCTGGTGGTGCCTAGGGCTACGAAGATGAGACAAATTGGGCATTGGTGGTGGACCCCGTGGAATTCTTTGCACCAGGGCTCATGCCAACCATGCTAGAGCAATTAAGTCGGGCACCTAGCCCCACTTTGTAGTTGTCGTGGTCCAGTAAGGTAGCCATGGGAATCCAGCCCGGGCACAGTTGCCTAATTTGTAAAACCGGACCGGTCCGCTTCAAAGTGTGGCCATGGAAATACACTACGATTTTTTGACCTCATGTTGCGGGTGTGGGCAGATGCAAGCTGGCGCAGTCCAACGGCTGGGGAGTCATGGTGAGCCACCGCTCGGGCGAGACCGAGGACACCTTCATTGCTGACCTCGTCGTGGGGCTGTGCACTGGCCAGGTGAGCCATTCACTGGGTGGGTGGCGTGGGGCGTGATGGGCGGTGGTGGGATATGGCGAGCGGTGGCGAGCAGGAGGGAACGGCTCTGTTGGAATCTTCGTGTTCGTGTGTGTGCAGATTAAGACAGGTGCTCCGTGCCGGTCTGAACGTCTGGCCAAGTACAATCAGCTGATGAGGTGCGTCAGCTTTCATTATTTTTTACCACCACAATTGAACACCATCGTTGTCCACACGAACATTTTTCCCATTATGAATCGTTCGCAATACGTAGTATGTTATTTGAGAGCATCACTTACGAAATGTACTAAATATATGGGAGGCGAGCAGCAGCACAGTGGTTAGTGCACTGCCCTCACCTTGGTGAACAGAGTTCGACTCCCATCCATGGTTAACAGTCCTGGGTGCACACCTTCACCAAGCCACAATGACTAGCGTGGTGAACTTTGGGCAAACGACCCCATGGTCGACACGTCATGGGGAGGCCTTCTGACAGTTGATTAACAAAAGGGTTACAAAGCCGTTGTGTTATATTAGTGATGCCCTCCAATTGTATTTTCTTATATTCCACAGTGTCTAACTTGAAAAAATAGATCCATGTTTCACTCTGGTCTTACATGGTTAAACATGTCTCCATCTAATATGATGTTCAGTGGTGTAGTGTAATAAAATTGCGTTTTGGGGCGATAGCTAGTCATTATCTGTTACATTGGTGGGTTTAACACTCCCAACAATGTTCTAAAGTCAATTTGACCATATTTTATATCAATCAGTGTCCGCTTATAAGATTTAATTTGAATGAACACTATTTGTACGTTTACATATACTTGAAGTCGAATATATCAAGGATATATAAACATTTATACGATTTCTAAAAAGGCCAAAGTGATGTTATCAGTCGTGCAATGAAGCAGGTGGGCCGTGTGACGGCTACCATCTCTCTACCATTGCCAATACAACTGTGGTACTCCATTAACTGTATCAGAACAGCAACTGGTCGTTGCACACACCACTTGCATAACGGACCGTGTCGCGAACAACTGCATTCTACGCCCGTATATTATTCACGCAAGTCCTGAAGCTATCGCATGGCTCGCAAGCTTAAACCTCGATGTATAATCAGCACCTGCTTGCCATACACTAGAAGAAGACTTATTAACAATAAAAAAAACTGTTGCTTCTCCATTGCAGGATTGAGGAAGAGCTGGGGCAAAAGGCGCAGTTCGCCGGCAGGAATTTCCGCCACCCCATGGCTTGAAAATCCGTAGTGCAAGCCCTTCCGTAGAAATGTGCACGTTGAAACCTATAGCACCTCCTACCTCCCCCTGTTACCATCACCTCTCAGTTGTGCTGCCAACCACATATTCACTCCCCAAGTAACATGAGTAGCACAGAATCCACGTGGCGGCTTGAAGAAAACTGAAGTTTCTGGTGACCGTGTTAGAAGCAATGGCGTGGTGGGGGTGCATGAGGAGAGATTACCAGAAGTGACCCGATTGGGGGAAAAAATGTATCCGGTGCGTTTAAACGTATGAAACTAAAGCGAAAGTGACAAATAGATCATTACATATGGAAAGATTGTTGGTCAAGGCTGATAGGATATGCTGAATAAGTTTGCTTGGAGTTGTTAATATCTAGGGCTCAAGAAAGGTGTGCTTTGGCTTGTGACACAGAACCCACTAAAACAAACACCCAGATAGCCAATAGCTGATCAGGTTGTTGAAAATGTTTATGAAATGTGAGTAATAATTGAAATATGGAACAAATGTGAAACTAGGACTTAAACATGAAAATAGAAACTAAAAAATACTAATCTGAACAACGTAGTACATTGGCGTGAATTTTAAGAACACTGCATGGTAGTTATGATGGTTTAGCCTCTTCTTCTTTGGTTCTTTCGGTAAAGTCACGTAGAATGAGAATAAAATAATAAAATGAAATAAGACAATAAAATTCTCACGACGTTTCGGCCACAACACAAGTAGCCTTCATCAGGTGAAAGAACAGAACTGTCGGGACGAGAGTGCTTCGGCCACAACACAAGTTGTGGCCGAAACGTCGTGAGAGTTTTATTGTCTTATTTTATTTTATTATTTTATTCTCATTCTACGTGACTTTACCAAAAGAACCAAAGAAGATTAATCCTTGCAGTCACGAAAGCTTTAAATGGTTTAGCCTGTTTAGTGAAGTTGGGTTGTTGGACCCTGAGAGGGATAGGAGCATCGTGTTTAGTCGGTTCATGCTGTTCAGTGAGTTTGCTGGACTGTGAGAGAATGGGAGCATGGAGTCTGCAGGCCAGAGCCCTCCTCTCTCACCTCCTCCTGAAGAAATGGGCCAAGGCGTTTGAGTGCAAACTTGAGTGAAGGAGCTGGCCAAGGGTACAGAGTGTTGACGAGGTGTAGTGGGATCAGAGACTTTGGTCATGATGACATATATGTATGTACGTATGTATGTATGACATCTTGACTTGAGAGTGTAGTTGTGTCGACTCCTGTTATGAAAGAAACAAAGCCCAGACACGTGCACAGATGTTATATACAGAGATATATGTGAATGTTACGTAAAGCTACTACAAAAAAGAATCGTCCGACAAGCCATTTAAGTCTTATGGCTCATCAAGTTAATTGTGATCCCACGTCCATCCCGTTTGTGAGTGTTTTATTCGTGTAAATGTGTACGTGTGTAAAATAAAATGAAGTGCTGAAGAAACCTTCCGTGAAACCAGCGAGTCCCTTCATCATACTACACTGTATATTATCAAGGTTTTGCTGGCTGGCGTGCGGGCAAGTGCGTGGCGGTTATGTCACCGCACACATCTACGTGATGACGACATCCGAATCCCACACATCTTCCCCGCACCCACCCTCCCATGCACATGTGCAGGCAGTGATCGTTTTAAGAGGGGAGTGTCCACACAGGGGGCCCCAGGTGGGGGTCTAGTGGGTGATCACGTGTCCGGGGAGAGCTCTTGAGAAGGATCGAGAGGGAACGAGAATGCTCGAGAAGGTGGGCGGGGCCGAGGGTGGAGCGGCCCTGACCATAGGGGGATATAAGGTGGGTCCCTGAGAGGGACCGGGGTCGCTGCATTCTACAAGCTGGAAGCTCAACACCTACAAGCGGGAAGCTCTGCGTCTCAAACTGGAAGCTCTTCGTCTTACGAGGCAACCACGTGGTCGGAGACCCTAGTGAGGGTCTGACCCTTCGTAGCAGTAACCCCTCTGTATAGTGTAGTTAGCTGGGTGGTCACCACCCTAGGCTGTATCGGGTAAAGGGGCCATTACCCCTTTGTGTTACGGTGTTACAATAAATGTGTTGCCTCTAAAAGAAACAACGTCTGCGACTCAGTTGGACTCACTATACATGGAAGATTTTGAAACATAAGCAATAGCTTCAAGCACACAAACCATCTGCTTGGTTTAGATATGTGGATGACACATTGGTGGTCTGGCCACACGGCACAGATACACTGAACGCATTACTAAATCATCTCAACTCGCAAAACCCATCCATCCAGTTCACCATGAAAGTGTAAGCTGACAGAACTCTACCATTTCTGGATATTCTGCTCGAACGGGGTCGAAATAGTAAAATAACACAACAGTGTTTACCGAAAGAAAACACATACTGACGCCTATCTGAATGCAGTCACACCATCTCCCTGCACAGAAATCTGCTCTTATCCAAGACGCTCATTCATTGCGCTAAGAAGTTAATGACAGATTTATATATTTACGCAATCTAACGCAAAAAAAACTTATGGATATTGGTCGCGAAAGCCTACGTGTGAAACTTAAAGTGATCTTTTTCATGAATTACATTTTTTTATGTAGCTCTGTGATATTTTTTGGGTCACACAGCATGGCTGAATGTCCCGTAAACAAGGAGGGCTTTACAGCACAACCACGAAAACGTTTGCAGTTTCAAAATGTCATACTCGCAGAAGTACATCTTGAACGGAAAGCACTACTTTCATGGGATGATATTTGATTTGTACATCAACTTGTTCAATGCAATGAATTATAGACGTTCGATAAGTATTGGTATCTGATCATTGTCCAATTCCAAATCAACATGAAGATGGCTTTGGTAAAAAAAGATCACGTGTAACCTGTTGGGCACGATACCAAGCATTGAAACAGTGGCAAGATATTTATCCGTGATGTTTCAGCGTTGTTGAATCGGTGCTAAGTTTAGTGCAAAAGTTACATTGTTGAAAACGAAGCATTGACAGTGAAATTAGACTCGCATATCCAACTCTCAATCTTAAAACACAAATGAGATGTCAACGCACGCAGAATAGTGTACAATTTCGTTGGATTTTTTTTTATTTCACACCGACACAAATAAATACGCAAACTTCGTACAAATCTTACACAGGGTCGCCCCGACATAGGTCAAATAGGGCCGCAGGATTTTCCACAATCGAGTTTTACTCAACACCCCTTAAAAACATTTAAACGTGGAAGGCTATACTTACCGTATCAGACATTACAACAGCTTTGGCTGGAACGAGCGAAGCAAAGGACTACAACCGATAATGTTTTCATTTAAACAATAAAAAGCTAAATAAGGCTCGGTTAGTGCAGTAAAGCGAGTTAATTTATTCCATCAAGCATCACCTTGGCGACAATGGCGGAGCCGGGATATTCAGGTAGGGGGGCAACCCCTCCAGCAATGAAAAATTATAGGAGTTGTTAGTAAGGACATGTCCGTTGCTTTTTATTCGACGCGTGTGCGGCGATGGCGCAGCCATCGATCGAGGTGTCGAATTCGAACCGCGTTGTGTGATCAGCATCGCGTTTGCTGAAGGTGCTGATGCCTTCAGGGAAATCGTGGACTCTATACGCAACTGTGCACAATTCTGAGTCACTTATAACTGCTTTGCCGTTACTTATTGGCAATTATGGACTCTATTGTCCTATCATCTCATAGAGTCCCTGGCACATAATAATATGCTACTCAGTGCAGTGGGGGTCGCAAAATGCCGATTAATTACTAATAAACCCCAATGATCCGATCGAAATTAGGGATTTAGATCGGCTCATTGGGGGGGGGGGGGCGAGGGGGGGGCACGTGCCACTCCACCCCACTGGCTCCGCCAGTGCTTGGCGATGCGGTGTGTTGAACAAGTTCACTGAATCATCGACTTGGGAGAATCGATGGTACGCAAGCTTCGAAGGCAACAAAACGCATTACGACCGAGGCTGAGCTCAGCCACAGATAGTTTTCAACGCTAGCCAATCTTGTTCACAATTACGAGAGAGCAATTTCACGACGTGCACTTTTGGGCACGCGAGCTGCTTGGCGGATCCGAGAAGGCTGAAACGTTGCAGTCGTGGGAAATTGCGTACTGTAATTTTGAAGACTAAAAAACATTCACTTTGATTAATGGTTCGGGCCACTTTGGGGCAGTGGCATGACCTTCTGGTAATGAAATAAATGAGTGGTTTATAAGGAGTGCATAGTTGCATTGATGAGAAGGGGCCAACGCGTGTTCCAATTATGAAAAAGAGCCTCGTTTGACTCCAAACTTTTACACATTATCCCAGACGCACCCACCCTGGGTCACATATGGGAATGTGGTCTTTGGTATTAAAGGCAAATTGTATCGGTCCCCTATGACCCACGCCACCTAACAATGGGGTGGGGTGGGGCTGCGTCTGGTATGAGCTGTCACCTGCAAGCCAAGCACGATGGCTCCTTTCTGTGCCACCAGATTCCTTAACGTGACTGCGAAACGTTTTACGAAATAAAAATGCCGCTGGGAGACTGTTAGGTCAAGCGATTCGAAGGCCGTGATGGCAAATTTAATCGAGCGTGTTGTGCAGCTCACAATCTGCAGGGTAAATACTGTGGCAAGCGGATGGCAGTACGGAAGAAAAAAAACACGTTGCTGACTTTCCTATCATTTGTAAATAACACTGCGGCCTTAATAGGAAAAATATATTTAATTGGCGAATGGGAATTCTTCATAACATACTTGCGCTTGTCCACTACTGCCAATGGAGCATCACCAAATAACGAAAGTTTGACCCTCCGATGGAATGTTATTGTCTCGAATGTACGTGGGGTTTCTCTGCGTGCTGCCGTTTCCTCCCCCACGTGAACAAATGCGAATAAAGATTTGTCCAAACATACCAGTTTTCAGATTTCTCCTCTTTTCGAGAATTATGCCATATCCCCGCTCTATTTTCACAAAAAATTTCATATATATAATAAAAAAAAGAAAAAAACGAAGCCAATAATAAAATAAGCTAAAACCGAGCAAAATACATTTCCGTAATGTGTCATCAAATGTGTAGCATGAGGGTTCTTCGTTGGAAACGTGACCACGCAACTCCGTGTACCTCTGGTGTGCGAGTGAGTGCATCCGACTGAACACAGCTGCGCATGCGCGTAGCTACATTATTTCTGCGTAGCCGCACGCAAGTTTACGCATAAACTGTGTGCGTGTGTGCGCACGCCTGTGGGTCAGTAGCTGTCGGTATAAAACAATATGTGCGGTTATAATGTAGTAAGTTGTGTACAGGCATAAGGCACTACTATTTTAGGTGTAAAGTAACTTACTTGTTGGTATAAAATAAAGCATATGTGGGCAGCTATGACCTGGTGGCTGTTAGTTATCAAACATCGTGTGAACGTTCAATGTAATCAGTGCATCGTTGCTTTCCTGCCACTGTGGGAGGCACTTCATCACTCAAAGCCACCGCCCAATGATGGAGCTGAAATCATGAAAGAAAAGACAAAGTTAATACGATCGTTCACATGCAAACCGAGACGTTGTTTGGCACAATTCCGTGTTTATGACTTTGAAAAGTATTTCTGTCACTGCAATTTTCTTACCAAGTCAGTTATATATTTTTTTGTATTTACACATCAGCATGTAGTAGACATACTCTTCGGTTCTTTCGGTAAAGTCACGAAGGTATATCCACGTAACTTTACCGAAAGAACCAAAGAGTATGGATTCCTGCAGTCACGAAAGCTTCAAATCAAGAATGTAGTAGACAATGATAAATACACGCACATACAGAATACAAGCACATTGTACGAACTTGCATGCAAACTGGTTTGCTGCCCTATCTGTATGGATTGTATCACATCAACTGCTCTGACTTCTGTGCTTTCCCCGGCTTCTCCAGTTTCCTCCCACAGGTGAGATGACCAAGGTATTGGCCAAACATCTCAACGAGTAAGCGTCCTTGTGAAAGATAGTTAGTCTTGAGTCTCGGTGCGGCTTTCCTCGGCAAAATTAAAAACTAATGCTATTTCACTTGCAGTGAATAGCTCTGACTCTAGGTTAAGGCAAACTCCAGGTGAGTTGTAGGTTTAACACGAAAAAAAAAGACTCAACAGCTTTGTAAATTACGCTGCCTTAAAAAAAATATATAAAAGACGACGCTTTAGGCAATGACCATTCTTCTTCTCCGTAGCGCAAACCATTTAAATCCACTGTCGCACTCTACTCACATGCTCCCACAACTCTGCTGCCCGCCTTCACCAACCCGCACTGACCAGCGTGGTGAAGTATGCTCAAAAAACCTCATCCAGCTGTGGATTGACAAAAAGGGCTGCAAATTAATTCACTTCAACCGCGCTCCGACGTTTTTTTTTTCGGATTGTACCCACATGCACTTTGGTGTGACCTTTCCGATGTTTCACTCCACACGTGAAATAGCTTCATCAGCAACTGGATGCTTCAGCCTTGGTTTCTGAAGAAGCTTCCGGTGCGCGGAGCTAAAATTTTGGACGTCGTGCCCAAAAGACCTCGCGGTCCGGTCCCGAAAACACGCCGGAGAGCAATACAAATAATTTGCGCGCAAAACTCGCGCGCGAGTTATTTACTTATTATGTATTATTATTAATTCAAAAAACTTAAACAAGAGTCCCGTACAAAGCACGAGCGATAGGAAGTGGAGGAAGTACAGATATTCCGCGGATGCCGAGCCCGAGGCCAGATGCCCGTCCTGTGAGTACAATTTAATATTGTGAACTGAATCCGTCTATCTCTCGGTGAGAACACAGTCCCTAACTGTTGGTAAGTGGTCTAAGTTAAACACGATCTGCAGTGTAAGACACAAAGGCCAGACAGGTTGAGGTGTTGAACTGTGTTGTAGGCACAGCCGCACCAAGCCGTCCTTACCTCCAAAGGAGTAACCCGCACACTGAGATGAGTCGCAGAATCCAGGGGGTCCCGGGGGGCCATTGGACCCAGGGGACCCGGGTCGACCCTGGGGGCCGGGTGGCCCAGCCATACCGGGTCGACCCGTGTTGCCTGGGATCCCGGTACCAGGGCGGCCTGGCGGGTACGCACACACGCACACGCACACAAGCACACACACACGCACACAGTCACGCACACACGAACGCATGCGAGGAGTGAGGGTAAAGTTGCCACCTTGTCCTGGTTTCCCTGACGTCCTCTTTTCGAGGCTTGACAGTAAAATTAGACTCACATGTCCAACTCTCAATCTTGAACCTCGTCATAATTGAGACGTTAACGCACGGGAGGATTAAAAGTCCTGGTTTTTGTCAGTTGCATAATCGTCCATCACTCAAGCCAATGCATGTACGTACAGTTCTCCCCTCTTCTTTAATTGTGAGGAATTCTTCTGCTCGCGATTTTTTCCTGGTTTTTTGTACCTCAAGAGGTGGCAACCCATGAGATGACAGAATCTCAGACTGTGATCTAGGCGGAGAGCAGGCACGTGGAAAATGTTACTTACCAAGGGCCGAAGAGGACTTTCAAAAACCTTTGGCGGGTGGTCACACATGACCATACATACGCCTAAGCGCACTGGCGGAGCCAGTGGGGGGGATGGGGTGGCACGTGCCCCCCCAATGAAATTAGGGATTTCAATCGGATCATTGGGGTTTATTAGTGATAAATCGGCATTTTGCGACCCCCACTGCCACTGTGTAGCATATTATTACGTGCCAGGGACTCTATGAGATGATAGGACAATAGTCTGAGTCCATAATTGGCAATAAGTAACGGCAAAGCAGTTATTATAAGTGACTCACAGAATTGTGCGCAGTTGCGTATACAGTACACGACTTCCCTGAAGGCAAACACCTTCAGCGAGCGTGATGCCGATCACACACGGTTCGAATTCGACCCTCAATCAATGGCTGCGCCATCGCCGCACACGAAACGAATAAAAATCAAGGGACAAGTCCTTACATATTACTAACAACTATCATTATTCATTGCTGGAGGGGTTGCCCCCCCTACCTGAAAATTCTGGCTCCGTCATTGCCTTAGCGTTATCCAATAATAATGCAAAACATAGTAAAGGCTCACCCGTATGGAAGGCTGCGCTTGTTGCCAGGTTTAAAATATTGCCCTCTAGAACCTCCTGATTATTTCTGCTAAGATGCTCGCAGTGACGAATGAACATTGTTTGCGGCCCGTTGGGAAGTGGCGAGCCTCATTGGGCCTCGTGAAATGAGGTCATGAGCTATTTCTTGCCCGCGTGGGCTGTAGGTTCCCCACAATGGATGGGGAAGGTGGGGGGGGGGGGGGCGCTGGAGGAGCAGGGGAGCGAGGCTGACGGGGGGGTAGGGAAATTATACCTGGGGGGCCGGGGGGCCCGTCCTGTCCACGGATACCATTTCCAGGACCACCCCGCTCTCCCTTCTCTCCTGTCAAACCTGGGGGGGGGGGGGGGGCAGAAACATTGGTGAGAGTGGAACGGACAAGCATTGGCACGCACACACTAAAAAGAAAGATCCCCCATATAGCCTGCATTGGCTGTTTGGGTAATGGCTGTGCACGAGCACCTATTGAGGGAGGCAAAGGCGGCCGGGCGTGGTCCTGGCCACCCCACCCCCTCATGCGCTGTGCCGGCCTTCATAGGTGCCTGCTAACAGCATTTGCCCCAACAGTCTATTAAGGCTATACGGGGGCATCTTTGTCGTCGTTATATATGCAAGGATGTGTATAGGCGGGAGTGGGAGTGCATGTGCGTGTGTGTGCGTGCGTGTGTCTACCTCTCCCTCCTTGAAGGCCGGGGATTCCAGGAGACCCCGGGAAGCCGGGACGTCCTGCCGCACCGGGCTCCCCTCGCAGGCCAGGGCGACCCGGGGGTCCCTGGGGACCTGGGGGTCCTGGTTCGCTGCGCACGGGGGCTCCGTTGTTGGGGATCTGGTTTAACATGGAGTTGAACCTTCGCACGTGCTCTGCGTGAGACGAGACACAAACAAGCATGGTGTTTTTTTTTTCTTTTCACAACGACGGAGGTTCGTTGTCCGGCTTCCCGGCACGTCGGACATCATGCCGAACGGAACTGGGTACAAATCCCCGAAAACACATCGGGGAGCCATATGGCACAACCACAAAAATCAATGTGATTTGTCGTAATGTACAAATGTATGTACATTTAAAAAAAAGAAAGACATTTACTATCTATCTACTGCTGAATGAAGGCCTCCGCAAGCCGTCGCCACCTCCCTTGGTCTGGCGAAGAAACAATCCACCTCGCTCTTGCACACGAGCCGCATGGATGCATGTTAAACTTCTTTCGCACCGTACATAGCCAACTGTGCTAATCAGAGGTGCGAGCTGATTGCGTCGCTCCATCTCCGCGGTGGACGGTCCTCTTTGGCGTGTTGTCTCCTCTGGCTGCCACTCCATCGTCAGTCTCAACCACCGGCCATCGTCTTCCCTTCCAGCGCCGCATCATGCCCAAGCTATACTGACTTCTTTTTTTTATATACAATCGTTTTTCTTTAAGAAACAAAGCCCACTGACTTTCTTCAGTCAGCGACAGCCAATACGATGTCTCGAAGACATTGAAGGGGGGAAACAACTGAGAATCACATCAGAGTATCACGATGGTGAACGAAAGAGGCGTACAAGAGCAGGTTGGAGTGCTCAACGGAATAAAAATGAACATCAGCGTAAGAATATATTTTACAAAGGGAGGGTAAGTGTGCAGCGGGCGCAAACATCCAACACGGACCAAAGAGGCCCGAACGCTCACACTCACCGTTGATGATCTGCTCACAGACCTGCCGAGCCAGGGACCTCACCAGATTCTGACTCTGAGAGTCTCCCTGTGTAAGCATTCACATAAGCACGCACACAAGTGCGTTTAAATGTCCACACAAACACGCACGGATGCACACATACAGCACATGCGTGTGCACACATTTACACACACACACTGAACACATGTTGGCAATGCACGCAAGCACACAAAGATTCCCCTTATAGTCTTAACATACTGTTAGGGCAAGTGCTGTTAGCGACCGCCTATGAAGGCTGGCAAGGCACATGAGGGGGTGGGTGGCCAGCACCACGCCCGGTCACCTTTGTCTTCCATGTAGCGATGTTTACACACCGCACCAGGTACTAATTTGAGGTTGAGTCGACCTAGGGAAGGCCCAGGACCGGTTCAGATAATCACCAATGATGTTGGCCGTGGGCGGGAATCGAACCCGGGTTGCCGGGTTTGGAGCGGAGCATGCGAACCGCTACGCTACCGCTCCCCATCACACACAAATATACACGTACACAAACCCACACGGCTAAATAACTGCTTAATCATTTGACTGCTTAGTCAAGACTGCTTATAATGCAAGGGGTTTAATATTCAAGGCAATGAGCCAGCCTCCGTCACCCTCTAGCGTCGTGCCATCTAGCTTCAGGTCACTGTGACTAAAGCATTTACATAAACCCACTCGTTGTAATTCTATTTGAACGAATTTCAAAAGGTTGTATAATTGGATTTATATGTAACCTGCCATAGGAATGTGGAGTTTTTTTTACTCCTGGACCTGGGCCGCAAACAGAGATGAGTGCCACCCCCCACCCCCCTCCCCACCCCATGCTGGTTGGATTTGAGCAAAGGGGATCGCTATGATCTCGACCTGGGTTTAATTAAGCAATGCCACAAGACGCCGCTTTTGCAGAGTTGAACAATCACGACCGCTCAGGGCTGTACATGAACCTGTACAATGGGGTACATGTTCAACATACCGCTAGACAGAAGACGGCCCAATGAGGTCATCACTAAACATCACCAACGATGGCTGCACCGAAAACGTTGCTGCGCCCTAACGGGGTCTTACCCTCTCTCCTCGCTCTCCTTTTGGTCCCGTTAGACCCTGAAACAAAAAACACAGCGAAATAATGTGCTTATTACTGCTGCCGCTAGCATTAATATAAGTGTGTGTGTGCAAACTGAATACGATTTGGATTTATAGATCATTGACATGCAGCCACTTCGAAAGACGCTGTACAGACACAGTGGGCGTATTTATCTTATAGGCAGAGGTAGCCAGTCATGGGCTGAGGGATAAAGGAAGGCCTTGAACGTTTACACCACGGATGGCCTGGGAAAGTGAATTCCATACCTTGGAGACAGCAGAGGAGAACGAGCGACCTCCCACTGAAACTGTGTCAATAATAATGTTCATTTTTTTATTTAGCTAGAAGTGCCACACTGAGCACAATGACTCTTTTTTCAGAAGGATCCTGGATTGGGTTTTTATTTGAAGATGTTTTTTTTTCAGCCAATTGACGAGTTATTTATACGTATGAGTGGAAACCGGAGCACTGGAAGAAAACCCACACGCTCGTAGAGGCGACACTCCACCACCGTACAAATGGAAACAGATGGCAATTATTCCACTTGCAGTAATGCCCTCTCCTGCCCGGGGTATGGCACCTCGACACCCACGGGAAGGGAGTTTCACAACATCCGTGTGATCCACCAGTCCTCGCTGCATCTACAGGTGCTGGATGACAGGCTGTGTGTATAGCCACCGCTGCCGGCCTTCGCCACCGCCGTAGATGTGCACGTGTGTACCCGTTGGTAAAGACTGTCTACATGCACACCTGTCTGTGAATATAGGAGTATGTGAGCACGTGTCAGTGCATGTGTTTGTACGTGAAACACTGAAAGGTGGATCGGTAAAATAATAAATTATTTAACATAGAAAAACTAACTTTACCTATGTACATATCTGAGTGTGAATATTTGAGTGTGTGTGTGTGCACGTAGGTGAGTATATGTGCGTGTATGTGTGTTGTGTAAATGTTGGTGCACACGTGTACCAGCTGTCCCTTAGGCCCAACAGGGCCTAGTTTCCCTTCGTTGCCTTGGATTCCCTGCGTCCCAGGTCCACCCTGAGTTGGGAGAGACAAAGGTCACATTTGCTTAATAAAAATAAGCATTTTCCCAGCCTCTTGGCAATCCACTGCTGGATGTATGCCTCGGCACGCCGTATCAATCATAGGGGTTTAATTGAGCAGACATCACCACGCTGCTCAGTGTGGCTTGGTGAAAGGTGGAGGGAGGGGGGAGGTAGGACGAGTTTAAACATCGTTCGCCACTGATGTAAGCCATATGCCGAGAACTGAACTCGGGCTCCGAGGTTCACGGCGCAATGTTCTAGCCACTGCACAGATCGTTTCACCGTTGTGTTAGCTTACGTGCAGTGGATTATTCATCAAGGTCTCACCATGGGGCCTGGAGGGCCAGGTGGGCCTGTGCCGCCATCTTTTCCTGCAGGCCCCTGGGAAAAGGAGGAAAAGGGGGACACAATAAGAACGTGACACTGATATGGTGTTTGGGGGGATGGGGGGGGGGGGGCTCAGGTGTCAGAGACACTAAGCAACACTCCAACTGAGATTCTTGTGTTCGAATCCAAGTTGCAGCCATCCGTAATTAAACTGGGTTCTCAATTTTTTGTTACTATTAAAAATGTTGTTAGGTAAATCCCACTTGAGCTCTTTTAGCTCTTTGTCAGTAGCGACCTGGCACTACTGGTGCTCAACGAAGTGGCTTATTGTGTGGGCATTTATAGCAGCCAAATACTCTAAATTCATGTTTCTAAACGTGGAGATAAAATACCGGAGGACCAGAATAATAATCCACGCGACCATGGGAAGAATATGTAAACTCCAAATATACAGGCGTCAGGGTCGGGATTGAACCCACGACCTCCTGCATACCAGGTAAGGGAGTTAACATCTCACCACCGCAGTACCCCAGTTTTCAGGCGATGCCAGTCGATGGTCTCAACTTGGTGACCAATGATTGCACCAAAAAAAACTGTAACATTAAAATTAATTGGCCTTCATTGTTAAAAAACTTTGCCTGACTGCCACGTGACAAACTTCTCCAAAGACCGGCACGAGGGAAAGTGCAGGTAATTTGAAGGGATCCCAAAAGTATCTCTGTGATATCACCTTTGGCGTGGCCATTCCCAATAGAGAAGCGCTGCACTATTCTACAAGGGCTTTGCAGGGACATTCCTTCACCTCCTGACGTGACTCGATATCACAGTTGGAATAAAAATTAAGAAATTAGGCAAGAAATAGCACATGATAACAATCAAAATTCTTCTTTTGCATGGTGGGGAGTCAGTTCACTGACACCAGAATCAGAATATGTATGTATACTGGAGGAATCTGATGAGATATAAAGCTCTTTTTCACAGATGTCCTTCATGTGATGGTGATTGAGTGAGCCAGTGCACTTGCACGTGTATCAGCCTCATGGTGAATATCTGAAACGCTGCCAGCGAACGATGGAACCGGGCAGTATGGTTACTATGTGAGCCCGTGGTTTAGGATGGGCGACAGCGGTCGTCGCACTCTGGGCTATTTATTTATTGTCCACTGGTGGAGGATATGGCAGCATGCACGGCACAGTGTACGATTTAAACTATCACTGGGAAGGCAAACCTTACCCGTTGTCCTGCAGAACCTGGTCTCCCCATTACTCCCTGCGGGCCTTGGGGTCCCTGAAAAAAAAACACCACATCACAACGTGATTATTTCTCAAATAGTTGCATCTATTTTGCGCCCATATCACCATGGGACGTCTCAGGGAACACTTTCAGTTCGGCCTAGGGGAGCCCCGAATGGCAGCCTTCTCCGTCCCTGTGTGGCAAAAAGGGAGCACATCACCGGCCTGCAAGGAGACATTACAATAAGTCTGCTAGCAAGGGGCTCATGCTACTACCGTTGGTTGTTACAATCAAGTAATTTGTGAGAATTTTCTTTCGTGACATTGGACCATGACACTGGCACACATTAAAATATATCAAGGGATATATAATGTCTACTGTTCTGTGGACGATGACGTGTGTTTATCATCAATACACCCACAGTAGTAAGGTTCACCCAATAGCCACTCCTTCAGGGTATCGGGAGAGAGATGTTCCATTGTGACACCTGCAGTGGTATCTGCGTTTGGTCGGATAGAGGAGACTAAACGGGCGAGGCATGGGCTGGCAATGAGATGGGCTGATGTGATATAGGAGGAACTGGAACTGAGTAGACTTGTTGATAACTGGGATCAGCGGTGTCAAGATTGGCCTGTGTGGAGGAGGCTCGTGAATTATGCTACTGAGCAGTGCCAGGCTAGATACACTTTGAGGCTACTGGGCAGTTGGGGGCAGTCACGCTCCAGGAGGCAGACCAACAGGAGGCAGAGGAGCGACGCTCAACAACGAGCGAAACACCTGAAAGCTAAAGCATTAGCGCACATTGGCACAGTGGAGATGACTGGTAGTGCATCTGCCAGTCATGTCAAGTCAGTCAACTCATAACACCTTGGTCTGTCCCGTGACCTCCTGCCAACAAGCCATCTGAACTTCACATGACATCAAAGTGCACATAGCCTGGCACAAGCACTGTGGTGACATTCCTGCCATTTAGTGGCGAATGGCGGCTGTCGTCGTTGTGTGCACGTGATGCGAGTAATTTGCATACCGGAGGTCCATTCTGTCCCTGAATGCCCGTTTCTCCTTTCTCTCCTTTCCGTCCCTACAAACACACGCAAGCACCCACACACGCATGTAAACTTTAACACACGTGCAAACACACTTGCATAAACGTGCACAAATAAATTAAAATAAAAAAAACAATGATTTAGACCCGTTTGTCGATCCACTGTTGGATGAAGGCCTCTCCACGCCGTGTTTGTCATGGAGATTTTTTGTCCACGCCGGACAATGCAGGTTGGTGAAGAGTGAGGCAGGACCGGTGGGGATATCACTTGCCACTGGTGTTAGCCGTGGCCGGGAATGGTACCGAGTTCATAGCGTGGTGCGCTTACCACTGCGCCACCATCCCACCCCCGTGCACACAAATATGTATGAAATATATAGATATTCAAGATAAATATTAAACAGAAATATATACAAATATATATAAAATACAAACTAATACATACAGTATTCTCTCATTATTCATGCACTTGCTATCTGCAATCTTGTCTATCCGCAAATCGCATGTGAAACTCTACATGACCGCCACGAGAGAGAAAGTGATGAGATAAAGTGATGAGAGATAAAGTGATGAGATAAAGAAATGTGTTATTACAACTGTCATGTATTTAATAGCTTATTTATGTATTTATTAATTTGATTCAAAATCATTATCCACGAAATTTGCAATTCACGAGCATATCCGGAACGTATTCAAACAGACACACAATGAATAAAATCAAGTCAATAAAATATCCTTATATTCAGATACCAATTTACCTTTGCATGCATCATGGCCAAGAGTCGAACTTGGGTCTTGGAAATCATAAAACAGTGCGGTGCATACTGAACAATTTATGCATGTGTGTACACATGTATACGGCAACCAGCGTACTTCTGTTCACAAAGGCACACGTGAACGCACGCGTACACATAAAATACAGACGCACGCATTCTCACCGGTTCCCCCTGCAAGGAGAGGCCATTGGGGCCTTGAGGCCCAGGAGGACCCTGGGGTCCCATTGGGCCTTGATCTCCCCTAAGACCGGAAGATCCCTGAAGATACACAAATAAATATACGCACGCACCAACAGTTTCAGAGCAACACATACACACATGCACACGTGGGCAAATGCACATGAGTACACACATGCACACAGACGTAGAGACAAACACACACAAACACGCAGGCACACACACATGCACACACAAGTGCGCTGATGCACACACCTTATTAGACTAGTGGGGCAATTGCTGTTAGCGAGCACCTATGAAGGCTGGCACACACACATGCACATATGCACAAGCACACCCACAAAGTATTTGCACACATACAGACACAAAAAACATACACACAGGCACACACACATTAATATTCTCCATGTAACGTTATAGACCATGGGGAAAGTGATGTTAATGAGCTCTTACTAAGGTCACGATCCTGGTCGTAAAAACGGCTTAGAATTCTTCTTGCTGATGGAATGTGTGATAGCCAAAAGTTCCTATTGTTGCCTGGTACCTTTCACACACACTGTGTGTGTGAATATATGTGGAGACATGTCAAGATGTAACGTTGCTGCGTAGCTTTTTGCGACTGTGGTTTATAGCTCTCCGATGCATTTCCGGGTTGTTAGGTATGACGTCCGATATCCAAAATCCCAGGCCCGTGGAGCAAAACGTCGGACATCATGCCGAACAACACATGGTACGACCCGAAAACGCATCGGGGAGCTGGGATATAACGTAACGAAAAAACTAAACTATTTTGAAGGTCCACTGAGCTATATAGCTCATTCTAGATTTGAAGTTTTCGTGACTGCAATGATCCATACTCTTTGGTTCTTTCGGTAAAGTCACATAAGCAAAAATAAAAAATAATCAAATCACGACGTTTCAGAGGCAACACAAGCTTCCGTCATCAGGTGTAACTAGCACAGCAGTAATTTGTGTTGCCTCCGAAACGTCGTGATTTGATTATTTTTTATTTTTACCTACGTGATTTTACCGAAAGAACCAAAGAGCATATAGCTCATTTTCAAAAGTGACCTTGCCACAAATGATAGCTCAACAAATTGGCTAATCACGTGGAAATTTATAGCAGCCATATACTCTAAACGCATGTCGATTCCAAATGTGGATGGAAAAAACAGAGGATCTGGAGAAAAATCCACGCAACCATGGGGAGAACATGAAAACTCCAAATATACAGGCATCAGGGTCGGGATTGAACCCACAAACCTCCTGTATATGAGGCGAGATGGTTAACATCTCGCCACCATATTGAGTGCGGAGACAGTGAATTTACGGTGTGTGCATTTGTGTACATGTTCAGAGGGGCTGTACCTGAGGTCCTTGCAATCCAGATTCTCCGCGTGGTCCCCTTAACCCAGAACCACCCTGAACAGAGAAAACAGCAACAACAACAGGGGTGATGTCACCACATCATCTGTACCAGGCTAGGTACAATTTGAGGTTGTCACAGCATGCAGGTGATTGGTGTGGCTAACAATATGCCGGGCCGACTTTGTCCGTGATCGTGCTGAAATTTGCACAACGCAGCAGGTACACATTTAAAGGGAAGCCCGTTATAGGTTCATGTACACACTTGCAATTGATGTTGTTCATGTCCAGGAAACGAGCTTTGGTCATGAGGATTGCAGGCCAGGGTGTTAACTATTGCACCGTACAACACTGAGTTTTGTCACCACGGCGGATGTGCCAGGCTAGATGCACCAACACATATGAGTGTGTGGCACTCATCACTACCATCTCCTGACCAATGTATGTGTACACCTGTGTAATTGTGCATGTGCCTATGTGCACACATGTACATGTGTGTATCTATGTATGTATATGTACATGTGTGTTTATGTGTATATATGTACACGTGTGTATACAGGTGTACATGTGTGTATATGTGTAGGTTTTACCGGGGGGCCAGGAGGACCAGGAGGGCCGATGCTGTCCTGAGTGCAAGTGCAGGCATGGGGGAGCGCGGGGCATTTGGCCTCATCTCGCTGTGACCACGCAACACAAATAAACAAGACTCAGACACCCCATTTTCATTGGCATTTTCAAGCTGTGCCAGCAAGGGGCCATCACAGCATAGGTAGTTTTCCATTGGCTATTTTCCAAGGCCACCCAGAACCAAACTGTGAATATCTGACCTCAAAAGACATCTGAACGGTTTGGGGCCAAGTAGGCCCAGGGGCGGGGTGAATCATTTACGACGCACGTTGCGCCCCGCCTGACTCGACTCGTCCGTTGGATGCGACGTCAGCGGTGTGGCTCGGGTTCTTCAGTGGAAAAACAACCTGGCGCACTCATGAGCCACACCGTGCTCGCTCAGGAGCCATAACGACAGTAGGGTTAGGATGCTCACAGTGAGCACCTGTTACGGTTGACATGGACTGCATGCAGGGGCTGGTGTGAGCACGCACTTCGCACGGCCTGCCACCTTTTTTTCTCCCCAGCGCAGACTTTCATGATTGCCCTCTGGTGCTAATTTTAGGTTGTGCCGATTACTCATCTTCATTGTGGGAGACCATGAGTATGATTCTCATGAAAGCGGTGGATAAGGGGGGCTTTGAAATGGGGTTTACGGGATCCATAGTGCAAGTACATCTTCCAAGAGCAAACAAGCTTCTATCATGCAGGGCAAGGGCGCTCACAAAGGGGTAGTGAGATTCTGAGAGGTCGTGACTTAACCAAAGGCACATTAATCTCCAATAGAGATGATAAAACAAACAACAGGACAGTGGGACTCTGGGGAATCAGAATATCACCAAAGGTCTATGTGACTCTAGAGGAATCAATGTCAGCAACAGAGATTGGGAAAGGAGTAGCGACGTTCCAGTGTTCTACGAGCCACACAAACAGCCACACCATGCCATGGAGGTGCGGTGGCATCAAAGCCATGAACCATGATGACCTCCTGACCCTTGACCTGCATTATGAGACCCTGTGAGGGACATGGGTCAGCGTTAGACAATGTACAAATGGAATTATATATACGTTTTAAAGAAACATCTCACCAAGTGGGGCAGTTCGCAGCACTTGTCTCTCTCCGCCCAGTTGACGCTGCACACGATGTCGAACATTTGCAGCTGGAACTGTTGAGACAAAGACAGAGATCCCCCATTATAGCCTTTAATAGGCTGCTGGGGTAAATGCTTTCAGAGAGTGCCTATGAAGGCAGTGGCATACTCAAATTGCGATTTAATCGGGGGGAAAATTGTATTCCTAATAAGAGCACTAAAAAAATATGCATCATCAGTCATGATCACTCCACTGCTGGGTGAAGACCTCCCCAAGCTGTCGCCATCTCGCATGGTTTTTACGATGTCATAACCGACCTAAGTAGTTGCACAGGAGAGCACAGAATCAATTTCGTACTTTTTTAAATTTCCAATTTCACACTTGAAATATAAAAAAATGGTCGCCGACAAAACAGTCGTAAAAGCAATTTTTATATGGGAAGGGGAATAATTATTGTATCTGCCCCCCCCCCCTCCCACCCAGGTGCACCTCCGGGTCCCGGTGTTCATCCCGTGCGGCCGTATCCCCGGTTCTGCGTGCGGCCGCCCCCCCCCCCCACTCTCCCCCGCCCTGTCACCTCTGCGCTGGCGGAGTCTCCCCGGCGCCGGCCCAGGCTCTGCTCTCCGGCGGTGCTCACGTTGCCCAGGGGCCAGGACGGCTGCTCGTCGACGGCGTGGCAATCCACGTGCAGCCGCACCGCCGAGTCGTTCACCACCACGTGCACCTGCCGACGGCATGCGTACACACGCCTAAACATGCACTTGCACATTTACATATTTATACGCACACATGTGGAGTAAATGCACGCAAATCTATCCGCACATGCACAAGTAATTGCACACTTGCAATCGAACACACAAACGCAAATACGGACAAAGATTCCCCCATAGCCTTGACTAGCGAGCACCTATGAAGGCTGGCACAAGACTACGCGGGCTGCATTTGTCTTCCCAGTGCTGATGCTTACACACAGCACCGGGTACTCATTGAAGGGCTGAATCGAACTTGCGGAGGCCCACGGCCGGTTCAGATATTCATCCCTGATGTTGCCCACGAGCGGGAATCGAACCTGAGTTACCTGGTTCTTAGGGCAGCATGCTAACCACTGCTCCATACAAATGTAGTGGGTTCGATTGAGGCGCACACTCAACTTGGAGGCAACACTATTGTTTAACGCATAACAACCTCTTTGGTTCTATTCTATACTCTTTGGTTCTATTCGGTAAAGTCACGTAAAAGTATAAAACAACAAAAAATAAAAATAAAAAATGCACGACGTTTCGGCCACAACACAAGTGGCCTTCATCAGGTGAAGCGACCAGACTGTCTCGAGGACAGCGCTGGAGTGAACACAGCCAAGCTCAGACCGCGACCTTTAATCTTGTGTGAGAGGAATTAAGGTGCCTTGACAAAGGAATTAGCATAACAATTAGCATTCAATTGGCGGACTTAGCATGGTGAACGGTGTAGAGGGGGTGAACATGTGCAGACCGGCGAGGGGGGGAGGGGGAGTTTACATATTGATGGTGTGAAAAAGGAATTTAAGCAGCTGCGAAAGTTTGGGATACCACTACTTGAAAAAATATACTGTACCATTGAAAATTAGTTTAATGTTTGGTTCGATTTAAAACATCTTTCCAATGGTTGCTTAATTTGAAACCATCCTCTCGGTTGAAATTATCTGTGTTTGTAAATCTGAATTGCCTCGTGAACAAATCTCTGATAAAAACCCGTGGGTTTGCAAAGAACCTTGGTATCGGAGAAAATAATATCGTGATCACCCACAGCGTTGTAACAGTGATCAGCTACGGCAGAAGAAGGATGGTTTCAAATTAAGCAACCATTGGAAAGATGTTCTAAATCGAACCAAACATGAAACTAATTTTCACTGGTACAGTATATTTTTTCAAGTAGTGGTATCCCAAACTTTCGAAGCTGCTTAAATTCCCTTTTCACACCATCAATATGTAAACTCCCCCTTCCCCCCTCGCCGGCCTGCACATGTTCACACCCTCTACACCGTTCACCATGCTAAGTCCGCCAATTGAATGTTAATTGTTATGCTAATTCCTTTGTCAAGGCACCTTAATTCCTCTCACACAAGCTTAAAGGTCGCGGTCTGAGCTTGGCTGTGTTCACTCCAGCGCTGTCCTCGAGACAGTCTGGTCCCTTCACCTGATGAAGGCCACTTGTGTTGTGGCCAAAACGTCGTGAATTTTTTATTTTTATTTTTTGTTGTTTTATACTTTTACGTGACTTTACCGAATAGAACCAAAGAGTATGGATCCTTGCAGTCACGAAAGCTTCAAATCTAGAATGCATAACAACCAACGTGAATACTCTACATAAGGTGGTGACCACCGTTCCTAATCTCACTAACACTCGGGGAATACTACACAGCGTGACCAAGGCAGGTGATGGGCTGCCTGGTCACGAACGACGATCGGAGACTCGAGGACCGCTGATGGCATCTTCATCCCGGGGTTGAAGAGCCCAGCGCTCTTTTCACGCCCCGCTTATAACTCCCGTGGCGTGGCCGGCTCCGCCCCAGGCCACGCCCCCCTTCTCGATCCTTCAAGAAGGTCCGGGCCCCCAACCACGTGACCCCCAAGCTCCTCCCTGGGGCCCCCAGCCCCCCCTTTATCCGGTCACGTGTCCTGTTGGGTTCACGCAGAGTGTCACGGCCTGACACGACCCCCGTGACACCCGCCTACAGCACCCATACCGAGCCAACACAGTAGTGACGTCATGTGTCCCTACGCTCGTACAGTCCCGACACAGTAGTGACGTCGTATGTTACTACACATATATGTAAACAAAAGACAAAGATCCCCCCGTATAGCCTCAACAGACTGTTGGGGAAAGTGCTATTAGCGAGCACCTATGAAAGGCTGGCACGGCACACGAGGGGGTGGGTGGCCAGCACCGCTGGTGTAAACGAACAGACCTTGTGGAAACTGCCGTAAAAGAGCTTCTGAACATCCGGGCCCTTGAAGCTGGTGCTTTGCAACTTCCCCGCGTCATCCATGTACTCGAAGGTCAAAGACTTTGCCTTGGCTGCAGCGCACACGTACACACACGTGTTACAGGTGTATGAACACATCCGGTTATACTACACGGGCACGCCACAGTGTGCAGGTATGTACGCACATGAGTGAATGCACGGTATACACACGTGGAGTCAGAACATACCAATACATTTGTGTGGTTGCGTGCATCTCCATGTCTGCAGGCAATGCAGTTGCATTGCAATTCAGTTGCATTGCCTGGCAAATTGCTCGATGATGATGGATGTAATTACCAGCGAAACGCCGTACTCAAAAATTGTAAATGTTGTGGATTCACTCTTCAACACACCGGTGGGCTAAAGTAGTGAACTATATGTCTTTTGCCAACGTGACACATTTTTTTTACTGATTAGCCGTGTCGGGTGGTGGAGGGTTGCAACACACTTAGAAATAACGTGATCTAATCCAAAAACCTTTATTATGAATGCAACTGCACCGGGGCCCGTGGACTGGGGGGGGGCTCAGGCCGACGAAGAGGGTGGGGGAGGAAATTGTATCGGGGGGGCCGGGGGGGACCACCATTTCATCCCCTGCAGCATGACCAGTTGCCAACCAGACTACTCGTTCGGGTTCAGTGGCTTTGCTATCTCGTGCGCAGGCGGTGCAACTGCGCGGAGAACACAGGCGGCATACTGTGAAAAGGATGTGGGAGGAAAATTGTACAGGGTGGGGCGGGCGCAGGGGGAGAGAGGAAGGACGCCCATTTCATTCGTTGCACCAGGGCCGACGCCACCCGCGGCACCCCTCTGGGGGTGGCCGAGCGATCACGCGCCGGTCTCACCGTCGAGGAGGACGCCCACTTGGAGTTTGTCCGCTTCGTCGCGGAGCTCCCACACGGTGAACGGCTGCGAGGGCGTCTCGGGCAGCATGCGCATCATGAACGACACCGTGTACGCGGGGGGCAGCCCCTCCGGCAGCACCTCCCTGCTCACGCCGCGAGGGAAGACGCGGGGGGGATGGGGATCGACCCGTTTCAGCGGTGGGCTGTTCTGGGCCGCGTACCCAGGCAAATCCTCACCCCGGTGCACCATCCGCTATGGCTGTAGCTGCCACAGTGACGTGCCACCCACTGTAGTCCGCGTAGCGGCACGAGAAATATTTCGAAAATAGAACGAATTCTTTGAAATAGATAAAGAAGCATGGAGAAACGGATCCTTTGAAGTACATCAAAGACAGAAAGAAGAAGAGGTGGATGAGAGAACATACAGAGTTAGAGACATCATATTGAGAAATGTAAGTAGGCATTGGCAGGCCACGTCGCTTGAAGGGACGATGGCCGGTGGTCAAGACTAACTACTGAGTGGCAGCCAAGGCAGTAAACACGTGTGGACAGCATGCGGAGATGGAGCGATGAAATCAGATCATGCGCAGGTGGGACTGTCATATCTCAGGACCCTGACAGGCAGTGATGGCTTAGGGACGGAGCCCTTCACCCAGCAGTGGATAGACCATGTATGCTACTGCTTCTGTTGATGATGACAATGAACCGGGTTTCATTGCTGTAAATGTGTGCACACATGTACGAGTGTGTGTGTATGTTGGTGTATGTGCGTGTGGCTGTGTAGTTGTGCGAGCACACGCTACCCATGTGTGCATGTGTGTGTATGTAATGCGCGTGTGTGCGTGTGTGCGTGCCTGGTAGGCTGTCTCAGCGCAGCCTCTTTGTGAATCCGAAACGAGGGGAACGAGTTGAAGGAGCCGGGCTCCATGGAGACTCCGCTCACGTTGGCGTAGAGACGCTCGGTCAGCTGGAACGCCTCCATCATCTTGAACCCTGCGGCGGCGCACGCCACATTCACACGAGCAACATTGCAGCGAAGGGTTTTCCTCGAGCTAGGCCCGGGCGGGAGACTAACACGGGGAGGCCTTGGTACGGAGAAGCAATAGCCCAGAAGTCCTGGTGCGCAATGAGGTCATAGCCGGTGTTTAAAGTAGCACGAAAAAAGTTCCGGAATGCAGAGAAAAAAATTCTACAACAACACGGAATTGCTTTGAATTGGATATACATTATATACGATGCAAAGCACTGGAGGGCGTTTAATCGTACATTATGTTTTGGTACATTATATTCTACGTAAGATATTCTCATACGTTGACTATACATTGTACACTAAGGAACTTATTCTAGAGCATTTCATATACATTACATGCTACAAAACAGGATAACAATGCGTTGAACATGTACATTGTAACACGGTTCTCACCTCCATTCAACACAAAATACACCTTGCCTCAATCTGACTGCACCAATCTTATGTACGCATGCATGTCGAACTTCTTTCGGACCATACGTAGCCAACCGTGCTAATCGGAGGTGCGGAGTGGGGAAGGTCAACAAGCTGAACACAAAAATCATTTCTGAAGAAGTGAAACGGCCACCGAACGCACGTCCACGCGAAACGTCAGACGCGGCGGGTCGCCTGTTTTGCATCAGTCCAACAATCACGTTGTCTTCCCCCCCCCCCGCCCCTCCAGAGAGTTATCATTTCCCCGTGGCCGGTATATCTTTCCATCCGAGCGCTCCCTCACCCGGTGCGTATTGCATATGCCCCGTGCATGCCGTCTCCCGCTTTGAACCGCCCGCCATACCTGAGATGGTGTAGCGGTCGAGGTGGACGAGCGGGCATGCTGCAGGCCGGCGCCGCGTTCGAGCCACGATCGATTGGCGCCGCAACAGGGGAAGGAGGGAAGGGGGGTTGTGGGGGAGGTGGCAATGATGCGGACACGCGGGGGGACAAATGGGGGGACACGCGGGGGGACACGCGGGGGGACACGCGGGGCCACGACGGCGCACACAGGGGGCAGAGACGTACGAATTATTACAAAATACCGTGTTGTGGTTCAGTTGCGTACGTAGTACAGTACTCGCATGTTTATTTCTTACTATTCATTGTATTCCAAAGTAGCAACAATTTATTGAACTGAGTGGGTGTCCTATTTTAACACACCAATAGATTAACAAAGGATATGTTGAGGTTTTAAAAAAAATGTAATTAAAGATAACCCATGCAGGCTTCACTGGAACACGATACAATCCACGTTTCTATTTTATCATCTCCCCATGTATGACCACACAATTAACTGAATAATTGATTTGTTTTCCATCCAATTGAGTAAGCATCATCTCAACAAAAGCCAACAGCGTTTTTTTTGGGCTGCAGGATCGCACAGCGCCTCACAGCCTGGATTTAATTCCTGACTCGGAAGCCTTTCCGCGTGGAGTTTGTACGTTTTTCACCCTGTTCCAAACTGTTGTCCTCTGGATTCCCCAGTGCCCTCCCATCACTAAAATACAACACACACATTGCAACCGATACTGGTCAAAACATCGCAATGCTGAGGAACTGCAAATTTACTCAATTGGGATTACACATAACAGCATCGCTCCCTCCCCACGACTGAGAAAACTGGGCAGGGCCCTCCTGAAAAAGTGTCTTGAGACTTAGTGAAGCCCTGGCCGAACAAGCACAATGATGACACAATTATTCTGGACGATGCGAGCGCACGCGTGGAATGTGAGTGCCGGCGCACTCACTTGCGGAGGCGGTCTCGCACACGAAGGTTATGAGGTGGTCCTCCAGGGAGCGGAACGCCTCGTAGTCCTCCACCAGGAACACGTGGCGCTCGCTCGGCAAGGAGCCGATGGCGCGCAGTTCCGCGTAGTCGCCGTCCGCGATGCCGATCGCAAACACGGACACGCCTGCGCGCGTACGTGGCAAACACGGAGACAAAGATCCCCCGCGCCGACCACCTCAGCATATTGCCGGGGCGAGTGCTGCTGGCGAGCACCGACGAAGGCCGGCGCACCGCGACCACATTTGGAAGATGTTTAAATGTTCCGCCTGCCGCATAGTAGGTGATTGCACCTGCCATTACCGCTATCTCATGTGATAATACGATCGGGTGAAATAACCCCCTACAACAGTGGATTGACGCAACGGCTGTGTTCGTACATACAGCATTCATACCCATCACTTATAAATGCAAAAGAGCAAACTGAGCTGCAGGCTGGCCCAACGTACACGCAAGGGGCTGCTTGTGTGGCCAGCACCGTGCACAGCCGACCGTCTTTGTGTCTCCCCGGCAGTAGCATCCAATGCACCGCCATGACTGCACCATGTACTCATTTTATAGTCCACGGGCCACAGCAGATATTGGTACCACGTAAGGTAGCAAAACTTTAGTCGTATCCATTTATTTACACATATGTGATACAGTCAATATGATTGAATTACTAGATCACACCACACATTTCACGTGGTTACCTCATAATTCACTGTTGTTGGCCACATCAACAAATTGTGAGCAATAAAACTATTCCATCCCAGCTGGTAACGACAAGAGCAATATCTGATCTGGGCTTGAGGACTTCAAGGCTGAGGTGACCCCCGGGAAACTAAGGCCAGGTTCAGAGACCGTTTGTAGTCAGTCTGGTGCTAAACGTGGTCAAGAATCGCACTTGGGCACAGGAGCAGCACATGCGTGCTGTAAATTTCCATGTGATAAGCCACTTCGTTGAGCTACCATTTGTGGCCATGTTGCTTTTGAAATATCTTGATTTGAAGATTTCGTGACTGCAGGAATTCATACTCTCTGGTTCGTTCGGTAAAGTCACGTGGTATAAAATAAAATAAAAATAAATCACGACGTTTCGATTGCAACACAGTTCAAGAGCTCTGATGATGATTGCTTATGTTGCAATCGAAACGTCGTGATTTATTTTTTATTTTATTTTATACCTACCGAAAATAAAAATAGTTCAATTTTATAAAAATCAAATTTTTTGCGATTTTCTCACCGTTCCTATACTTAGTGCTATTGTGTTTTTGTATGCTTTGTTGTTGTAACTTTCTGACCCACCCCTTACCGAAAATCTGTGAAAAAGAGCTTTATAGCTCATCGGATTCCTACAGTATAAATACAGATTCTGTGCGTGTAAAAGGACATAACGAGGGCACGCAGTTGCGTGACGACGGTGAATGGTACAGATTCACGCGCGCGCCGAACACACAGAACACATCGTACCGTCCTGCTGAATCTTCTGCGCGACGGCCGACACGTCATCCTGCGAGCGCCCGTCCGTGATGACAACGAGCACCTGCGGCAACCCGCGGCGCACGCCCGACTGGGCGGCGAACATCGCGTCGCGAACAAACTCCAGCGCCTTGCCTGCACACGGCGCGACCGTCCACACCGTCGCCATCACCATCACCGCCGCCACCGGTTAAACAATGATCCACCGTTAACGTCACCACCACCACCACCACGGTCAACACCATAATCATCATCACCATCATCACGTTTACCACCACCAGTTAAATTATAATCACCACCACTGCCACCACCGCCAATACCATCATGCTCAACAACCTAATCATCATCACAATCTCGACCCTTTCCACCAACATTTAAACAATGACCACTGTCACCACCATCAACACCCTCACACTCAACACCATAATCATTATAACGATCACCACCATTACCACCACCAGTTGAACAATAATCACCACTACTACAATTGCCATAATTAGCACCACCACCACAAGCACGGCCAACACTGCCACCACCATCACCGCAATTGTCAAAACTACCACCGTCATCTCAACCACCACCACCACGACTGCCACCACCAATTAAACGAGGATAAACCACTTTGGCCCAATGTGGCCCATTGCCCACAGTTCAAGAGCCCTGGACTAGGGGATTCCCAGAACGGGTTCAGATACCACTTGCTACTGATGTTATCCATTGCCAGGATTCCAGACACACACACACACACAGCTGAACACTTCAGAATATATTCCCACCGGTAAACACTGAGAATGCTAACAACGAGCATTTTATATTACTCCTTAGGGGTGAGATTGTGGCACAGTGGTTAGCACACTGGGGCTACAACCCAGTGACCTGGGCTCAATTTCCTGCCACGGTTAACATCGTTGGTGAGCGATATCCGCAATAGTCCTGGGTCCACCCTCCAACGGCACCCCACCATCAGCCTGCACTGACAAGCTTGGTTAAGTAAGGTGAAACGAACCGCATGACCGACATGACGTGGGGAAGCCTTCGTTCGGCAAGAAACTGACAAAGGTCTGTAAATTATCGGTATTATTATTCTTTTAACAATCCCTCCCCTGCAAAACCCGTCTGCTACCTGTCCCCCAGACCCCCCTCAATAACACGTAATGGTATTCCCAGGGTAGAGTGTAACATGTTAGACCGGGAATGATCCAACTGCTGGCAATGGGGGGGTGGGGGGGTTGGGGAAAAGTGAGGCCCCTTCATTAATCTCTGCCATGGCACCACCAGGGATGAATGCCTCATGTTAGATGATACTGAGAACATTCTGTGGGTGAGCTCTGAAGAGACGGAGGTGAAAGCGAGGGGGTGGGGGGGTGAGGCGGGTGGTTGGGGTTGTAGGGTGGATGGTGGAGATTGCATTAGGGGTGCACACCACAGCTACATAAATCATTACTGCAAGCAGCACTGCACCATATGTGGTGATGTTTAATTATTGGGGGGGGGGGGGTGGGGATGGGAGGGGTGCATTGCTGTATTTAACGTTCAACAAAATAGATTGCTAAGCGATGGAGTGCGAGCGAGGACAAAATGTAGAATTTATGAGGTGCCGGTGTTACACAGCAGGAAGAGAAGACATGTTGAGAGACTTGTACGAATGGCTTGTTTTTCGCAGGGCCTCGCTAAGTAAGGAGGGGTCTTCTCCAAGAATGCTGTTATGGTAGAGCCTTTGCAGGGCGCTGGTTCGTAAAAAGTAGTCGAGTGCGTCTGTTTTGGGTGTGTACTAAGCATGTGACAATTAACCTCTCACTCGATTCAATCAATTACCGTGATCGGGGGGGGGGGGGGGGGGGGGGGGGGTGGGGGGGTGGTCTAGATTCAACGATTCAACTTGGGTTTTTTTTTTTTAACAACAACCACTCAACGCGTGTGTCAATAACACTGGAGTGCGGCCTTAAAACAGCAGACGACGTTTTGGGCAAGCCCCTTTCTTCACAGCACATGATATCTACGCAGGGCCAGCTTTCGGTCTGTGTGCGTTACCGGTCTTGGTGTTGCCGCCCTTGTACTGGATATTGGTGATGGCTTGGAGCAGGGTTTCCTTGGAATTGTGCATCTTGAGGGTGAACTCGGAGCGGGATGTGTCGCTGAACTGCGCCACCGCCACCTGTCAACAGCACCACCGCCACCACCATCATCGCATGGCCTCCAGAGTCGATTGCCTCTTTTCCACTGGTATATCCGAGCTGTGCCAGCGCGGTATGTATGTACGTAGCCAAACGTGCTCATAGGATGTGCCCTCATGGTACGGGTGGCTTCCCACTGGTAATTGGCCGTGCCGAGCCAGAACCAAATCACGATGCACTAGTCTCACGAGGCATCTGAAAATTGGCCCCGGGCTTAGTAGGGCCAGAGGAGTTAATGATGCGCTCATTGCGTGTGACGTGCGTCTGTGCGGCGCGGACACAGCGTCACCGACGTGCGGCTCGACTCGTTCGACGAGTGCGTGACATCGTAGCAGCAAGGCTCAGTATTTTGCAGTGGGGAAAAAAGACAACCTGGCGGTTCCCTGAGTCGCATCAGGCTGAATCGGCATGTCCCCTGGCGCGGCCCTGCCCTGGCCAACCGTGGCACGGCTTGGTTATACAGCGGAGAAAGTGGTGCGAGTGTTTGCCCGTGACCCAGCGTCCGCGCTGGCGCGATCGCTCCCGCGTGCGAGCTGGCGCTGGACGCACCTGCATGCCGTCCTGCCCTATGCGGTCGAGGGCGCCCACCATGTTCCACAGGAAGTTGATGACCTTTTGGAAGTTCTCATCTCCGATGCTCCAAGAGCCATCCACCATGAACACCAGGTCGGCCTTCGCCCCCTTGCACTCTGCAGGGAGGGTGGGGGGTGGAGTGGGGGGGGGGGGGGGTGAGGGAGGGGGGGCATCGCCGCCACCAAGTTAGGGGAATTCGACGTTGTCCGCCTTTTTCACCATGCCCCTGTTCGCCAGCACGACCATCGCCCTCATCAACACCGAGGCAATGATGAAGATGAACATAGCCACCAACGACTACAACACAAGGAACTTCACTTGTCTGTCAGCGAGTTATTCGGTCCGGGTTACTTAAGTAATTATTGTGGTATAGCATCAGTAGCATCATTCTCGTCAAGATCATCATCACCAACTACAATGAAATCATCATTGTCACCACCACCACCACCACTGCCACTATCTTATCCCCATCACGATTGGAAAAATCAACATCGTTATCATCAACATCATCGTTGAATCTTTTCAACTATCTTCTTCTACAAACGCTACAAAGTGGTTGCAAAATCGGGCAGTAGATTTTTCTTTTACTCTTTCATTCTTAAATTTTCATCAGCACGAGCATTATCGTCCATAGATTTTGTCATGATCATTGCAGTCATTGTTTAAAATATCGTCACGATCATCCCCACAGTCTCCATCAGCACGGCTGGAGTGAGCGGTACCTGTGCGTGCAGGAGGGATGGTGGGCGGAGGCTTGGGAGTTGTGGGAGCTGATGTTGGGGCCGGCACTGTGAAAAAACGATCACGACAATCCCAAGTTTAACCCAAACTTCGTTCCCAGCCACTGCGTGACGAGAGGCCAAGTGCCTCTGTGCTTACCCTTACAATAGCGCGACTGTGTGTGCATGTGAGTGCATGTATGTACGTAGATGCTCGCTTACAGCACTTGCCCCAACAGTCTGTTAAGGCTATACGAGGGAACTTTGTCTTTGTTTTGTATGTGAGTGTGTGTGACAGTGTGGGTGAGTGTCTGTACAGTACGTGAGTGTGTGGGGAGCGGTAGTGCAGTGGTTAGCGTGCCGTACTACTAACCAGGCGAGCCGGGTTCGATTCCCGCTCACGGCCAACACCAGTGACGATTATCTGAAACGGTCCTGAGCCTCCCGTAGGTCGACTCAGCCTAAAATTAGTACCTGATGTGGTGTGTAAACATCACCACTGGGGAGACAAAGGCGGCCGGGCATCGTGTTGGCCACTCACCCTCTCGTGTGCTGTGCTAGTGGCGAATGGCGGGTATTGGTAGACTGAATGGATCGCGTTCATTTATAAATGTGTCGTAACCCTCCACCACCCGACACGGCCAATCAGCAAAAAAAGTGTCACGTTGACAAAAGACAATTCACTACTTTAGAATTGTCTTTTGTCAACGTGACACTTTTTTTGCTGATTGGCCATGTCGGGTGGTGGAGGGTTACGACACATTTATAAATAAACGCGATCTAACCCAAAAACCTTTATTATGAATAATATTGGTCGCGAAAGCCTACATGTTAAACAGACTGAATGGAGTCTGTTAAAGGCTATACAAGGGGGATCTTTGTGAGCATGCGAGTGTAGGCGCACGTGCGTGCACTCACACGTGCGCTGGTTGATGGTGGTAGGAGGGCCCTGGTAATCCGGCAGACCCACGGTGATGGTGACTCGGTACTCCATGCCCGGGACCAGGTTGTACGCGCACTGATTCGTCACGCTCCCCGGCACCGGGAACTCATGCCTGTCGCCACCTGCCACAACGCATCATCATCGTCATCAGCTGTGATTGATGCACTGCTGAATGAAAGCCGCTCCAAGCGGCCGCCAGCACTCACAACCCCCACAATCGCACAATTCAACGATCCATGTAGCTCCTGCATGTGAACCGATGCTTGCGGATGTCGGTCGTCCCTGCGTCTGGAGGATGCGACGTCGCTCCGAGGGCGACCACCGGGACCCTTCTGTGGCTCCCCCCATCTGGGGAACGCCCTCCTCTCCAGCCACAATCTGGGACTTGGGCCCTGTCGATGTTCTTAAGTCACGACTGAAAAGATTTCACTTCTACTACACCACTGCTCGTGGAGCACTTCTATACCATTGCTTACACCTCCCGATTAGCGCGGTTGGCTACGCACAGTGCTAAAGAAGTTCAATATACAGACACTAGAGTGACTAGACTAATGACTTGGTGCAATCCGTTTACCTTGGTTCTATTGGCTTGCACGGTGCTTTTTGTTGGTGCCCGGATTGATGTAAATTTGTATGTGTTCACTTTGAGACCACGTGAAATGTTGAAGGTTTGTTGACAGGAGATCATGGAACAGACGCAGGTGCCATGACTGTCAGATGAAACAGCTGTAACCCCTACTGTACAAACAGACATGTAACATACATACATACACACACACAAATGCTCTCCATTCAGCCTACCAAGACAGCCGTGGATGAGTTCCATTAGCGAACACTTATTACGCACCGCGCATGCCATCCAGCACACACACACACACCCACGCACGCAAATGCACACACGCAAGCAGGCACACACACGCACACCGTGCGCGCGTAGATTTGAGCACGCGCACCTGGTTTTATGCAACAGCATGTGCGCTGGCTTTTCCATCAAAGCGCTCCAGCTCAGAACACATCAGCAGTAGCAGCAGCAGCAGCAGCATCTCTATCCTCAGTACTTCGCGCAGAGCGTACTTTCAGTAGCCTGGCAGCACTCCCGCTGGCAGCGCCAGCTCATTCCAGCATTTACAGATCACAGGGGTGGCAGTAACTCATTATTTAGCGGAGGGGAGGATAAATGACTGGGCGTTCTTGACAGCGATGGTGATGTGCAAGCGGGGTCTGTGCATTTTTTTGTTTTCGTGGACATCAATTAGACCGGCGCGACAAATCAGGAGAGGGCGAGGGCTCCTCCTTTTTTTGGGATGGAGAGAAAGTTAGCGGCCCTGGTAAGTAAAAAAAAATAAAACTTTTCCATACTGAAACTCTGCTGAACGTCACTCACTGACAGATTCACGGTCCGGTGCTGTTTTTACGATAATGGAAAGCAGGTAAAAAAAACCGATAAACTTTTAGTTGAGGAGAAAGAAAATTATGATTCCATTAACTGAATGCACCGACGCTGTAAAAGTATCAGCTATGCGAGAAACACCAGGCCGCAGCGTTTTAACACAAATCCTCGGGATGTTCTGCTTCAATACCACGATGTCAATTGTCGATCGCCAGCCTTCGTCCCTTCAAGCGACGCGTGCCCCGTCGCAAGCCCACAGGCTTTACTTAACCATCAAAGTAGCGCCTTGAACCTGCGTATGTTACCTAATCCATGCGTTCCTCTTTTTTGTGTATCTCGGTGTAATTCCAATGATTGCAGAGTAACTACTGAGGGGCGGCTAAAATAGGGACAGCGCTCGAGAGGGCGATTAGACTGGCTCATGCGTGTGTACGTATGTATGTTGAACTCCTTTCGCACCATACGTCGCCAAGCGCGCTAATAAGAGGTGCGGGTTGCTGGGTTCCATTGCGGGACCATGAAGGACGGTGGTGACTTGGGCAGGAGGCCTTCATCCAGCAGCGGCTTGGCCATTACCGATATTCGATGACGACTACAAGGCATGGAGCGCACGAATCAGGTATATAGTTCATGCGAGTGCGTAGGTGACCGTTGGAGGTCCACTCACCGTCCACTGGCTCGAAGACGACGCGGTACGAATAGGCATCGCGAACGCGGTCCCACTGCACACAGAAGCTCTTGGGCGTGATGTTGTTACTCCGCAGGTTCACTGTTTTAGGGATGACTGTCGAGGGGGCACAGCATTTCAATCGATCGATCAGTTCGAGGTTATTCCTTTAAAGGTGCCTTTCTGAAAACAAGGCCCCTGTGCATTCATTATGTATTCGCCAATGATACTTCAACCACTGGATAATAATAATTAGGTTAATCTAAAACTACACCTTTTGTGACGATACGATCATCTTCGTCTGCCCGCCGCCGAGATGTCAATGAGAAATGTGTTGGGTGGAAGCTCAACCTCCTCACTGGGTGTCGTGATGATGATGGTGAAGATGATGGTGATGATTATGGTGATGATGATGGTGATGATGATAACGATGGTGATGATGATGAGGTTTAAAACATCAGGAGTACGACGACGTGTTCGGCGAATATCCATCCGCGGCAGCGCGCGCGAGGACGGCTACTCACGCGTGGTGCCGATGCCCTGAATGGGCTCGCTGGCGCCGTTGCCGGGGTACAGGGCGTACACGTTCACGTCGTACGATGTCCCTGGCCGTAGGTTCGTGAGCATCGTGGTGTCCGTGTCGCCGACGATCACCTCCATGGGCGTTCCGCCCGCTGTCATTGGGAGCCCGAGCACGCGTGGCGGCAAGGTCAGTCACGGTGCCGTGGAACTGTCGGGCTCTTTGAAATATATATACGTGTTTTAAATTTGCCCCACACCAAACACAAGTCCCAGTTATTACGTCTTGGGGGATAACTAATCCAAGTGAAAATGATGATCTGTCAACTCGTTTAGAATTTAGGAATCGATTTGTGGTTGTTTCGTCTCGTTTTTTTTTTCCATCTCTCTGTTGTCTCGTTTATTTGGTTATGTTCGGTCCATTGGCTTACACGTAGCACAAGCATATCGTTTGTATGAACCATATAGAGTAGTCGATTGTCTCACGCGCCATTCGATGCCTTTATCTTGGACGTAACAATCAGTTTTGATCGGTGAATCGATGCTCATCGCATGACTCTGCCGTATATATGTATGTTGAACTTCTTTCGCACCGTACAAAGCCAACCGTGCGAATCGGAGGTACGGGGAAAGGAAATCAGAGGTGCAGTCTCCAACTATAATAAGTCACTCAAAATTAGTTTGCCATCTCTTTGCTCTGAAGAAGGACCATCTTCCCAAAACATCAACATAAATGAATAATTATCTGTTGTAAGGAAGTGCTATTTATTCACGATCTGGTGAGAGATGTTGTGATTCGTATAAGAATTCACAATGCATGGCTGTGCAGTATCAGAGGCGCATTCGGGGGTGAGGGGAGGAACATACGGGAAGTGCCGTTCCCCTCCCCCCACCCCCAATTTACCAACCCTCACTGACCAGCATGGTGAAGTATGGTCAAACAACTCCCACAACCGACACGGAGCCGTGGGATGCCTTCATCCAGCAGTGGATTGACAAATGGCTGTAGATATTAGGCAAATTAATTTCCTCCCTCCAAAATATCTACGTGGTGTGAGTGTGTGGGTGCCACTGTGGGGCCATAATGTTGTGGAGCACGGCGAGAGTCTGCGTGTTGGTCTGGGTCGGTGGCCGTCTGCGCCGTCCGGTCACCGATTGGTCGGTAGACGACGCGGTAGCCGTTGGTGGGCCCGAGCGTGCGGTCCCACGTGACCCGGAACCGCGTGAAGGACTCGTCCGTCACCCGCAGGTTCTGAGGTGCCTCTTGGGACACTGGGATGCACGGCCACGCACACAGAGACACGTAGAGGCCTCCAGCCTGAACACGCAGGTCGTACATCAACAGCAGCCCTAGCAGTACGAAAGTGGGCAGACCATCCGCTCCCTTCGTGTGCCATGCTGTGCCGGCCTTAACAGGTGTTCGGTAAGAGGGGCACGTACAGTAATGCCTCTTGTTACAGAAGCTTGTGTAAGAGGGGCACGTACAGTAATGCCTCTTGTTACAGAAGCTTGTGGTTCGAGCTCCGCGGCCACCCTGGTGAATACTGCCGATGCATTAACCATAACTAGGCGCCGCCCGCTTCCCAATCGATGTTAGACATGCTGTGACGTTCTTTTAAAACGTCGGCCGCGTGTGCCAGTGCCACGATCCGGATTTGATAAAATCACTCGCATATTGATTTAATTGGGAAAATCCACGTAGCATCATCGCCCCGGAGTCGCAGACTAATGATGCCCATTTGCAGGCTGGTCATGTGTATGCCTCGCGCAGCACAGGGACAGCTGCAGCATGGCATTTGAACGGTTTAGATGTGGTTAGGGGACTTTGAGTTATCGAAACATTTTAGCAAGCTCCCTAAAACTACAAATCATTATCCTGTGTATGCGTAGGTGCATGTGCGGTACTGTAGTGGTTCGCGTACTGCGCTACGAACCTGGCAACCCGAGTTCGATTCCTGCTCACGGTCAACAACAGTGGCGATTATCTGCATTGGTCCTGGGCCTCCCCTAGGTCGAGTCAGCTTCAAATGAGTACCTGGTGCGGTGCGTAAAATCATCGCCACTAGGGATACAAAGGCGGCTGGGCGTGGTGCTGGCCACCCCACCCCCTCGTCTGCCATACCGGTCCTTTCAGAGGTGCTCGCGAACAGCACTTGCCCAAACGGCCTGTTAAAGGCTATACCGGGGATCTTTGTATGTGTTTCTCGTGTGTGTGTGTGTGCGTGTGTGCTCACGCGTTTGGCCGGTCCCCTGCAGCGGCTGGCTGTCTCCGCTGGGGTAGATGGCGGAGACGCTCACGTCGTACTCCGTTCCCGGCTGCAGGTTATTCAGCATGGCCGTGTTGGCGCCATCCGCTACCGTCACCTGCATGGGCTGCCCTCCCGCTGGAACACCCCCACACAGGCGCAGCCGACGCCGCTTTAGCTTTCATTCATTACCAGAAGGCACCCAATGAGACGGGCAAGAAAAGCAAATAAGTTCGTACAATCCGCTACCATGAGGGTCATCCTTTCGTTCGCATGTGTGTGCGTATATTGAACTTCTTTCGCACCGTGCGTAGCCAACCGTGCTCATCGGAGCATGTGTGTGTTTGTATAGAGATCTGTAGTCCCTCTACGAGCAGGGGACTCTACGGACACGTCCTAGGTTGTCAAAGAATCCTCATGAATTTCAATGGCAATTGCTGTGTCTCCATTCCAGTGAATGGGATTCTCGTGCTAAATCCAAGGATCGCCACTTGGTGCCACGCTTTGGCAATTATGAAAATAAAACACCCGTGAATGCTACGTTTTCGAAGGCTTCGTAAATCCCATTAAAACTTGTACTGGACCCAGGAGAATTGCATCCTCATTCCGGGCTCACGATCGTTGGAATTGCCCGGCACAAATGGAGATATCAGCATGCTTTCGGCAAAATACAACGTTGCGAATCGTCGGTCTCTACGTTTCCGCACTGCCAATCCTAAACCGACGCTCGGATAGTCAGATTGATACAAATAAAATCGTTTTACCAATTAATGATGACGACAACAAAGACAATGCTAACTTATTGAAGTGTCCGTTCTAGTGGCAAATACAACGATCCACGTTTAAAGGTGGGTTCGTCAACATGGCAGCTCGACGCCGACAATAACGATGATGACGACCATGACGATGTGCGCACACGCACGTCTGCACGTGCGAATGTGCCTACAAGTGCGTGTGCGCGTGTGCAGATGCGCACACGTGTGTTTGACCCGAACCTCGAGGCCGATAGACGATACGGTAGCCATTGGTGGGCGAAGGAGCGCGATCCCAGGTGACACGGAACCGCGTGAACCACTCCTCGGACACACGCATGTTTTGCGGAGACTCTTGGGAGACTGAGACATGAGGGCAAGAGACGCACGCACACACACACACAGGTACACAATAACAAAGGACCCCTGTATAGCCTTCAGAAGACTGTTGGGGCAAGTGCTGTTAGCGAGCACCTATGAAGGGCAGTACGGCACACGATGAGGGGGTGGGTGGCCAGTAGAAATGCACGGCTGCATTTTTATTTCGAGTGGCGATGATTAACACATCGCACCAGGTACTCATTTGAGGCCGATCGACCTCGGGGAGGCCCAGGGCCAGTTCAGATAATCGTCACTGGTGTTAGCCGTGAGCCGAAATCGAACTCAGGTCACAGGGTTCGTAGCAGAGCGCGCTAACCGCTACTTTACCGCTTCCCAAATGTATTGCTACCGCCACAGTTGCCGGAAAGGTCTGCGCTAGAGGAAGCTCCAGAGAGCCCCTCTAGAGGGTATTTTACCTCCTCTTTCATGTGGGCCAGATCACACGAGGCCTGCCGATTGCCTAACTTTGGTGTAACCCATTGGATACTGCTGGGTGGACAGAGACGGGAGGCGAGGGAACGGTGAAGCGGAATTTAAAATACATTCCCATTGTTTAAACTGCTACACCGGAGGATCAAACAGGCGACCTCTGAATTGCGAGTCCAGTGTGCTAACCATTACCACGGCAGCATCCCACCTTATCATTACTCTTCCCATAGCCTTGGCAGATGCACGATCAGAGCACTTGCTAAATTAGCTTAACCAGAGCAGAGCAGCCCCTTGAAGGAGGCTCTACGTGTTTGAGCACGTGTGTACGCGTGTGTGTACACATGTACGTGTGTGCGCGCGTGTGCATGTACGCGTGTATGTGCGTAAGCGTGTGTAAGTGCGTACGTGTATGTGCACATGCTCACGGGTTCGGCCGGCTCCCTGCAGGGGCTGGCTGTCTCCGCTGGGGTAGATGGCGGAGACGCTCACGTCGTACTCCGTTCCGGGCTGTAGGTTATTCAGCATGGCCGTGTTCACTCCGTCCGCCACCGTCACCTGCACGGGCTGCCCCCCCGCTGGAAAACAAGAACAAGCCACCACAGCAACCATGGCCGCCGTCATCAGCAGCAGCGTTCTGATGATTCCTGAACCCCAACGCGTTTCGCCATCAACCGTACATTTCAGGCAATGATCCAGAGCAGTTGTTAATGACGAATATGTAGGAGATTTTGGAACTTGTGCTCTGTGCACCACCGCCAATGCAGCATCACAAAAAGCAACCATTACGGTCACAAAGCTCATCGGTCAAACTGAAAAAGTCACGGGGGCCCCAACGCATAGCTTGACAATCGTTCGGTGTGTTTTTTTTGTTTATGAAAAAGCGTCGATGTCTTCATCCCCGAAAACTGGGTTTAAATAGGCCGAATCCAATGCGATGCGTTTTTTTTAAATTTTGGGCCCGTTTGGTCACGATGGGAAAAATCCGCCGCCAGGTGTCGTCCAGCTTAGATGAGGAAAGGGGCAGCGCTCACCTCTGTTGGCAGCTTTTGAGGCAGTTGAAGGGGAAATTCCACATCCCCCATTACAGTGGGACCCAAGGCTCTCAATAAGGTCAATTTTGAGCTTCACAAAAAAAGTAAACCTTTAATAATGTCACCACGTAACACGATTTTTGTTCCTGAGTAGTAGGTGTTATTTTCTAATTGCTTATGCCTCAAAAGTATAGAAAATGGCTATTACTCCCCACAAACTTTGCTTTTGTAACCAGGACTTTACGTGAAGGAATGACATAAATGCACACAATATATACATTTCTAAATACCACTGTCCTGGTCACAAAAGCAAAGTTTGTGGGGAATAATAGCCATAACACTTACTACCCAGGAACACAAAAAAAATATGTTTTTGTTACACAGCGAATTATATAATAGCGGTTGCAGAAGTGCACAACGGTACATCCAGGCACATTCAACTTGAAGTGTAATCATCCGATTGAGAAGTTGTCACAACCATCAAAGCCACTAAACGCCCGCGCGATCTCACAGTGCACCCGAGAGGCAGGGCCACGTGCGCACAATGTGCACTGCTCATGACAGGGACGCCGTGTGGGAAGGCGGTGGCTCGGTGTCGACTCGGCGACAGCTGAGGGATCTGGCAAAAGGAGTACCATGCCATCACACCGGCATTGACCGTGTGCACTCATTTTTTGTTTTCATCTTTGTGTCCAGCTAAACCCTTAAATGAGTAATAATAGCGTTTCCCCCCCCCCCCCCCCCCCCCCCCCCCCCCCCCCCCCTTGTTTTCTGGCAACAAAACTGAAACCTTTTTTTTACGAGGATTCATGTCACTGCATTAACCACAATACCTGCAGTAAAAATGCAAACAAAAAACATACTATGATAATATATGATGCATTGTCCTCGAAACTGATTGGTCCACACTAAGGGACGGCTTTCTTTTGAGCCTCGACCCAATTGGTGCTCTCAAGACAAAGTTTCAGGAGCGCCATGCTAGTCGAACATGGTAAGCAATTACCCTGTTGAATATTGTCGAGGAGGGCAAAGTTAATCGGACAATAAATATTTCTAAAAATTGCTACCAACCCTCCACCCCCACCCCTCCACAGATACGCTCGCCAACCTACTTGTTGTACAGCCTCCTACAGGCCAACACGTGGTTCCCATTAGCCATCAAATTCCTTCCACACTTTGGATTTTGTTGACACGTTCTATTGCAACCGTATAGCACGACACTGCGAAAAAAGCAGGGTGGATGGGGTGCGGTCGTAAGCAACCTAACGGAGAGCACGGAGGATGTGTGCCGCACCGTCGATTTGGGGGAATTAAAATCAGCGGGGAGATTATTAATGTGGGGGTGGGGGGGAGAGTGTGGAGGATGCGGATGACATGTATTCATTAATCCCCTCTCTGCGCAATCACCGTGTAATTACAAGGCCTCTGGTACTTGCCCGGTGAAAGTTTGAGGGGGATTTTTCCTTTTTTAAACAGCTAATTTTATTCACGCGTTTTTGTGTGTGTGTGTGCGTGCGCGCGGGTGCGGGTGCGTCTGTGTAATCTAACTCAATGCAAGCAGTGACTGAAGAGGAAAGGATTGTGTTGATGATGTCACGATATTGGAAACACATGCCCGCACAAACCTGCAGCAGCCCTCACACTCAGCTTTAATTCACGCTGCTGCTGCTGCTGCCGCCGCCGTGAGTGATTTGCCGTGGAGAGAAATTGCATCGTTTATCTCCAAGGGACCCCCCCCCCCTCCCCACCCCTCCCCACCCCACCGCTGGTCCAATGATTCAGTGCACGGCTGTGGTCGAGCGATGTGGAGTGAGATGTGAGGTTGCTGGATTGTGCAGAGAGATCCACATGTGAGCGAGCGAGTGAGTGAGCAGCGAGGGAGTCACCCGTCTTCCTTTGTTGGGTTACACGGTTGCACCATACAAGGTGGTACAGAAAATGAGCCATTTATCAACTCCGTATATATATCACCGCTTTCGTTTTCACAGTTATGCTGTGTAGAGCTCTCCGATCTGGGTGTTGGGATGTAGCGTGCCTGGCTTTTCGGGGGCACGTGCAGTGAAACGTTGGACGTCATGCCCAACAACACGCGGTGCAACAGAGAAACGCATCAGAGAGCTTTATCTGAACGGATTTTTATCGAGCGCTATTCTCCCATTAGGATGGGTTATCTCCAGACACTTTGATTTCCTCCCATATAATAATACAAATTTAAACCCATGAAAAAATTATGTTCGTAAAAGCATTCCCAACAGCCCTGTTTGAGACTCGGTTAACATTTTCCCGGGTAAATAAACGATGTTTATATCATTGCTTTACATCACTGCGCATCTGTAATGGCACAACGATCAGTGAGCGGGGCTAGACTGCTTAAATCCCGGTTGAGGGCTCATCTGAACACTTCACCCGTCTCCCAGGCTTAATAGCACGAATACCACTCGTGGAAAGTCAACGGCTTAGTCGCGTTATGGACAAACTCGTCCCTGCCACAAGAATGAGAAATTTCCACCGCAAGGCTTTTAAGACAAATATGAGTACCTGCCCACCACGCTCATCTATGCCAGAAAACCACGTAAACTTTTTTTTCCTTTCCTTTACCGTATTCTCCAGATTATAAGCCGCTCCGGAAAGTAAGACGCACCTCCAACTTGTGCCCAGTCTCAACAATAAATGCATAGAAATAAAGTTATAGAAATCCAGTCAATAAGGTTATACAGCAATGTCTCTATATCAATCTGATTATAAGATAGACACTCCCCTCCCCAACTTATTATTTAAATGAGAGTGGGAAAAAAGTGTTTTTTACATATTTTATTCTGAATGGGTTTTTTTTTCGAGCGATGTATCTGACCCAAATATCGTTACAGGGAAATTATCTTTATTTTTCTATTAAGTTTATGTTTGTGCACTTTTTTCTATTTCTTCTGCAATGTTGTTGTTTTCATTTTTTATTAACGTCTGTTAATCGATGTTTTATTATTATTATATTTATTATAATATTATAATATTTGGTGACCCAGATCACTCTTAAAAAAATTAGGCTTGCCCGGTCTCTTGGGTTCTCACTTGGTTAAATGAAATAAACCACAAAACTCTTCAACTTGAGCCTCATAATTTGGAAAATATGGTACTTGGTTCATTCGTTCACTGACTATTTAAAGAATGGACACTTTCCAATGGTGATATTTCAACTCGAGCGATTATTCAGGTGAAATATTTGAATAAATAGAATACTGTGCAGAGACATGGCAACTAAGGAAGAAAGGGCAATTGAAAGGGACACTTGAAAGGACATAATTGAGAATGCTCAGGGTGCCATTGTGGCGAGATGTTAACTCCCTTGCTTGATATACATGAGGTCATGGGTTCGATCTCGACACAGATGCCTGCATAATTGGAGTTTGCATGTTGTCCCCGTGGTCGCATGGATTTTTCTCCGGGTCATCCAGTTTTTCCCTCCACATTTAGAAATATGCGATCAGAGTGTTTGCCTTCTATAGATGTCCACGTGGTAAGCCACTTAGTTGGGCTACCACTTGTGGCCAGGTTGCTTCTGAACAAGAGCTATATGGAGCTCAGTGGGCATTACCTGGTAAAATAAAAATATATATATTTTTAAAATAGTTTAGGATCTTGGGAATAACTCTCAGGATAAGGAACACGAATGAAGAATTTAGAGCCATAGTAGTAGAGTTTTACCAATATTCACGAGAAGCTCAGGGAGGCAAGACTTAGATCGTTTGGGCTCGTGTTGAGCAGAGAGAGAGAGAGAGAAGATGTCGAGCGCGTTCGTCTACGACGAGTTACCTTTGGGCTGGTAGGTGACGCGGTAGCCGTTGGTCTGGACAGGAGAGAGGTCCCATGTGACGCGGAAGCGTGTGTACCACTCCTCCGTGACACGCAAGTTCCGTGGAGCCTCTTGGGACACTGCGACGGGCAACGCGTGCACACGTACATGCACACACAGAGACAAAGACCCCCTGTGTAGCCTTAGACTGTTGGGGTCAAGTGCTGTTAGCGAACACCTATAAAGGTCGGCATGGTACATAAAGGGATGGATGGTCAGCACCACGCCCGACCGCCTTTGTCTCCCCAGTGGCAATGTTTTTACAAACTGCACCAGGTACTCATTTGAGGCTGAATCGACCTAGGGCAGGCCCAGGACCGGTTCAGATAATTGTCACTGATGTTGGCCGTGGGCGGGAATCGAACTCGGGCACCCGGGTTTGTAGCACAGCACGCTAACCTGCTATACTACTGCTCCCCACACGCACACACATGTACACGCACGCACACACATGTACACGCACGCACACACGCGTACGAAGGGGCCGCACCTCACTGGTGAATCTCGGTAAAGTCAAAACCCGGTCCAAATGTGCACTTATTTTATGGCACGTTTTTTTTATTAAAAATGCCACGGAGAAAAAATGTTATCTGGAGCAAGGCCAAGAGGCTGATGTATTCAATGTTGTTTTAATTTAACGACCCAATAAACATGCTTGCCTAGCCACTTTTTTTTTACAATAATAACAATCATCATAATATATTAAAAAGTAGCTTCCAGGCCTTTGTCAATCCACTGCTGAATGAAGGCCTCCCCATGCCACGTCGGTCGTGGGATTTGTTTAACCATATTCCATCAGTGCGGGTTGGTGAAAGGGTTGGCCCAGGCCCGGTTCAGGTATTGCTTGTCACTGATGTTAGCCGTGGCCGGGAATCAAATTGAGGTTGCCGGTTTCAAAGTGCAGATGGGTCAACAACTTGAATGACCACTTCACCCCTTAATATTGGAACTGTAATAATAATCACTAGAGTTGCGATTGCATTACTTCACATTTAATAACATTTGCGTACCTATACAAAGGCAATTGCTGCGAGCGAGCACCTATTAGAGCAGGCAGAACTCAACCAGGGTGTGTTGTCAACAAACACGAAGCACATACACACCATCATCTCTGCCAGTAGCTCATGTTGATCACACTGCAGCAGCTACTCATTTTTGGTCTGAGCTGACCTAGGGGTGGCCCAGGACAGGGTTAGAGGCACCCTATTGAAACTCACCCTGGACGAGGAATTACATCATTACATCCTGGTCACCAGGATGATGAGTACGGTGTAGTAAACTCTCCATGGCTATGGACAAATGAATGCACTACATTTACAAAAACACACGTGCATGCGCACACAAAAAAAATTGGTTGTGTCGGCCCATGTGTTTTGTGCATTCTGGTATGTGTATGTGTGTGTGCATGCATGTGTGTGTGTGGTTTGGGGGGAGGAGGGAGTGGTAGTGTAGAGGTTAGCGCACTGCACTACGAACCCGGCGACCTGAGTTTGATCCCTGAGCATGAGCAATAACTGTGGCGAATATTTGAACCGGACCTAAGCCTCCCCTAAGTCGACTCAGCCTTAAGTAAGTACCTGGTGCGATGTGTGAACATCGCCAATGGATATATAAAGGCTTAGTGTTGGCCACCCACCTCCTCGTGTGCTGTGTCGGCGTTCATAGGTGCTCGTTCAGAGTACTTGCCTGTCTGTAAATGTCCATATGGGGATCTTTGTCTTTGTGGCTTAGGGTACTCATGGCCAGGTCTGATTTGGCTGCAGCAGTTTCATTCAGAATAAGTCATGTCACGCCAGTTATTCTCGGCCACATTAATGCCCGTCTTTTCTCAATGCTTGCAAAACGTGAAACCCTTTACCAGAATGTCTCTGCCAGCTTAAAACATTAAAGCCGGCCTGGCCACGATCCATCCCGGGTTTATCCAGACTGGACTGTGTGAGGATCTTACAGTTACTTGAAAGACCTGGACATGGTCCCATCAGTGGGCTCTTCCGGCAGGCGGGAATGTCTTGGCAGGGTCATGTAGCCCACATGCCCAGCCACACCACATGCACAAACGGCTTCTGTTTGGACCGATAGAGCGGGCTCAATGGATATGGGCTGATGTGGTGCAGTAGGATTTGGAGCTGAATGGACATGCTGAAGGCTGGTATAAACTCTGTCAAGATCAGCTTCTGTTGAAGAGGCTCATTGTTTTTACTTCTGAGTAATTGAAAGTGGCTGCTAAGCACACCGTACGTAAGGATGGAGGAGTGATGTTCAGAATGGGCAGAATGCTGGGGGTGGCTAAAACAGAGCAAGGTGGTTGATTGGTGGGTGCAGGTGATGTATCTGCCAGTCATTCAGCCCATGAGAGTAAGCCTTTACCACTTCACGTTCCCTCAAAGCGCACCTAGCCTAGCACAGTGGCCACGGTGACAATACCACCGTTTGGTGGTGGATGTTGATTGTTGTTGTTGTAAGGTTCGGCGGATACCACCTTACCCCGCGTGATCCTGGTGACCAAGGTTCGATTCCTGTGCATGGAAAACATCAATTGCAAGTGGTATTTGAACCTTTTGTGGGTTTCGCCTCGATTCACTCAGCCTTAAACGAATACCGACTGGCGGCACTAGGGAGACAACAATGGCCACACGTGTTGCTAGACTCGGGATCCACCTATATGCTGTGTTAACCTCAGTATTTAGACGTAACGGCGGTACACCAGTGCAGCATAACACACCGATCCTCATAAAAGAGTCTGACGATGTTGCTGTTGCCCTTGAGCGAACTGCAGACTCTCCATCAGCAGTTGCCTTGGTTTCAGCAGCTGCTTACCTATTCGAAGGTGTGACACGAGTCAGAATCTTTTGACGGCACCGTCCGCCATTAAATAATTCTGGAATCAAATTGAGGAACCGCCCGACCAAGTCAAGGGCACGAGTCAAATCTGCCTTTGGAACACGGAGCAGTCAATCGTCATCAGGCTGGGTGCTATACGGAAACAAACTGCGAAGCTTCGTGTTCAGCTGCTCACAACGTTTGTCTTACGACTGTTTCGACATGACGAGAACTGATTTTGACACAATCCGCAAGATTTTGTGACAGGGGTTGGGAATCGTGGGATTTTGTCTAATCTATTTATTTATTTGTTTGTACCATGCACCGGTGTACCGCCAATACATTCATTTGGCCCCCAGTCTGTCTGGGTGAATGGAGGGGGGGGGGAAGAACCTTCGTTTTAATTGAATAAATAAATTAACTTCTTATTCTTGAATTTTGATTTAAAGCTTTCGTGACTGCAGGGATTCAACCGAGAAGATGGATTCTGACTTAGCAATCATTGGAAGGATTTGATAAACCATTTCGGGTATTAATTGATTGATCACGCTTAAGGTGGCTTTCAGACCGCATCCATTACTTTTTCGTCCCCCCCCCCTCTTTTCCGAACATAGATGGACTCGTCCATCTGAACAAACTGTCAAATCTCTCTCCGTGGTGCTAACGTTAAAAATAACCGCCACTTTTTTTCAAATTTTCTTGTTGTGGTTTTCACACCTGATGATGATTGCTTGTGTTGCAGTCGAAACGTTGTGATAATTTTATTGTTTTATATTTGTATGTTTTATTATCATTTTATTCTTATTCTTGGTTCTTTCGGTAAAGTCACGTAGAAGGGACTTTACCGAAAGAGCCAAGAATATGAATCCCTGCAGTCACGAAAGCTTTAAATCACAAATTAACTTCTGTTCTGTAGCTCGACATGAATACAGAATGCCTTTCAGTCTACGGGACCACCAGCCTTCCAGAGTTACGTCAACCAGCGGCATTCGTATTAACCAAGCACACTCTGAACTGGTTTCATGCTTCTGGGGTTCATCAGAGTTAGGCATACCAAACGAATGCTGCTTGTTTACCAGATGCTATTTGTCAGTGCCCTCTGTGTACATTGTTGGCCATTGGGAGTAAAAAAAAAGCCTAACCTCGTACAAATAACACAAACTCTGGAAGGCCATACGTGTGTTGTGCTGTCTAGTTGTTCAGTGCGTTTTAAAGATGTACCACGTGTTGTATGGCATGATGTCCGACGTTTGGCTGCATGTCCAGGGAACTTCTTTAGGAATCCGATTTATTTCTTCTATGTTTGATAATTGTCCACCACGTATGCTGCGTGTATGCACGTCCTGTCGCATGGCTGGTGTTGGTGTGTCGAGCAACAGCTGTAACGTTGCAGTGAGGTGGCTGAGCCAGACAATTGCGCCAGGAGTAGCAAAGTAAGTGGTGGCATCGTTGTCACAATGCCACCTTCGTATTTGTAGATGGGGAGTCGTAAACATCCGAACGAGCTTTTCGCCCTTCATTGGGCCCTGTCGCGCTGAACTCAGGTTCCTGTTCACGGAACATTTGGTCCCCCTCCTCTCTGTGACCAGCGCTTTGTAGCGCGCTTGCGTGCGGGCGTGCGTGCGTGTGTGTGGGGGTGCGCAGTTGCTCACGCGTTCTCCCTGTGCTGCGGACGGGCTCGCTGGCACCCCCGGGGTAAGTGGCGAACACGGTGACGTTGTACTCGGTCCCGGGATCCAGCTCGGTGAGCATCATCGAGTTGACGTCGTCGCCGACGAACGTCTCCTTGGGAGCTCCGCCCGCTGTGAGAACGACAGACAATGGGGTGTGAAGTTCCGGTTTCAAGTTTTATTTTGTGCGCCCAGGTGAGAACCACGTTAGAATTGCCTTTTGTGTTCAGTTTATTGCCCCCCCCCCTCACCCTGCGCCTCCGATCAGCACGGTTTGGCTACGCATGGTGCGTAATAAGTTGATAATACGTACAGAACTCAAGAGGCAACCATACATTGCAAGAGTGACATAGGTCACCAAACTGCCAAAGGCAAAATTTTAATAATGTACATTTGTAAGGTGCAATGATGCAAATATAGAAACCGGGCCAAAATATACGGATATTAGCACACTTTATATGAGCACGGTTCTCATACAAGCAAAGTCAAAGTGTTTCGTCAAAGTGATTGCTTCCTCAAAAGAGCGTTGAGGCGGTGTTCATCTCCTGTTCACAGCCCTAAGCCAGCGGTGGAAATAATGCATTTATATGGCGGGGGCGGATAAATCCAATGGCACGCCCACTGTTGACCTCCGTACAAAGTGGAACTAATTTTACTGACCCTGCAGGGATGATCGGCCTAGCCAATCCACAACCTGGATTTAAAATCGCAACTTTCCCGGTCGCGAGCCGCCCTGCTCTACCTCTATAGTGCTATTCGCACAAGGCCTCTAAGCGCTTTACATGTAGTTCAAGTTATGGAGAGAGCCTGGAGTAAAAACAGGTGAGTTTTAAGACGAGATTTTAAAAGTGTAACAGATTTAGATTTCCTCATAGAACGAGGAAGGGAATTCCACAATCTGGTCTTTGGAATATTGCACTGGTGGGTGGGGGGACAAGCGAAGGGGCAGCTTCTGATATTAGCACACTATTTTGGATACTGTATAAGCACACACAGCCTTACTCCCAAGGGGTGTGCCTGTATACAGATCCCACTGTACGTGCACAACAGTGGAACCTCAGCTGCAAGCGGCCGTGATGGCGCAAGGCTCCCCCGCGTTTGCCTCCTCGGTCGTCTTGGTGAGAGCGCAGAGTTCAAGCGGCACGCCATTCGGAGCTCCGCGTGCCATGATGGAGAGATCTCTTAACGCGCCGCAGCAAGCGTTTATTTTTGTGCTGTCTGCGTGAATAGTGGGCACCCTTCGGCAGGTCAGGACAAACAGTTGGGTTGTAAAAAGTGATTTAGAATGTTGCAAAAGGAGTTGTGTATTTTTTTGTTTGTTTTCACAGCTACTGGCCCAAGAACTACGAAGCAAAGTGGCCCGGCCAATGGAGAGCGCTAACAATAGTGCGGCTTCTTGAATTGAGCAGGGTCATGGTAACTTGGGAAAAGAGATGATGGATGGGCAGTCCCAAAGCCGTGCTGTGTGAGGAAAGAAGCAGGGATTGAAATGTTGCTCCTTGCAATAACAGTGTCGCGAATGGTAGTGTTTGTGTGTACGCGTGCATGTGGGGAGCGGGAGTGTAGTTGATAGCGCACTGCTCTATGAACCCGGTGACCTGAGTTCGATTCCCGCTGAAAGCCAAAATCGGTGGCGAGTAATTAAACTGGTCCAGACCCTCCCCTAGGTCAACTGGGGAGACAAAGGTGGTCGGGAGTGGTGTTGGCTATCTACCCCCTGAAAGTGCCATGCCGGTCTTCAAAGTTGCCCGCTAACAGCACTTGCTGCAAAAGTCAGTTATAGGCTACATATTTGTCTTTGTGTAGGCATGAGTATGTCTGTTCACGTGTGTGTGTATGTGCGTACACCTGCCCCCTCGTGTGCCGTTCCAGCCTTCAAAATGTGCTCACTAGCAGCACTTCCCCCAACAGTCTGTTAAGGCTACACAGGGGATGTTTATGTCTTTGTGTGTACGCCACCTTTACGCTGATGCACGACGCGGTAGCCGATGGTCGGTGACGACGCTCGCTCCCACGTGACCCGGAAGCGCGTGAACGATTCGTCGGACACGCGCAGGTTCCGGGGCGGAGCTTGGGGAACTGCGACATGCCGAGCGGCAACAACAACAATAACAACGTTAGTTCATCCCTCCTCTCGTCTCCTTTTAGAATCCACGGACGGGTGCTCTGCTTTACCTATTTCTGTTCCGCTTAGCGCGGTGCACGAGTGCGGTCAACGTGATGGGCAGTAGCAATTCGTCACAGCAGGTGACGAAGACATGCCTTTAATAGAAAAGTCTCTGCTGCATCACAGGACGAGCATCACATTGAACCTCTTGCGAGTGACAGAAGTGACCTAAGGTGTACGTGTTAAGTGCGCACCGTCGGCTACGTACGGTGCTAAAGAAGTTCCACGTGCATTACACACATACATACATACAAACAAACATTCGTGCGGTCTACTGCCAAATTTACGCGGAAGCCCTGTTCGGCTCTCGGTGACTAAAACGTTCCCCCCGCCGCTTCTAACCCCACCTCCAAGTCGCCGGTTTTGTAGGTGCACACCCACAGATCACGCTCAAAATCAAAATCACTGAACATCATCATCAGGTGGTTTTCCCACCTGATGATGATTACTTGTGTTGCAATCGAAGCGTCGTGATTTAATTTATTTTATTTCATACCTACGTGACTTTACCGAAAGAACCAAAGAGTATGGGAGGCTGTGGTCAGCTGACTGCCAGGAGGTTGGGATAGGGGATATGGGGGGGGGGGGAGTGGAGGGAGCGGACTCACGTGTGGTGCCGGTGGTGGAGGACTCGTCACCGTCTCCCTCCGGGTAGACGGCGGTGACCTGCAAGTGGTACTTGGTCCCCGCACGCAGCTTCTGCAGCTTCACTGAGGACCGGCGCCCGGGCACAGTCACCTAGGTCAGCACAGATCAATGACAAAGTCGACATAAAAATGAATATGTATGTAAAAAAAAATCTATTATATTAAATCTTAATTGTTACATCCTTCCAATCCGTCAGAACATCTGCTCTGGGATTGGCTGTGATGAGGCCATGGGACAATGAATTAAGGCCTACTAAGTCAGGTCAAGTACAGGAATCTGCAATATCCTGGACATGTCACCACAATGGATGGTGACTGGCTGCAAAGGATGGTGATAGAGGGAACACTGGGGGAAGGGGAAGACTGTGATCTCAGTGGACGTCAAATATCCAACACTGGGCGGGGTGGAAGCTGTCTCAGTTGAAAGACGCAGCGATGGACAGAGAGAGCACCGCCGGGAGATACTGGTTGAAGGAAACGGTAATGGCCCCCCAAGGTCCAAAAGGCCAAGGAACAATAAGATGACGGCTCAGCGGGGGAGCACAATGGGGCAGCTCAAGGAGAGCAGATCAATTAAAAAGTGGGCAGCAAAAAGGCGGACAGCGTGGGTGTGGAGTGGGGGTCACCGCGGTGGCCGCACCGTTTCCGAGTGGCTTGTCCCATCCGGGGGCGTGTAGGTGATGCGATAGAGTCGCACAGGTCCATCGGCTGGGTCCCACACCACCTCCATTGACGTCGTCGTCTCGTCACGCACTTGCACGTTACGGGGCACGCCGCGCACTGCCAGACACCACCACCACCACCACCACCGTCAACATCGTCAACGTCATCACTGCCGAGCACCGCACCATCAACATTTTCAACATTGCCAAATACCACCATCGCTGTCAATATCGTCAACGCCGTCACTGCCAAGCACTGCGCCATCGTCAAAATTGTTATCGTCATCATCATTACTGCCAACCATCACCACCGCCATCAATATCATTAACATTCTCAACATCACTATCGTCATCATCATCATCACTGCCAAACACCAGCAACAACAACCACCATTTGCCACTAAGTGGCGGTGACGTCACCATGCCGCTTGTGCCAGGATATGTGAATTTTAAGGCACACGTGAAGTGTCGAACGCCCGCTGGTTGGAGGTCACGGGACAGACCCAGGTGCCATGGGTTGACTGACTGAGATGACTGGCTGATGCACCACTTCTGCCCCCTACTGTGCCAACCTGCTGTGCTTTAGCTGCCTGGCTCTCTGCTCAATGTTGTGAGCTTCGCTCATCAACCCTCCATTGTTGCTGGAGGGCGACTGCCTCCAACTGCCCAGTAGTGTCCTTCACGAACCTTCTCCACAGAAGCCGATCTTGGCATTGCTGGTACTAGTTATTGGCAAATTCACTCAGTTCCATATCTTCCCATACCACATCATTCTATCTCTTATCTGGCCCATGCCGCGCCCATTTAGCCCCCTCTATCTGGCCGAACGAAAGCTGTTTGGACATGCGGTGGCTGGGCATGCGGGCTACATGACCCAGGCAATGCAGCCTTGCCTACCAGACACCACCACCATCTATATCGTAATCATCATCACTGCCAAATATCACCACCACCATCAACAACATTCTCAACATCACTATCGTCATCATCATCAGAGGCCACCACCATCAATCTTGATTTTAATATTGATTTTACGAGAATGTTGATATCATTCTCACAATGATCACCATCAGCACCATGAGAGTGAAATACTAACTACAAACATCATCACTGAAGTCATCAACATTGATGAATGAATCATTAACATCGCCGAAATCACCATCTTCACCATCTAGGGGCGCTGCCATTCACCGCAATGGTAAAAAAGAGTCGTATCTTGACTTTAAGCACTACTCCGGGTCACAACAAATAAGTATTGAATTGCAAGATGGGTGAATAGTTTCAGCCATAGTCATTGTCATCATAAGTGGAATCATTGCCACCACCATCATTACCTTAACAAACTTTTGGGGATGTTAGCAAGCACCTATGAAGGCTGGCACGACACACGAGGGGATTGGTGGCTAGCACCATGCCCGACTGCCTTTGTCTATAGTGGCAATATTTACACATTGCACCGGGCACTCATTTTGAGTCAGCCTAGGGGGGGCCCAGAACCGGTTCAGATAATCTTCACAGGTATTGTTGTACATGAGCGGGAATTGAACTCGGATCGCCGGGTCAGTAGCACAGCGTGCTAAGCGTTACACTACCGCTCCCCCACCACCTCCACCACCTCCACCACCTCAATGTTAACTTTAACGACATCATCATTATCATTATCGCCACCGTCATCTGTGGGCTAAACGTTGGGCAGACAACAAGACTATGCTCTCACCTGGAGAAGAAGTGGGTGGAGGCTTCCCGTCCACTACAAACACAACCACAAACAACACACGCATTACATGCTGCATGCAGACATCGCAGAGCCAATACACGATAACCACAGCAACATAATCGATTTGTGCTTGTGCAATGTTTTTGATGTCTCATGTGACATGGTTGTTTTTGTTCTGGAACTTTCCTCACTGTTCCAACTGCCACCCCAGAAGGACGAACCGGCGGCCTCTGGATTGGAAGTCCAGTGTGCTACCCATTAGTGATATTGGTACCCTGGTGCATCATGGGATGTGTCCTTGCATCGTAGTGCATTATGATAAGTTATAAGCATGCCCTGGTGCATTATGGGAAGTGATACGTGTGGCCTGGTGGGACGCGTTGTGGCGCGGTGCTGCACTGTAGGCTGGTGCGTTGTGGGCGTGCGTGGCCAGAGCGCGGCTGTGACGTGCGATGGAGTACGGGTTTTCTGGGCGTCGGACAGCGGGTCGCTCTCGGTCTCGTCGGGGTACACTGCCGTCACGGTGACGACGTACTCCGTGTCCTCGGACATATCCGGTAGCACGGTGCTCGTGACGTCACCATCGACGATCGTCTGAGCGGTGCGAACACGGACAAGGGAACGGGGGAGGCTGGAGTGAGCGGACGGACGACAAGGGTGAAACAGGCAGAGGACATGGACCACCCAGATACAGGTGGACAGGCACTCGGAGGTATAGGGAATGCACGGACGAGTGGAAAACACCCAGAGCGCCTGACCATACTTCTCCAAACATCCGAAACAACGTTTCGAGGAACACATGGGACACACACAGACGCAAGCGTGACATCACGTGAACGCAGACAATGAGAGCGTGAATTCAGAAACACGTGGCAATGATCTCACTGGCTTGGCCACCAACACCTGCAGGATGTTAATTACTGCTGTTGGAAGAGTAGCTCTCCATTGTGTTTTAGGGTTGTACCACGTGTTGGTCAGCAACAACAGCCGCCGATTTACTCCACGTTCTGGGTGATTCTTCAGGAATCAAATTCACCAACTCCCCGGGGACGAATCCCCGGGGCACGTGGAGCGAAACGTCGGACATCGTGCTGAACAGCATGCGGCACGAGCAGAAACCTATGCGGTGCGGGAAAAGGTGTTATCGTTCCAACCCGCCTTCTCACGATAAAAAAAAACGGTTAAGTTTTTCCACATTCTCAAGTCGCTGGCACAGGTGGCTGCCCACTAAATCCATCCGTGGCCACCTCCGTAATTTTGCCGCCGCTTCTAATTTTCCGCCCTGGGCGTCTGCCTATTTTGCCTTCCCGCTTAAGCCGGGTGTGGCCACACATGCGGTTCATTACGATTTAAAATACTGAGTGTCCCCGCCCCTCCCCTTCTTCCCTCTTCCCCCCCCCCCACCCCTGAAAATAAGCTGCTCCCGAATTGTTGGCAATATGGTGGTAGGTAAGCCCAAGTGCTTCCAGTAGATCACCTATTTGAGGGCGTATTGCTCTGGACTGTTACGCGATCGTGATCTGTTTCCCTCTCGGATGTCTGCGTTGTGCTTTTGGGTTCTTGGGGACAAAAAAGGGGAAAAAGTGAGTGTTTTTTGGCAGAGCAGCCCCTGAGGTCTTGGTGCCGCGCACCTCTTTGGAGGGGCCTCCGTCGCGCGGGGCCCATCGGATGGTGTAGAGCTGCGCGTCGGGAGCGGCCGCGTCCCATGTGACACGGAACGAGTCCTTCTTGACCTCCGAGAAGCGCATGTTCCTCGGAGGGGGGCTCTTCACTGTCGTGACAATCCCCCCGACCACAGGCAGGGTGGAGCAATCAAACCACAGAGCTCACAAGTGCACCATCACGACAGCAGTTCACTTAGCCGGGAGAGCTGTAGCCCTTTTTTCCACTCTACAACTGAGCCGTGCCAGGGCCCTGTGGAGGGCTGTGTTCTAGCCAGCAAGTGTGGCAACGGCTTAAGAGGCGCCAGATTGTTTATCCACTTTAGAGGCCGAGCCAGTCAACTGACGTCACGTGCAATGACGAAAATGGTTAACCCCTCCCGTGGCCCTACTTGGCCCCCAGCGAGATTCAGGTGTGTTGCGAGGCGAACGTTTCACGGTTCGGTTCTGGCTCAGACCGGCAAATGGCCAGTGGAAAAACACCTCTACCGTGATGGCCCTGCGCTGGTACCACTCAGAGGTGCTAGTGGAAAAGGGGTGTTACCGACTGGGTTAAAGATAGGTCACATTTGATTGGTGGCGCAGTGGTTAGTGCACTGCGCTATGAACCCCGTCGCCCGAGTTACATTCCCGATCACGGTCACAATCGGTGACAAATACCTGAACCAGTCCTTAAACAAGCACTATAGTGTGGTGTGTAAACATCACCACTGGGGAGACAAAGGTGACCGGGCGTGGTGCTGGGCAACCCACTCGTTCGTGTGCTGTGGCGGCCTTCATAGGTGCTTGCTAACAGCACTTTCCACAATTGTCTATTAAAAGGCCATATGGGAGATCTTTGTCTTTGTGTGTGTGCAGTTTAATACGTATGCTTTCGCGACCAATATTATCTATAACAGAGGTTTTTGGGTTAGATCGCGTAAATATATATGCGTGTGCGCGCGCGCGTACGTGTGGTCTCGGCCCCCGTCAGCGGCTCAATGTCTCCCTGAGTGATCACGGTCGTCACGGTGACGTTGTAGCGAGTGTTGGAGATGAGGTCTTTCAGCACGGTCGAAGTGGAGCTCGCGTCAACAAGGACCTGCGGCACAAGGGTGGTGGGAGGGGGGGAGCGGACACTCCTCAGGGAGACGCACGGTCACGGTGGCCCGTGTGAAACGTGGCAGGGCGCAGCTCTGGCTTAGGCCGACAGTGTTCGTCGCGAGCGTGGTCCGTGCCCTAAACTTGCACCAGAAGACAACGATAGGCGAACCAATTTAAGCCATTGGTGGAAATCCCACATTTCCATGGTCGAGGCCAAGTCCAATCGTAGGATAACCGAAGTTACCACAGATTGACACGGGTGGCTTTGGCCTCTTGTCCTGGAAGAAGCACAAGGTCGTGACCCCCCCTGCCCTGCCCGTAACTTCTGACCTCCTCTGGGTCGACGCCTGCGGCTTGGTAGCGCAGGCGGTAGTGCTGCACCGGCCGTCGCGACGGCTGCCAGGACACGGTCATCGTGCTGTGGGTCACGTCCGACAGGCGCAGCCAACGAGTCACAGCCGGCACTGTGCACGAAATACAGGAAAAAGCGTGAGGGACACGGGAGGAGATGGGACACAGAACATGGGCACGTGGGACACAAAACATGGGACGCAGGACATGGGACGTGGGTACAAGACGTGTGGCGTGACCAGACAGAACATGGAGGGGATGTGGCGAGGGAGTATTAGATACGGTGCTAGCTACAGTGTCCCTTTACACGGTGCAGAGATGCGAGCACTGACGGAGGAAAGGATAAATAGTGCTTGACAAGGCAGAGATGAGCACGTGGAGATGGATGCTGGGGAAATCTCGAAGGGAATGCAGGAGGAATGAAGAAGAAGGGAGAGCCTCATTTAATTGTCACAAACTCAGGATTGAGAGCAGAGGGTGAACTGTTACAGCAACAAATCCCATTCACGTACTCTACTGCGCTTTCACGTCTATGCTGCTGGCTTTCACAAACCAGGGCTGACCAGCAAGGTGAAGTATGTCAAAATGACCCCCATGGTCCGTGCAGTGTGGAAAGGTCCTTATCGGGCTTGGTAAAATAAAATAAAAACACGGCTGTACGTCTGCACGCTCACGGACTGATAAAACTCCCTACGAGGGAGCTGTTACAAGACCAGCATTCAGAACAGATTGAATTTGTGACAGTTCAAATATTTCTAGCAGCACGTGTTTGCGCAGGATGGCCGCACTGCTGTGCACATGTGGCGGCGAGGCAGAGTGCGTGTGCGGCGGTGGTGCAGTGGTTGGCGTGCTTGCGCTACAAAGCCGGCGACACCGAGGTCGATTACCACTCACGACCAATAACAGTGGCGGTTATATTTGAACCGGTACTGGACCTACACCTAGGATCGACTCAGCCTAAAATGAGTAGCTGGTTACGGTGCGTAAAAAAACACCGCAACTAGGGAGACAAAGGGGGCGGGGGATCTTTGTCTGTGGTGTCTCTCACGAGTGCTTTCTTTTTTGCGCAGGGGTTCGCTCCTTCCTTCCGGGTAGCGGGCAACAAGCGACACGGTGTACTCCGTGCCCGGGAGGAGTTCCGTCAGCTGCAGCTCCTCCTGGTCCTGCCCGACGTCCACCTGCACGCACAGCATGGGTGGGGGGGGGGGGGGGGGTGTGACGCGTCCGCGAACTCAACTGGCACGCGCGATGCGAGCGCGCATCACGCGCACGCAAGCCAACGTGCTCGTAGTGCACGCACGTCATCGCCTACGGATGTGACAACACAGCGGCGTGTTTGGTTGTGAATTTTAGGCCCCTGTAGCACACTCTAGAAATCTATTCGTTATTGATTTTTGAGATGGGATTGTCGCATGAATAAATTGCCAATGTGTGTGGTACACCCGCCTCCAACCGACGACGACGTAGCCAAATAAATAAAGTTGTTGCGTAAATAAAGGCACGTTAATTTATTACTGCTCCAACACACCAATGTGTGTTAGAGAGCGATTCGCAATGTTTAACCATTCGGTACGACGTTTCACTGGCAGTTGCAACCAGCATCATCTTGGCAACTTCATTAATTTGGTTGCTGCTACATGCGTAAAAAAAAAACTGTTTGCAGTTATGCTTCCTGCTAATATGTTTAGCTTCGTGTTTTAAATTTCCGCACGAGAATTTATGATGAATGATGTAATTATTTGGACCCGCGAATTCCTCGAAAACGAGACCTCTGGTCTCAACAGGCTTTTCTCAACACACAACATCAGCCACAGAAAAATCCACTGCTGGATGAAGGCCTCCCCAAGCCATTACATCTCCCACGATCCTAAAATTGTAATAATCCACCTAGCACCTGCACACGAGCCGATTCCATTGCTCCATTTTTCTCAACGGACGTCCTCCGGGACACTTTACGCGTTCGGCTGCTGCTGCGCCATTATTCGTGACCACTGGCCGTCATCATCCCTTCTAGCGACGCGTCCTGCCCAATCCCCACTCACTTTTCCCAATGTCTTAGAATTTGTGCCATTAATCAGCGCATCTTCTCTGATCCATGTTCCTCTTTCCATCTCACCCCCCCCCCCCATCGCCTGTCACCTCCTTACTGCCCCCCCCTGAGGCTGGCGTGTAGAGCAGCGAGTAGCCGATGGCGCCCGGGATGCGCTCCCATGTGGCCCGCATGCTCGCGTCGGTGACGTCCGACAGACGCAGGGCGCGGGGCACCGTCAGCGCCACTGGGGGAAACAACGATTACACGTTCACCAATCAGAATCAGGATGAAAATATTTATCTATAGTGGATAAATCCGATGAGCTATTAAGCTCTTTTTCACAGGTGTCCACGGACACAATGTGTGAGCGAGCTGTTGCAGGGCCACACCTTTACCTTCGCGGATGGGTGTTGGGAGCTGAATCGTTTTAGGGTTCGTAGCGTTTAACTTGTCTGCGACGTGGATACAGGGGGAAATTTCGAATGCGCACGGGGAATGGCAGTGCAACATCGTGGCAACAAAACACACGGATACACAACATGCAGCACCTGCCTTAACTCACGCAAAAACACAAGAACACCACGTTGACTCCAAGCTTGGACACGTGACCTGTATATCGTGGCCTTAGAAACCTGGGAGGGGAGGGTGTTGTGGGGGCTGGGGTGGAGGGGGTGGGGGAAGGGCAGGAGTGTGTGGGGACCAGTGGCCTTTGTTTGGGGGGCTGCCATACCAACAAGGTTGATGACCATTGCTTCTGAACGAGGCTGCATCTCAAAGACGACCTACGGAAACGGTGGACGTATTTACGTTTGGAGGTAGAGGCAGTCTACTGCTGTTTCCCATGGTGTTCGCTGAGTTATTTTTTCCAACTCCTACACCAGCATGGTTGAGGACCACTGCTTCTGCTTCTGAATGAGACTTCTGAACGAGGCTGCATCTCAAAAACGACCGTACGGAAACGGTGAACGTGTTTACGTTTGGAGGCAGAGGCAAGTCTGCTGCTGTTTCCCATGGTGTTCGCCTGAGTTTTTTTTTTACTTTCCATCTCCTGATAGGATAAAGGTTGAGTTCCGGCGGCGAGGTTATCGGGTGTGCAGGCGGTGCACCTGCACCGTGGTCCACTGGTCAAAGGGGCACCAGGGCCGCCGGGCTATGAAGAGGGGGCGGTGGCAAACTTTGGGCAGCGGACTCCCTTTTTCATCCCTTGCACCAGGACCGTTACCGACCACGCTACGCCACTGGTTTGTGCAATCGTTTAACGTTAGACACGTGGCTTATGGCAGGGGTAGCACATGCCTGGCGGGTTGAGAGTGATATAATTACATTGCCAGATGAGCTGGGCATATACACTGTCTAAATGCTGTGTGAAACAGCAGGACATTTGCATCACTGGGGGGGGGGGGGGGGGGGGGGGGGGAAATAAGCGAATAACACACCGCACATCAGTTATAGACAATAGACAGAGGCAGAGAGAAAAAAAAAGGAAGTGCTTGAGCCTGGACTTGAACAGGGGCAGGGAATCGACAGCACAGACCGCTGGGGGGAAGGGAGTTCCATAATAATGGCGCAGATGACAAGAACGACCGACCTACCGTTGAGTGACTCTACGAATGAACTGTGTACAAGAATACTGTGTTCTCCGTATTATAAGACGTTCAGGAAAGCAAAACGCTCTCCCAATTTGTGCACGGTGTCAATAAAGTTACACAAATTTGGCCACACATCACACAGACATCCCTCCCAGGTAATAAGACGTCAGAATAGAGGGGGAGGGACGGAGGGTTAAAGTGCATCATCATAATTATTATCTTAACACTTGTTTACCCAGTATATATATTTTTAAAGCTCTTACAATCCGGAGAATACAGTAAAACATGTATTTAATTATATATACAAAGATCCCCCGTATAGCCTTAAGAAAATGTTGGGGCAAGGGCTGTTACTGAGCAGCACCTATGAAGGTCAGCAGAGCACACAAAGGGGTGAGTGGTCAGCACCACACCCGGCCGCCTTATAAATACATATATACACACACACATAGACGTAACTATTACATAAATGAGGGGGGAAAACTCAACGCGCTGGTTAATAAATAAGCGGAATCGTTTAAATGGTGAGCCTTCGCAGGCCGCTTGTAATGCAAGCGTGGGTTCCCGGGCTGGGCTGCACGACTTGTTATTTATAAACCACGCATCACAAACACATGTTACAGACTTGCATGTGTGTATGTTAAACTGCTTTCGCACCGCACGTAGCCAACCATGCTAATCGGCAGCAGTTGATTTCATCATCATCATTTAAAGACGGTCACTGCATCGCACGCTTTCAGGTGCGCTTCTGCGGCCGTCTGGAACGCTCTTCTGATATTAGGAAGCCACTGGAACAATTCACCTTGAAATCTAGATTGAAAACGTATTTCTGTTGAACTGCTTTTTCTGTTCACTTTGTTGTCCTTCCCCCACACCTCCAATTAGCACGGATGGCTACAGCGCTAAATAAATTCAACAAGCATCCATGCACACCTCGGAGGTGCGCGGGGGAAGGACAACAAACTAAACACAAAAGCAGTTCCAAATAAACGAAAAGGGCAATTCTAAACAGAAGGTGCCGAGAGCCTGGGCCTTGAACAGGGGCAGGCAGCCAACGGCGGCGGCTGGGGCAAGGCAGCATCGGCCGTAGCCAGGCGCGGTACCCACGTGTGGTCTCGGTCCCGGAGAGCGGATCGCTGTCCCCGGCCGGGTACTCAGCGAAGACTGACACCCGGTACTCGGTGAGCGGTTTCAGGTTCTTCAGCGTCGTCAGCAGCACGGAGCCGTTCACGTGCTTCTGCTCGCGCGGACACAAATCGTCGTCGTCAATCAACCGTCAATCCACTGCTGGATGAAGGCCTCCCCCTCGAGCTGTCGTCGTCTCTCACGAACCTTGCGATGTTAACGATCCACCCTGCACCTATGCAGCAGTTGATTTCATCATCGTCACTCACATCATCATCATTTTCATCATCATCATCATCAGTTTCATCATTATCGTCATCATTATTGGAATCATCATGAGTGTTGTTATTGTCATTACCACCATTGCACCACTGTTTTCTAATACGCAGGATGTTTTTTTTTTACATTATCGTCCCGATTGTAACCATGATTTATCGGAACACTGGACAAATGAATGCTTTATACGGAGAGCCAGCCAGGCTGAGGCTGAGCGGGGGGACAAAAAGGGAAGGGCCTTGAGACCTGGCTCATGAAGATGGAGTTGACAGCACGCAATTGCGATGGCACAATCCACCTCCGCTCCTGCGCATGAGCTGATGTCATCGCAACCACCTCCACGGCAGACATCCTCTTTGGCGCGCTCTGTTCGTCGAAAGCCATTCATTTGGTCACCAGTGTCATAAATTGGCCACCGTGCCTCTCCTTTCAAAGTGTGCTGCCCAAGCCAACCTAATATTTATTTTCAAACAGTAAACATCATTTCTCCAAAATGCATTAATTCCACCGATCTACACCTTCCTGTTTCTAGGTGTAGTCTGAGAATGCATTTCTCCGTGCTGCTTTGGCAGTGCGGTCAACCAACTCCCATGAATGGAACAGGTACGAAAAACAACTGCCAACAATCCTTTCCCCACCCAACGTTTAGCATTCTCAAGAGTAGATCGCATTTGCACGCAAGTGGTGTGAGTGAGTGCCTATTGAATGAGGCTGTAGTGACATAGCCAGCACCACACCCAAGAGCATTTCGTCTTCCCAGTTACAACAGGCACCACATTTAAGTTTGAGTCAACTTAGCGGGGTCCCAGGACAGGTTCAGATGCCAAGTGCCGGAGACGGATTTGCGCGGCCACGAACTGAACCCAGACGTTGAGACTCAACTGAGCTGTCTGCTGACCATTACAGCGCAACCTCCCAGGCATAAAGAAACAAAGACAAAGAATCTCCCATAAAAGCCAGGAAGAAGTGTGGAGCAAGTGCTTTTAGCAAGCACCTATTAAGGCCGCCACGGCCCACGAGGAGACGGTGCGGCAAGAAGCACCACGCCCGGCCAGCTTTGTTTCTCTCCATTGCTCATGTTTAAACGCAGCACCAGGTGCACGCATATTCAGGTTGAGTCGATCTAGGGGAAGCCCGGCAACCGGTTCAGACATCACTCGCAAATATTGCAGGCTGTGGCCGAGATTCGAACTCGGATTTTGCAGGTTCGTGGCGGGGCGGCACGAATCACGGCCGTCACGTCTCGCCTTACAACATTCGCAAAAAAGGGAGCGGGACAGAAAGAAAGTGGAAAAAAAAGGCAAAAATTGGCTTGGGGATGAGCATGAATTGTGAAGGGACAGCTCCAAGTGTGAGGAGTGGCGTGGGGATGGGGGGGGGGTTTGGAGAGGAGAGGAGGAGAGCAGGAAAAGGGCCTGGGGTAGGGGCGTATCTGGGCACACATGTTTGTAATAAGACTGCTGGTATTTCCTCCCATCGTCCAGCCGCTACTGTCTAACCACTGCTCTGCAACCGCTCGGTGGTGGCGCGCACTTTTTAACCCTTTCGGGCCGCAGGGTCAGCCCGGCTCGTAGAGTGCCGAGGCAAAAACACACGTTGGAGCGTTGAGACGTGCGCAGACCAGGGAGGTCTTTGCGGTCGCTCCAGTTATTGGAAGCAGCGGGGAGGTGGAGGGGGGGGGGCTTTGGATGGCTGCTGCGAAACTGGTTTACAGAGTGGCCAGGTGGTTAAGGCGTTTATCACCGAGATAATCCACTCGGGTTTGAAGGCCTGATTCCCAGAGCCGCCACCCGGTCGAGACTAACGATGGCGTGGCATCCAAAAGAGGGAACACGTCCGAGCAGAATGCGTTCCCTCCGTTAAATAATCTGCTCCGACTTGAGCGCTCGATTCCCGTAGCCACACGGTAATCTGATAACCGAGTTACCAAATTGTGCCGGGTGTCGTGAAGCCGGATTGCACTTACGTGCCCTTATTTTTGCTCAAAAGCCCACGTGCGAAAACCGCCTCCATGAAGTTACCAATAAAACATGCAACGCTCCAATGGCCCATTGCAACGGAGACATCTCAGCCTTTCCACCAGTTGTGAATAAAGCACTCATGTCGTGCGCAAATCTGTCTGTTCAAGCCAAGTCTCTTCAGGTGGTCTATATTGCGGTGCGCACATTCGGCGAAGTATTTTATTATTGTAAATGCATAATACTTTGCAGACCTTTTCAATCCAATGCTGGATGAATGCCTCCCCCATGCTGCGTTGGTCATGGGAGTTGTGTTGACCATACTTTGTTACGCAGGTCACAGTGTGGACTGATTAAGTGGGGAGGGCCCATGACCGGTTCAAGTGTCGCTCGTCACTGATGTTAATCGCAGCTGCAAGTCAAAGGGAGGTCACCGGGTTCATAGCGCGGTGCGCTAACTACTGCGTCACCGCTTCCTCCCCGGTACAGGATATATATGAGCATAATTTGTAACGACGGGCATTTATTAAGATCTATCGAAGGCCTTGGAATATGCATTGCAGGAAAACCCAACATGCAGAAGCATTAACTTTTTAAAATTAAAGTAATGATTGCAGTCTTGAGGGGTGTACTTGACTTCATGTCAGTGTAACCCACATTTAAATATGAGTAACTGTAGATATGTTAAACGTTACAAATCCTCAAACAATGCAGCTCCCTTCCAGTGCCCATTCACAAATGTAGAGGAGCAGCCCTGCAACTGATTGCGCACACCAACGCTGGCAGAAGCGTGTCCACTCAGTAAAGGGAGCTCTTAGGCAGCCCCTTCTAGAGGGTGTTTGAAGCACTCCCCACCACGCTGCGCAGGCATCGTGGTGGGGGTGGGAGTACCCACGGTTTACCCCACCAAACGCGACCTTCTGATCAGCTGTGTGTTTATCCGTCTGTACTGCTGGGAGGACGGAGGCGACTGCCGCGTCGGGGGAGATGGAATCGAACTGCCGACCTCCGGATTGCAAGTGCAGTGTGTGCTAACCGTGACACCCAATGGTGTGGGCAGCAACGGGCAGTCGATGCGAATGCTGTCACAAGAAGTCACACGTTTTGGCTGCAACGGTCCTTCGTTGACTTTGCGTGATGAATGAGTGAACGAATGGGACAGCAGCAGTTCTCTTATTTGCAAAATGAGTTTTTATATATATACACCGCAGTTCGTTAGCTTATTCTTTAAGTATGGTTAACCTCGTTGGAACACAGGTCACTTGACTTGAGACTGCAGTTCCTGGGGACTAGGAGATGAGTTTTTCAGCCACGTTTGTGACCTCAAAGAAGTATGCTGCCAACCAATATGGTGTCTTAATCAAAAGTTTTCTTTCACTTGACAATTTAAATTCCAGGCGTTAATACCGTATTCTCTGGATTACAGGACAATATTTCCCCCTCCCCCCCCCTGTATTTTTATAAAAACTTGGCAGAGTGTCTCACGTTCTGGAGCGTCTTATAGTCCGGAGAATACGGTAACTGTCTATCAAGTGTGTAAGAATAAGTGAGGGTGTAGGGCTTCAAGACCCCGGCACCCCAGACCCCCATTCACTCACTCAATGATCTGATGAATTGTCACAATTCAGGGTAGTGATCAATTCGAGGATCATCAGGAGGTCACGTGAACGCATTACACACGACACCAATATCAGTGGTTCTCAACTTGTGGACCACAGCCTTCCAGGGGGAGCGCAGGCTGCAGGAGAAATTGGTCAGTGCCACATTGCGGTGCCAAAACGCACAACATAACATTGTATGTTAGCATGTTTTTTACTAACACAAAACATGCTAACATACAATGACACGCATGCCTCACTGACACAAAACACACAAGACGACACATATAACTTACTCACATCACTAACACCCAACATGAAACAAATGCCCAACTAACACGGTGTCTATGCGAGGCGTGGACATGTGGTCTCTGTGTATTTTGGCCTGAGTGACCTGAATGGATACCGTACACGAATTTGAAGATACCGGTTCTTACATGCAGTGCCATCCCTAGGGTACACGGTGAATCTGGGCGACCGCCCTGGGCCCCGCGTTTTGGGGGGGGGCATGCCACGACGTCACGGTGTCAGATGTAATACTCCCGGTTTAGTTTGAAGGCGTCGGAGGGGAGTCTACACGGTGTGGTTTGTCCCAGGCCCCGCACCCACCCCACTATGGATCGCCCTGCTTACACGTAATCACTTCACCGCCATGTGTGGCAAGCTCACAGGGGGGAGGCCGATATTAAAAGAATACGAACCGCTGCTGCATGATTACCACTCCCTGGATAAAGAGGGAGGACAATTTTACTGCGCCGGGGTTTAATGACACGAAACGCAACTTTGTTTACTTGGGAATGCTACGTTGAGTCCCGAGGCTCTTTCTCAAGAGTGTCCTGCGGCCATTTGGCCACTAACAAAGGGGTAGAGAGTTACGGTTATTTTATTATCATTATTACTTCAACCCATCAGGCCAAAACGTATAAAATTGCGCGCACATTTTCAAGGGGTCGCTGCACTTTATGCGCCGTTATTTGTGGAGGCGTCAGTCCAAATTAAACGGCTCGTTTGCGATTGGTTGGATAGTTTCCCTGCCGATTGTAGGGAGTGGTTCATCAAAAACCTCCGCTTGGTTATGTCTGAGCCTTAATTACAATTCGCAAAAGGTACTGCATGTTCCGTCAGCTTTTCCCTCCTTTTCCGTGAGAGGCTATCGACTTATGCAGTGCGCCTAAATGTTTTGAAATGTGCACGTGTGCAAATATGCAATGGCAATGATCGGTTGTGTGCGTCTGTGTGCGTGTGTATGTGTTTACAAGCGTAAGTTCAGATCTGGAAAC